CATCATTCTTTAGGAAACATATTAAGAACTATGCTCAAATAACGTTACCCCTTACAGAACTAATAAAACAATCAAATCAAAATTTGCCTTTTGAATGGAAAGATGATTGCGAAAAAGCTTTCAATGAAATCAAACAAATTTTAACAAATCCACCAATCCTTTCACATTTTAGGGAAGATTGGGAAACAGTAATATTTGTTGACAGCTCATTATTTGCACTTGGGGCTTGCATGCTACAAATTAACCCTGAAAATAATACAATGCATCCTATTGCATATCTATCTAGAAAATACACTGACACTGAGAAGAGGTACACTAACGCGGAGAGAGAAATGCTAGCTCTAAGTTATGCGGTTAACTACTGGAGAGAATTCACTTTAGGTAGACAAACTACAGTTTTCACCGACTGTCAAGCACTCATACATTACAAGAATTTCAAGAACACTTCTTCACGCCTAAATCGTTTAGCTCTTTCTTTGGTCGATTACGACATTATTGTAAAATATAAACAAGGAACTTCAAATTTATTAGCAGACAGTCTTTCAAGAAACCCACCCGAGGAAATAATAGATCAGGGATTAATTGAACTAACTTTAAATACACAGGAAATTAAAACCGAAAACTTTGAAGAACTTCAAGCAAAAGATCCCTATTTAAAACAAATTAAGTTAGCTAAACTATCACCAGATTCTGTTCCCAAGAAAATAAGACATGAATCCAGAAAATATGTAGAACGAGATAACATATTGTATTACAAGCATTTTAACGGAAGTAACACTGAACATTTATTAGCAATACCTCAGGAGAAAGTTAACGACATATTGAAAACTTTTCATGATAATATTTTCTCAGGAGGACATTTTTCAAATTTTAAAATTGCAAAGAAAATAAAATCTCGTTATTATTGGCCTAACATGAACCAAGACATTGAACACTACACTAAAACATGTGAACAATGTCAGTTAAGGCGATCTCCCACGTATAAGCAATATGGTAAATTAAATCCCCAAATACCTCCAATAACACCATTTGAAAGGATTATTATAGACTTTTTAGGGCCAATAACGCAAAGTCATGGATACAAATACATTTTAATCATTACAGACCCTACCACTAGAATGGTTTACACGCGTGCAACACGAGCCGCGGATTGTAAAACCGTAGCTAAAGTACTGCTAGATCTGTTTTGTTTATATGGTGTGCCAAAAATCATAACCCACGACCAGGGAACACACTTCATGGGACAAGTTCTTAAACAGTTGTTACAAAGTTTAGGGATAGAGCAAAAAGCTAGCCCGCCCTATGCACAACGAGTTCAAGGTTTAACCGAAAGAGCCAATTTAGTAATTAAAACAGCAATTTCCCACTACATTGAGGAAAATCCACACAATTGGTCCGACATTTTGAAGTATGTTACATTTGCCTATAATACTACAATAAACAAGAGCACAGGTTACACGCCCTTTTACTTAAATTTTGCACGAGAAGCTAGACATCCATCTGATTACATCTATACACACGAAGATCAAGACACAGACATCGTAAAAGAAATCAAACTAATTCACAAAATTAGGACAGAGGTTCCCAAAATCTTAGAAAAAGCCCAAAATAGGCAAAAATCGTTCTTTGATCAAAATAAAAGGGATTTAGACTTACAGCCAGGGGATGAGATATTAATTAAATATCCTACTGATCACACAAAGAAATATAGCAAATTTCAAAACTGTTTCAAGGGGCCATATCACATTACCGGGAAAATAAATGATTTGACCTACATGGTAGCTCTAGAAAAAAGAGGTAGATTGTGTGAAGAGCCGGTACATGTACAAAATATTAAGCCGTTTCATAGAAGATAAATACAAATTATTAACGTTTATCCCTCACTAGCATCTTTATTAAGCTTGTAAATAATCATCATGTTGGGAGAGAAAGGAAAATATTATTTAATTTGCATTAAATTCTGAAGAGTATTATAATTCACAGCGTCATATTTAATAACGACACAAATAAAAATGTTTAATTAAGTCATAAATAGAAGATACTGTACAAGAATTTATAAATAAAATACGTGACATTACGAGATGAATACATTTATCAACTCATAGCAATTATAAAACGATCAGCATAAACGAGAATAACAATAGCCTACCCATCGTGTGAATATCCAATTGATACACAAGAAACAACACAGCAAGAAACACGAAACCAGAGACACAAACAATAAGAAATCAAATAACGCACATAACTTCACACGCGACGCGGAACAAACATCTCACTGAGTTCTCAAGCTTGGACGACAAAGACAGCAGCTTCATGACTCCAGCAGAAAGATGATATCAAGCAGACTCAGCATCTAGGTGCATTGCCTTTGTACGCAATCTCATTCAAACATTGTGAGATTGTATCTTTTCCGAGTAAAAAAACTTAACATCACCACTTCTATATGAAATAGATCAAAAATATTCTCCAATTTATATTCGAACTAAAGATACTATAAAATTCAAAATAATTTTATGACTATTACATCTTGCGAAGATATCTAGTCTAAGCGCGCAGTCTAGATGCTTCATGACATTTAATAGGGTATAAAAAGAAAGAGTGATTAATTACAGATATAAACAATCAAACATACAAATGGAAAGCTGTTCAATACACAAATACAATTAATTAATATGTCAATTTACACCAAGCTTTTAAGTAACATCTATTAAGAAAATGGAAATTATCAAACAACGAACTTGATCTACTTATTAGCACAAATTTACACAATGAGTACTGATAGGATCTCCTCTCGATCGTAATTTTAATTATGGAATATATGGTTCTTATTCAATCCATTACAATTCAAATCATGTAAACCAGTGGAGCAACAAGAGGCTACACAACAGGCTGACACCGCACAGTAGCACAATCCAATGGACGATGCGAAGACATCTTCGAGTAACTGGGGCACTAAAGATAATTTTTCGGGGACGAAAAATTTTCCCGAGCAGGGGAGTGTAAACATATTTATATTTTAATTAAATTCTTAAATTTCATTCATGCTCATATTTTTAAAATTCGTATTAGGCCCATTTAAAACAATTATATTAATCCGAAGTAAATCAAATATTACAATTTTCTAATACAAAGAGACATGTTGAATGGCACCGACGAGTCTACAAGTATCATATTCAAGGTCCCGGGCAATGGACGCACAACCTGACGTCTACAGTGAACTGCTGATCGAAGTGGCAGCCAATCACAGCATTGAGCACCAAAGGGATCATCTATGATTGGACACTGTAGGCGTGGTTAATTAGAATGATGGGAAATCTCAAAAAAAAGGAAGGGACAGGAGGAGCAGGATGGGATCAGTCTGGAAGAAGATTTGCGAGGCTTAGGACGGGGTCGGATCGAGCAGGCCCCAAATTATATCAGGATTGGTAAAATCTGCCACCTGAATACGTCCTAGGCCAAACTACTTCACCTACTCAGCCCACGCCGAGAGAAGAGGTTCCAGGGGGTCGTCATCCACCATCGAGGACCAGGATCAACCACCGAGTCATCTGCCAACGGAGACAAGGGGAGGCCTGGACATCACGAGACGTCACCTCGGGGAATTCATCTACCCTCAAGATCTTCTCCTCGGTATGTCAAAATTCAATTATAATTCCCAGGACAACAAATTTTAGAAGGAAGAAGATAAATTTAAATTACATAAAAAAGGGCCTAAGTTAAATAACTACAATTCATTCAAATTAAACCTAACTTAAAAATAAAAATTTAAAACCTAAATGATCGATGATATAAATCATAAATAATAATAAAAATATTATTTCCTGCTGAATAAAAACAACAACAAAATAGCCTTAAAGGTTAAACATGTAAAATAATGTTTTTGAAATAGCCTAAGTAAGTTCTCATTTAGTATTTTATTTTCAAACGTGTATATTTGGTAGCTTGCTAAATGTGAATAGTCTTTGTTTGTTAAGTGTATTAATTTTATAGAATTTCATATTAGCCTTGTGGTTTAAGTTTTGTGAACTGGACTTTGGCCAAATGGCAAAGATGTAGATTAATAACATTTTATGAATATCTATATTTTTTTGTAAAAGGGTTTAATTAATTAAGATCGAGTCGTTTTACATATGTATTATATCTATCACTTTTAAACTTATATACGTGTTCAATTCTCTTATTTTGATACTGGGGCCCCAAAATATTTAATTCCTTTGGTAAATACGTCATTTGATTTATTGATTATTATATAAATGTATTGTGTTTTAAAGGGTTGTAGATTAGAGTGAGTGGTCAAATAAAATTTGGTAACTCATACAATGGTGTCAGTTCAATCAGTTCCTGAGTATTCTCACATATGCCAAGCGAGTATACTGAGCTTAGTAATAATTTTGTATTTTTCACATTTAAAGTAATTGAAAACCCCATAAGTTTACAAAGTAAACTACAACAATTTTCATTTTCTCCTTAAGAATAACATGGGAATTTTAAATTACACTATTTTTGAATTTTCTCCGTGACCGTTAGATATACAACAGCGCTTCAATATACTAAATCATTTCTTTTTTTAAGCTCTACAAAACTGTTTAGAAAGAAATTGCAATTTTTTTTGTTTTTAGGGTCAAAAATGGGAAAACCCCATTTTTACCCCATAACACCCACCATAAACCCCTGTTCCCAAGGTCCAATTATGCTGGATCGCGAACTCGTTCGAATAAAACGTAGGTTTACACGTTTGTACCAAATTTCATCAAAATCAGATCATTTTTGCTCGAGTTATCAAATCAATCAATGTGAATTATGTTTAGCTTTCACCTATACAATGAAACACTTGAAACATAAATACTATCAGGAGTCTTGTAATTAATTTAAATTTTATTTGAAAAATAGATTTAATTGTTTATGCATGCAGCTTGATATTGTGCTGCATTTTCTTATACAATAGCATGCAAAATTACAATAAAAGTTATCTTACATTGTAATAGTTTTATTTAACTTACGTAATGAGGGTGGACTTCGTTGTCTCTTCCATTTAGCTGTTCACCATACATGGCAAGTCTGTACTGCAATCAATATCTCATATAAAAGCTAGTCATTCAAGTTTGAAGTACAGTAATTTGAAACAGCCTCAATGGCAAGAAGAAAATTTAGTTAGATATAAAACGGGGCTTTAATGGGATATACTCCTTTTATCTATGGATATAGCCTACAAATTTTGCAGTTGCTTAGGTGTATACTTCGATGGTTCAAGAATTGACTAAAACAATAAACATACACGATATGAATTATGAATGACAGAATAAAAATGATATATTGTTAAAAGTCGCATTTACTTTACAGTTACACAATTTGTCCAATGAACTAAGTTAGTATCTAACCTGGCCAAAACATTACGATAACATTGAATTTTTTTGGTATTTTTCCCCTTTCTACAGAATATATTTTAAATTTAATTTATACCAGTATACAAATTAACACCAATCACATGTCAGGGGAATTATTAATGTTTTATTTTGTTTAGAGAATCAAGGAACAGTAATAGTTTCTGTTACAACTTTGAACTTTGTCAAGCATTTAAAACATTTATTTACTCAGAATTATAAAAGTACGTTGCCGAATGGTGCTTGGTCAAATAAATACTTTTTTATAACAGTTTCAAAATTATTTGTACTAGTGTACCTGTTGCTCGAATTTGAGCAATTGCGAAGCATTACAGGCGACTCAAAGACTCACGATCTACACAACAGTTAGATATACCCTAATCAAAATCTTTTGTAAATATCTTATCTTTTTTCAAAAAGCTGATCTTGTTTTTTTAGTGTTTTTAGTGTAAAAAAACATTATTTCTATTTCTTTTACTTGGTTGTGTTCTATGACATTTTCTATGTTTCCATTGTTTGCAAATCGGTTATTTCAATGATTGCTCAAGAAATGTAGCACAGTGTTAATTCAGTTTTACTTTTAGCCTATATCAAATTGTCCAGGATTTCTCACTCTTTTCCATTGTAATAATTACACCAACCCAAGTTTCGTCTTGGGCAGAAACCAACCCATACAATAGATATAAGTTAACTCCATAAGAAATAATTTTAAAAGTTACTGCAATATTAGGATTTTTCACTGATTTGGTAATAGAACATTATATTGCAAAACATGACACGATGCAGAAGAAAATCAATTTTAACACGTTGCCTACCAGCCGTCACACTCCTCTGTGTGAGGACTCTAGTGTGACCTGGTAGTGAATGTGTTAACACGTTGCCTACCAGCCGTCACACTCCTCTGTGTGAGGACTCTAGTGTGACCTGATAGTGAATGTGTTAACACGTTGCCTACCAGCCGTCACACTCCTCTGTGTGAGGACTCTAGTGTGACCTGATAGTGAATGTGTTAACACGTTGCCTACCAGCCGTCACACTCCTCTGTGTGAGGACTCTAGTGTGACCTGATAGTGAATGTGTTAACACGTTGCCTACCAGCCGTCACACTCCTCTGTGTGAGGACTCTAGTGTGACCTGATAGTGAATGTGTTAACACGTTGCCTACCAGCCGTCACACTCCTCTGTGTGAGGACTCTAGTGTGACCTGATAGTGAATGTGTTAACACGTTGCCTACCAGCCGTCACACTCCTCTGTGTGAGGACTCTAGTGTGACCTGATAGTGAATGTGTTAACACGTTGCCTACCAGCCGTCACACTCCTCTGTGTGAGGACTCTAGTGTGACCTGGTAGTGAATGTGTTAAAATCAGAAAAATCCATTGCAAATACTGTACTTCATTTTGACAAATTCAATAAATCACAATTTAAATATTAACAGCTGTTGCATTAAAAAGTAGTGTAGGATTATGCATATGGTTGTAATGTAAACAAATCTGAAGAGGCAACTTTAAAGGCTACTGGGGCAGAGCCCCAAGAGAATTTACCTCTTTCCCCTTTTGATGGCTCATCTACATACCAAGACCTTTCTTTAGAGACCCCTACCAAGTTCCTACGCCCAGTCGTTCTCTCAAATTAGCTGTGACAAAAACCCCGTTTTCCTCCATAAGAATAACATAGGATGGGAATTTAAATGCCACGGGGGCAGAGCCCCAAGGAAATTCACCATGTTTTTCTTTTGATGGCTCATCTACAGACCAAGACCTTTCTTTAGACACCTCTACCGAGTTTCTACGCCCAGCCGTTCTCTCAAAATAGCTGTGACAAAGAAAAACAGTTTCAAATTAATATATAGATACTAGCAGAAACAAACAAACACACAAACGGTCACATTTATAATATTATAAGATGATGATAGTTATTTTTTACTTATGGTAACTAGTTTTTATTTATTTTTAAATCTTTGATACTTACTGCTTCCCACCAACTTGGGCCTTCTTTGTCTGTTGAATCGCTTTCCTACATAAAATAACATGCATGTAGTTAATATGTTCGCCACTCTGTTTTCTGTTAGTTATTTTTGTCTCATTTATGAATATAAATAAAAAGATATAGTTACTTCTTTCTTGTTCAGTTAAATAACAGCAATATTATTAAAGTTAAAGTATTATAAATCAAATCATCGTAAAAAACAAATTTAATTATAAAGAAACATCTTTATGGATTAGAAGAAGGCAATTTTTTGTCTGATAACGCTTGAGTGTCTTGGGGTCTTCTACAACTTTGGTATGATCTTATTAACTTTACGCATAATACAACCAAATAGAATACCAACATTTTCAGCTATCAGAACACAATACAGAATTACTCTAATTATTGCAAGATATTTTAATCCATAAACTGACATTGCCTCTAAATGCCAATAACAGCTACAACCCTAAGCAGTCACAGGTAATAAAATCATTGTTAGCACTAAAGCTACTTATAAAATGTTTTCTTTCAAGAACTAGAGTAATCAATTTTTTAACAATTACCCAAACATAATTTACAATTACCGTGACTGCCTCGTTGAACCGCACGATATTATCTTCCACCATTTTATTCAGCTCTCGTTCTCTGTAGCTCATTGGTCTAAGAGTGGTACGAGCTTTTCTCATGAAATCTTCAAATTCTTCGTCAGTATCTTTTCCTGATAGAACCGCGTTCACACAACACATTAAACATGTAACCCACCTGCTCATTCTAAATCATATGTTCACCCTCATATTGTGTTTCCCTCCATTGAGATTACAGTAAACCTTATAAAATATTTAACTTATCTGATATGAGATTTGGTTACAAGATAAGATTTCTTGAGTGAAGCATTAGTTGGTTGGTGTTCACTTGATCTACAAACAACCAGCTTTCAAGCTTCTGTTTTTTTTTTTTTTTTTCAAAACTAGAAGGCGTGTATAGAAATATGAAAGGAATAAAAGAATTACTTTAAAAATATTACTTTATTTACACATTGTAAAATTAACTGTGGTATATCTACACAAAATTACCAAGCTATTCAAGATTAGTTTACAAATGAACAAAGTTATGGTTCATTGTAATTTTCCTTAATCTTCTCTTCCTTTTATGTCTCAGTTTAACTTCCTTTTGTTTTAATTGTTTATTTTCAGCACCTGTACTTGATCCTTTTAATATCTGAAACAAATATTTTATTGGTGAATCATTTAAATCTCATATTCAAAATTAAAAATACCCCCGCTGCAGCAAACCTGCCTTCTAAGCGAATTTCCATTTGGCTGAATTGATTTTCAATCGATCTATTTAAATAACATTAGGTGTAACGAGTACCTAGGTTTGCTGCTACAAGGAAACTAATAAAGTGTGTGTTTTAAGTAAAATAATTATTGCTTAGTAGAAAATGAATATATTTGCCAAGTTTGATCAAAAGATATCCATAAACAAGCAAACTACAACATTTTACAATATTCTCCATAAGAATAACATGGGAATTTTAAATTTACAATTTTTTTAGTTTTCTCCGTAACCAATAACCGTGCAAAAACACTTTGATATACTGAATTGTTTGTTTTTTTAAGCTCTTTAAGAAGGTTTAGATAAAAATTGGGAAATTTTGTGTTTTGAGGGTCAAAAGTGAGAAAACCCAATTTTTACCCCATAAAACCCCCCATAAAACCCTGTACCCATGGTCCGATCATGCTGGATCGCGAACTCATTCAAGTTTATCCCGCCTTACACCTTCAAAACAAAATTTCATCAAAATCGGATAAAAATTACTCAAGTTATCGTGTTCACGGAAACATATATATATATATATAAATCTATATATACATATATATATAAAAATTTGAACGAATGGTGTTTTTGGCCTCTGGGGACATCAAAATGAAAAAGTAAATCGGTCCCGGGCCTAAGTCTTACCATGAGACCTACGGTAATAGCTACTTCCCTATAGGGAAATTCGCTAAAAGAAACAAAACAAAACAGTAAATGTCAAGAGCCAACATTGATATTGCTTTATATTACCTTTTTTAATGGAGATTGTTTTTCTTCAGTTATTTTACTATGTCTCTTTCTTGATTTCACCAGCAAATAATGATTGTCTTCTTTATATCCTTTTCTTAATGGTGCCTGCAAGTATGTAAATGCCATTGTTAATCATTTATTTTAGGATTTTTTTATTTTAAATTTGCAGCAGTGACCGATTAAAATCATTTATAATGTATTTATAATTGAATTGATAATAAACTCTATCAAATTGTTTCCTACTAAATAAATATTGATAGAGATGTTTAATGTCATAAATATTAGTTTCTTTACCAAATTCAGTGGCGGTTCCTTGCCGCCGCCGCCGCCTTGTTCCTCGGTGTCCCAGTGTGCAGACGACAGAACTATGGACCTTTCAGTGGTCGGTTCAGCATTGGGATCAGGAGTTGTGGTCGTACGTCTGGTCCAGCTGATCTAAACAGTAAAACAGCTGATCAAGTCAAACAGGAGACATAGGAATTAAAGATTCTCACTTGTTTACTTATATAATATACAACTGTATCACTGCAATATGGTACTGTACAGTGTTAAAAAAAAGTATTTACAGTATCATTAAAGTAGATTAAGAAAACAATGTTTGTGATGGTATAATAACATTGTCATCCATGCAACTTTTAACCCTTCCCGGACAGGTGACGGATATATCCGCCTAAGTCTTTGGCGATAAAGGACGGGTGGCGGATATATCCGCTTATGGGTTTTGATGTTCCGAACGGGAAGCGGATATATGGAGGTTCAATAACACCTTATCACTAAACATTTTAACAGACATATTCCATAAGGCAAGAGACCGCTCGTCGTGCCAACGCTCAGATGGAAGAGCTGAAACATAACACCGAAAGTAGCAGAGAATGAAGGGTGTATTGTTGGTGAGGCAAAGAACCTTCTTAGGTATCAATGGTCAAGGAGTTAAGGCTAAGTAGTAACACCAAGAAATATTATGAATACCAAACTGGAACTACAGGGTGTTTTTAATGCAACCCAAATATTACAAGTACTGTGTTGTTAAGTTTAATGAAAAAAACAGGCCATATCCCTCTTTTATTTACTTCATTGCTTATAAGCTGATATTTTATGCATTGTTGTTGTTATGCATGTAATCTATTAGTTTTTTTAGTGTTATTGGTATTAATGTAAATAAGACTCAATAGGGTGTTTTCACCAGCTCAAAATAGAATATGTATTGCAGGTATTCGTTTTTTTTTTTTTTTTTTTTTTTTTTTTTTTACTGTGGATCAGGTTTCTTTAATATTTTTAAAGGCAATAATTTTAGTTGATTTATAAGGTACTCTAATCACACAAGGAAACTTAATTTCAAACCTTTCTTGGGAATGATTTATGTACTTTAAACGTACTGTATTCTTCTATCCCACGGTAATACTCATGGTAAGACCTATATGGGAAATTCGCTAAAACAGGGATAAGTTTACCAACATATAAGCTTGTTTTATCATTAAAATGTCTCTCACATGATGACAGTACTTTTAATTTGGGTTGAGTTAAAAAAAAAAACACCCTGCATAAGGTTTATTGTAGGAAAAAATCAAAACTTATGATTGAGTTACTCACTTTTACTCCTGGTTTCCATGTGAAGGGGGAGATGTCTACCCACTTGGACAGAACAGGTTGGGACTCTTGGCTAGGAGTCTGAAATAGAACACAGGTTCTTAATGTTTTTAATTCACTTAGAATTGTTATGAGTGGATTAGAGTTGTAACAGATGATTTATATGTAGCTTTTGTGACAAACACAATGCCACTGTTAATAATTAATTTAAAATTTTTCCAAATTACAATTTCTTTGTAAGTTCAATTAACATACAACTTTGAGGATTGTTACACTATTTTTGTCCTAGGACGCTAATCCAGAATTGTTTTTCACATTACTTCAGGCTAGACCCAGGGGTTGTGGCATTATTTAACTTGGATAAAATCCATTGGTGGTTTGGCGGGATTTGAACCCACCAGGACTGAAGTCCCACGCTCTGCCACTAGACCAGCTCGCCTTTCATACATTTGAGGTTGGATTCTTATTATCGTACAATAAAAGTACCAACACAATAATATTGATACAACACACTGCACACCTGTGTTCCTCCAATCCTATCCCTCATGTCTTAATCACAATTCTAACAGAGGCCTGTGACTGAGTCAATGAGTATCATTTTTATTTCAGTAGTTTTTTTTCTATAAAATGTTTTAAATTAGTTTCCAAGCAATCCAGACTTTACTGTACGCATTCTTGGTGTATTTAACCAAGTAGACTATTAGTAGACTTACCCCTGACATTTGTGCTTATTTGACCTTACCAGGGCTGGTTATAAGGTCAGATAATGAAGACTCCTTTGTTTATTATTTATTTACTACATTATTTTTTTAATTGTTACGAAAACAAAACTCACCCAAGGTGGAGCAGTTCGTGGATTTTTCAACAAATCTCGAATCTCAGCGCTCCAGTCAGGCCTATCTCCGTCTTTTTCTTGCCTGTACTAAGAATTTTACAGGATCAGTGTAACTTACATTTAAGGGAAAGGTAAATAAAACAATAAATATAGCATTAAATAATTTTTGATGTAGCTAACAACAACAACCTTTTAGATTTGAAAAATTTTGTTTCATAATTGCAATTTTAAAAATTTTAATTGAGGTAATGAAGAATTTGTTCAACTTTTAAAATTTAATACCTATTAAAAATGTGTTAGGAGCCTAACAATCCATTTTAGGAGTCCTACCACATACATGGACAAAAGTTTTTAAAACTTAAAATTTTGGGCTTCTGGGTGGTCAGAATAACATTGGACTTAGCAAAGCCTTATAGTAATAGAGATTTCCCTGTGAGGAAATTACCCAAAATTGGAAATTATGTATAGTTATTGTCTACTATACGTTTCTATTGTAACAAAAACATTTTACTCCAAGGTTTTCTTAGAACATCACATTTAGCAAAAGACACATTCATTTTACTCACGGCGTTCCACCATAATGGATCTTTAGGCTCTGGGGTGCGAGGTCTTCCTTCACTATCTATGGGATTCTCCTGTAAAATATTTTTAAATGAAAACAAAAAAAATTACATAAATCAGTGAATGATTGTTTAAACCCTAGAGAGTATTTCAAGAATGTTAGGTCAGGAAATTACAGAGAATCAGGTAATGAGATCTGTTCCTAATAAAATAATTCCTTATACATTTTCACTAACCATTTAACAAGAACATACGGTTCAATGCAAAACAGCTGCTATCCAGTCGTATGTTGATGTTAGCTCATTCCACGGATATTAGAACAGAAAGCGGTGTGAAAATCATAAACATAAAGAAATTACGTAATTGGCCCCAAATTCTTTACTAATAAACATTAACATTATGGCTTAGACAGTTCCATTTAAGCGTTAAATAATGTTTACTTTCGGGCCAGTAATATAATTTGTTCAAGTCTATGATCCATACCGTTTCTTTTTTAGTATTCGTAGTTCATTCTATGTTTGCATACTGTGTCCTTCCTTACACCATACATTGTCTGTGATTGTAGTCTGAAGCTGATATGTTGGTCCATATCAATTTTGGTTACGATTGAGTGTTTAAATGCTGACCTCAAAGAGTTTCTCTTTTGTTTAGGGTACATTTTACAAAACTTGCTAAATTTTTTGTAAACGTCGAAGAACAATCAAAAGCTTACAAATAGATAATAATTTTTAGTAAAATTAGTTTCAAAGCTGGTTAAATTATAACAAAAATTTAAAAACAAAACATCCTCTACATAAATTGGACAGAAATTTAACGGTAGGGAAACCTTCAGACTCTTTTGAGGTTTACCCATAATTACACAGAATACTACTTCTCGTACAAATGCTACATTAGGATGAGAAGTATAGTATAGAATTGTTTCAGGAGTGAAAAACCAAACAAATAGATGCACAGAATCAAAAGATGTTAGTGTGCATGCAAAAGTAGACAGAAGAACAGCTGGCAGTCTTAGTTTGGTGAGCACATTTTCCTAGCGCAGGGAAGGATGATATTGGTTTGTCATATCAAAATCATTTATCAACCATTGAATGGACTTATTACTTTAGATTGTTGGTTCATTTCTTCCTTACTGGTGTCAGCTGTGTAATAATCAATAGAGTGGCTCAGGAACAATATCTATCCTCCCAGCGTGTCGATAGGAAAAAGTGTTTATCTCCCAAGTTACTCAATGTTTGTGGTTTTCACTCAGGAAATGAATTGTACTTGCGCTATTCAATGTCAAAACACGATCAACATTTAATTTTACTTGCCGTTGTTTCCGGGGCGTAATTGAACTTGATTATTTCTTCTTCAATCATTTTATTGATTCTCATCTCGTTGCTGGTCCATGGCATATCTGTTGAAGGCTCTTTCTTAATGTAATGTGCAAGTTCTTCATCTGTGTCTTTACCCGCAAGGGCAGCTGAACTTAAGTAACAAACTAAAAAACACCATGTTTCCATCCTGTAATATTTCAAAAACTACCTCTAACCACTTTATAAAATCTACCTAACCCCTTTCATACACATACCAGTAAACTTAGGTATGTTATTTCCCCCACTTGAATAAATTACACATGAAATAACAAGTTTATCTCACAACCATCTTATCACTTGTGAATCTAATTACATTGTGACATTTGTAATTATTGTTTTAAATAGCTGTCAGGTTAATATGCTAAATTCTTTTGTGTCAAATCAATTAGGTTCTATAACTGTAATTATTGTTTGCAATGGTCGCTGATTGATTCTACTACTTAACCCATTTAACTCAAGATTATACTAATTTTAAATGTTGCAGGTTGCAGGGTATAGCTTTTGATTGATAGAATTAGGAATTCCATCCCCAAAAAACTTATAATATAAAGTTGTAACTGGTTTATGATTAAAATTGATGTAAATTTGCACGCTAACATAACTTTTTAACCAAGCCAACTCCTACGAATTTTAGGACAAGCTAAGTTTGGGAATGTGTCAAAGCCATATGCAGGTTAGGGGTTGAGATCAATAAAGTCACAGTATGCTGGTTTTCCAGACATTCTGGGTTTGATGGAAACAAAAAGGCAAATCAGTTCAAGTCAGGGAACAAACTGTCTATAGGACCCGAACCACAAACCATCTTAAAAAATCTGATACGTTATAATTCAAGAAAGAAAAGGATTAAGTTATGTATTAGAAAGTATTATATTTGAAAAAGAATATGATATGGTAAATTTGATCAAGAATTTATTTTGGAAAGATATTCAGATAAAATATTCCCGTGTTTAGCACTGGAAGGGTGGTATGCCATGTACAAGGTGGCAGCGCTTTTGCAAAGTGCAAGAAATAACAGCCATAGTGGCTCGAAACAGCTGGTTACTTTACAAACACACAACCAGTCTGTCTACAGATAGTTAAAGAGAGATAAGTTTCCTTGGATTATTGCTATGGGTTAGTTAAACATCAACAATTATAACCTTAAAAACTTTATTCAAAACTTTTGATATAGTAAAAAATTAACATATCTAATTGTAAATTTACAATTTTACACTGTTGCATGTCAAAGACAAATTCTCACTTTAAACTGTTTTTTAAAGACAATTTTGTAATAGGAAAAACAAAGCTACAATTTGTTACATAGTTATAAGTTGAAATTATTGTCGAAAGACATTGAGAAGTATCTCATCTTATACTTATTGATAGCAATTATCATGGTATTCAATAAACATTACAAAAGAAAGCTGATAAACAGCTCCTAAATTAAACCTGAAACTGATATTTCCTAAGTAGGAGCTTTGACTAAAAGTTGGTTGTAGTAGGAACTACTTATTCTATACTGTCAGACAATAAGTTGATTAAACAATGTCACTAAACAATGTTTAACATAAGTGTTAAATCTGAATCTGAAGCCACAAACTATGTGTTGTAAAAACATTTTCAAAATTTGAAAGAAAAATTTGATTACGGTTGACCAGTCTTGACTAAAAATCGCCAACCCAATCATAAACATTGAAATGTGTATTGATTTTGATATATATTTTCTAGCCCCAGCTGCAGATGTTAACACATTAATTTAAAACAGATTACAATCCATTTTAGAGTTTTGATTTGTAAAAAATGTGTCTATTTCTAGCCTATAGCATAGACTAACCAACACAAGTAGACTTCTCATCCCATTGTAAATTTTGAAGCACGTTTTTCGTGTCTAGTTCATGTACGTGACACAAAGGCGCTAGTGTCGATGAAACTTTGTTTCCATTATTTTAGGGTTAATTTCTTGATTTGTGCTTTACTGTTTGGTTATATAACTAGGGGACAAGTTATTGTTTATGATTAGATCGTATTATTTGGTTAAACGAGGTTTTAAATGGCTGTAACAACGGGAAACAAATTGTAAACAAAACACGACCTCTACATAAACCGTACATGAACTAACAATAAAATTGTCTTCAGCTGTTCCATAAGGATGAGAAATCTACTAAGGGAGTAGGTTTTATCTATGCCTATAGCTAGCTCTCATACTAGGAGTAGAGTGTAATATTGGGTCCATTTGTTCTGGTGAGTTCTCAATTTTTTTCTCCAATTTTTCTAGTGAATCATCTGAAACAATAAACGCTGTATTGAAAAATTGAAAAAAGTAGTAAATAAATCTAAAATTTGAACACCCAATCCTGTTTTTTTTAATTCTTGAGAAAAGGCATATTGTTTCTAAAAAAGTATTGTTTACTAAACACTTTATTAATTAGAATTGAAAAACAAAATTATGAGTCCACAACACTTTAAGAAGAGATAAAAATATGTAGTAAACAACCTGCAATGACCAATATTAAACAGTTATTTACTAACTATTTAAATAAACATGTTTTCCTAGAGCATGAACATTTTACTTAATGAAACAAAATAAATTCTGTACAATTTTGTGACTAATTAACAGACAAATTATTCCCAGGTGTCCAAAAAGTAAATTATAAATGTTTATACATCTATTAAAGAAGGAATTTATGATGTAACTATTTGGTATTACAATTATCGTAGTATCCTGTGGCTAGTGCTGGTCCTTGTACTGTAATTCACTGTTTTGGTCGATAGACCTCGCATATACAATAAATTGTTCGTTTTTCAATACTAAGTCGTAAAAAACTAACAATACAGTAGACTCTCTCTTATCCGGACTCCTAGGGACCGAGGCCAGTCCGGATAACGGGTTTTCCGGTTAAACCGAGTCACTAAAAACTCGTTAAAACGGACCGTTTACTGTGATATTCGACTTAAATTTAGGAGAGCATTGTATTTAGACACGTGATCAATGGTCTAAAATCTTTCCCACGAGAACAGTCGTTTCAGTAATGCCACTTCCTGCCGATCTAGTCCGGTTAAACCAATGTGCTGATACAATTTTTTTCGGTTAAAGAGATGTCATTTCCGCCGAGGGTAGTCCGGTTAAACCGATGTCCGGTTAAAAGGTGTCCGGATAAGAGGGAGACTACTGTATATGAAAAATTATGTATAATCAAACCCCCACTCCCCACCACCAAACTGTTCCTTGCTATGTAACAACGCCTGCCAAGTAGGCGACTCCATAGGGGGTGCAACGTCCTCAATATTATCTTCTAAGACAATGTTTCTAACAATTTCCCTACCACCTTTTAATTTCACTAAATCTAATTGAGAAACCTACAACTCACTGCTCTCAAGTCACTGACACAGTAAGAAACAGAAATGGCCAATTCAAATACGAGTCGCATTAAAATTAAGTACGAAACCTTCACTACAAACAGAGACAGAACATTCCACATCGAATGCTGAGCTCAAATTGAGGTTTGACAAAACTACTGCATGACATCACAAGACTTACCTTATCCTCGTCTAGGCCTTCCCTTTCCCCTCAGTGGATGTAACCTTCTCATCCTCAAAGGTGGGTCTTCTCCCATCCGGCTTCCTCCGATATTGGAAGAGCTGGGACATTCGGAATCATAAATAACAACATTGAGCTTAGTAAAGAAATAACAAAGAATTATTATTATTGCTATTATTATTATTATCATTATTATTGCTGCCATATATACAGTAAAGCTACATAAGAGCGCTGTTGGATATAATATTTTCAAAAATATATGTCCATCTACATAGATCAGTTGAGCAAGTTTAAATATGGGGTAGTACTAAAAAAGGAAGCTAAACTACAGTGAGATTATTTGTACAGGGTGTTTGATAGTCAGTGTCAAGATTTAAAGGCATTTTTATGCATGCAAATTACAATAAAAATACACAATTTGAATGATCGGATATCTCCCCCTCCCTCATTCCAAAAATAGTTATTTTTAGAATTTTAAAATTTTCTTGACATTGCCTATTAAAATCTATTTTTTCAGCTTTTAGTCAACGTGATGATATTTTCATAGATTTTTCAAAATCTGCATTAAATATTCTACCAGGAAAATTTAAGTTTGTTAAGCATATAATCATGCAAAACTTTTACTACTTTTCATAACTGCATGACCCTATACTAATTAACTCACAAATTGCCACAATGTAAAAGAAAACACCAAAACATCTTCAAACAGCTAGTATATACAAATCAAGTGTATTCACAAGAACAACATTGCAACATCGGAAGCCAGTGGGGAAAAGCACAAGGAGAGTTTCGCAATAGAAATATACTTATGTCCATCTGTAATGTATTGGCTCTATTATGCGAAATATCAGCTCAATTGGTCCTGCAGTTTTCATGTGAAAGACTTTCTGACATAGGTATTTGCAATTCACAAACATCCAAATGTTTACGTTTATTATATTTAGTAAGATAATAATACCTCTCTCAAACAACAGGTGGACATTAACAATCCAAACAATCCAGATGAGTCATAACAAGACAAGGTTTTGGACCGTTCCCAATAAATGTAAAAAATGCCAAAATACAGTAGACTTTAAACTCACCTACTATGAGCCCCGGGGCCTGTGATGTAGTCAGTGTTGCCACTATCCAACCTTAACCCTCTTCTAACTCTCGTCTGTCGCTCCAACAGATCCTCTACCTCAACAGACCGCTTGGCTCTCCGGAAATTCTTCTGTTTGGGGAGAACAACATGAACGGAAAGTAAATAAAATAAACGTCTTATAACACTTAAAACATATATTTACGCTTATACTGTTACTCACAAGACGGTAAATATACAAAAACGATGGTAAGTGGTGATCGATTTCGATTGGACACTCCAATCATCATCAGACCCAATAGGCGAATGTGGGGTCTTCGCCTATTGGGTCTGATGATGATTGGAGTGTCCAATCGAAATCGATCACCACTTACCATCGTTTTTGTATATTTACCGTCTTGTGAGTAACAGTATAAGCGTAAATATATGTTTTAAGTGTTATAAGACGTTTATTTTATTTACTTTCCGTAAATTTAATAACACGTACAATGCTGATCAAGAAGTTATTTAACAACATGAAAACAAACGGAACAACAACACTTACATTATGGAACAACAGCAATAACTTGAATGATGGTAGATCGAATAAAATAATTTTTTCTCGGTGAAGGCATAGTTACCACTAATACAAAGCCACTGCAAGACAAAAGTGGCAACGCCGCAGTTTGCCATTCTGGAAACAGCTGCACTAATTTATAATGAAGTGTACAAGCAATGTTTTTGTTTGCAGGTTCCTTATTCCTGTTATTACCAGGGCAATAGCCACCCCGGTGCGACGTTGCCACTCACCAACGGCATCAATTAGTCACAATTCAACAAGTGGATTGACATAAACAAATCAAAAAATGTTGGAAGTTAAAAAAAAAAATAAATGGTTAGCAAACTGACACACTCTCTCACACAAGCTTGTTATGAAATATTATGGTTTTTATGGGGAAATAAGTTTTTCTGTTATTTGTTGGGTTTTCATATCAAAACTATAGTTAATAAAAACCCCCGCCCCAGCAAAACCTGCAGACTAAGTGGATTTCCTCGTGATTATTTAAATTTTACTCAAATAGGTATTTCATTTCAAAACTTGGTAGATTCATTCCCTATATAAAATAGCATTAAGTTTAACTAGTGGGCCTAGTTAGCTGTGATAAGGAAGTAAAAAAGTATTTTTATAACGTTCATAAGTATAGTATGAAATAAGTGAATTTGCAAAATTTGATGAAAATATATTCATAAAGAAGTAAACTACAGCAGTTTACATTTCCCCATAAGAATAGCATTGGGAATTTTAAGTGATGACGAGTTTTTTTTTTCAAATTTTCTCCTTAACTTTTGAACCTACAACAACAACACTTCAAAATACAAAACTGAAAATAATTATTAGTTTTTTTATCCTTTTCATTATTATTTTGATTAAAACTGGGCATTGCTATGTTCTAAAGGTAAAATCATGAAAAAAGTATTTATGAAAAGTTTTAAAACCCCATAACTCCTTTCTTAGCGTGTTCACGGACACATATATTTAACAAACAGATTTTATTACCACTGGGGACATTAAAATGGAAAAGTAAATTGGACCAGGGTCTAGGTGTTACTGTGCCACCTACGGTAATAGCTTATTCCCTACAGGAGAAATCGGTTCAGTTCAAAATTTATTTAAAAAAAACCAACTGGAGGTAGCATTGATTAGACCCACATACCAAATTTCAATTTTATCAAAAAAGAACCACAGGTCTAGTTTTTAACTGTACACATCCACACATAATTTTCATGTCAAGCTAATGGAAGAGAGTATTTGTTTTACTTAGTGGCTCATACCATTTATTTATTATTGGTTTTTTCTTACTTTTCTGGCTTTTTCAAAAATTTGATTATAATTATGTCATTTAACAACCCTTTAGTATAATATTGTTATGCAAAAATCATTTGATGATACAAACCCTGTATTTTAAACGTTAATAGTGATATGGTAATCAGCTTACCGCTCCATTGCCGAACCTAAAGCCTCCCCTCCCCCTTCCTCTTCCCCGTCCACGTCCTCTCTCCCCTCTGGGTGCAAACCCTCCCTTCTTTCTCCTGCCAATACCACCTCCGATGGTCTCCCCTCGGTCGTAAGCTTCCTTCTCTGCGTCCCTGATAGCTTCTCTAGCTGCTGCTCTCAGGGCTTCTTTCGCTGTCATGCCAACTGGTTTCTGTAAACAAATTCATCTACGATTGATATTTTAACTTAAGCAGCCTATGTTTACACTCCTAGCCTTAACCGTTTTAATCAAAAGAAAATTTTTTCCGATTGAAAATATGGTTTTACTCTCGACAAATCTACATGAAGTTTCGTTTCAATTCAATTCAACCAAGTAGATACTAAACAATTCAACCAAGCAAGAGTACCTGAATCTAAAGAAATAAATTTTCACAACAATGCATCGGCTCTGTTTTTGCATTTAAAGGTTTTATTTTGTAATTCTTTACCGAGATTTGGTCTTTAAAGAACATGAAAAATTAAGTTATGAGATTTGGAAAAATACTAAATAAATAAAAATCAGCAATAAAATTCTCCCTAGGTAAAAAATTGTTAAAGCAACTGAGTTATAAACTCAATTATAAATAGAGTTTAATAAATGTTGTGTCGTCTAAAACTGCAATGGAAAATACCCCTTGCTATAGAATATGAATCAATTCATAACAAACATACTAGTTATTACTATGCAACATTTTACAATACTCTGTTTACAATCAACTTTGACAACAGTGACAAGAATGGCCTTAAAATAACTTTAGAGTCTTACCCAACTGGTAAGCCAAAGTTTGACTTCTAAGTCACATTGACTTTTAAAGCTGGACAATTTAACTATGTGTATACAATAAATGTAACAAAAATGCTTATTGAACATACAAGAAAAACGGGGCTATACATAAATGAAGAGAAAACCAAGTTTATGACATGTGGAAGAAAACAAGATGATGACCAACCAAGATACCAAAATAACAACTACATTGAAATTGAAGAGTATAAATTTAAAAAAGTAACAAATTTCAAGTATTTGGGAGTCATCCTCACCAGCGATAATGATGAAGAGCTAGAGATTCAATATAGATTAAACCTAGCACAAAAAAGTTTTTCGGCCTGTCACAAGTTACTAACTTCAAAAATAATATCCCACACCACCAAACTCAGGATTTATAAGACAATCATCAGACCAGTTCTCCTGTGTGGTTCAGAAAATTGGATCTTAAGCAAGAAATCAGAAAGGAAAGCTATTGTATTTGATAACAAGATTTTGAGGAAAGTGTACGGACCCATTTTTTAGGATGGACAATGGAGATCAAGACATAATTGGGAACTTAGAGAATTATTTAAGGATCCGGATATTGTCGCTGAGGTACGGAGCAGAAGACTGAGATGGGCAGGGCATATTCTAAGAAAAGATGACAACTCCCTATCAAAGAACATCTTGAGGAATAACCCAGAAGGTAGAAGGCCCCTTTGGAAGACCGAAACTTAGATGGTTCGACCAAGTGGAGAAAGACCTGAGGAAGCTAGGGAGAAGGAAGGAAGATGCAAGAAGCAGAGACCTATGGAGGCAGTGTGTTGGGGAGGCCAAGTACCATCTAGGGTACCAGTGGCCACAGCAGTAAGTAAGTAAGTAAGTATACAATAAAGGTATACTTCCTGGTGTTGAAGAGGGAAGTATTGCAGCTGTACTAGAGATTAAGACAGAAATCAAGCAAGGGGAACCAATCTGTATGAGACTGCCGAAAAAGATGGTGCATCACTTTATTATTTATGGTTGTTTAAAAGGTAAGATGTTGTTTTTCGGTATGGAAAAGAATCAAAACTAAGATTTGTACAATCAGTTCAAACATCTGAGCCCAAAAACTTCCTTAGCAAAACAATACCTTATTTTGAGATAAGCCTAGTTGATTTGCTAATGACTCACCGCTTGTGGCTTGGCTCTCATAAACTCCTCCATCATTTTGTTGACCGTCTCTTCTGGGACGGTAGTCACCACTTCAAAATCCTCCAGTTCTAAGGGCGGTAGAGTCATCGGTCTCTTCATTTTAATCTTTTTCACAGTCACTGATGGCTTGTCTACACTAGCCCCTGTTGCTGATGGTAAGTCTTCACCAGCCCCCATAGCTGATGTCATGTCTACACCAGCCCCCGTTGCTAATGGCATGTCTACACCAGCCCCCACAGCTGATGGCATGTCTACACCAGCCCCTGTTGCTGATGGCATGTCTACACCAGCCCCCGTTGCTGATGGCATGTCTACACCAGCCCCTGTTGCTGATGGCATGTCTACACCAGCCCCCATTGCTGATGGCATGTCTACACCAGCCCCTGTTGCTGATGGCATGTCTACACCAGCCCCCGTTGCTGATGGCATGTATACACCAGCCCCCATAGCTGATGGCATGTCTACACTAGCCCCCATTGCTGTTGGCATGTCTACACCAGCCTCCGTTGCTAATGGCATGTCTACACCAGCCTCCGTAACAGCGGCTGCCACTTCTGTCACAATATCTCTCACCACCGATGCTGTTGGTGCGGCTTCCATCGCTGCTACAATAGGAGCAGTTTTTGTTGCAACCTCGAAAAGCTTTTTAAGATCTTGCATGTTCATGATACGGCCTTTGCGAGTGATCTGGAAACCAGAAATTAAACGTGAAGTTAATGCTATTATAAATATTTCCAAAATGGGTAGTAACTTCATTTTAATTGTGAAACAAATCTGTAATTTTAAGGTAATCTCTGGTCAAGAGTCCTATTACTATTTTTATTATTAAATGTGTTAAAACTCTGACGATTTTGATATTCTTCTACAACAGCACATCAATTTAAAAAATATCCACAAAAGGTAATTTTTTATTAGTCTCAAAAATACAAATCTGAAAGTAAATATTTTAATAGTTCTTGATTTATAAAAATGTATAACACATTCTCGTAGATTTAAATAAGTATTGAAATGGGCACCTATCTTGACAATGAGTATTTAAATTATTCATGTTACATATAATTTTTCATTGTATCCATTTTACCAAATCACAAACAAATTAATTGTAGATCTTTAATCAGTTTTCTTGCCAGAAACATAACACCATGCTTCAAGAATGAAATAGTAATTAAAAAATGTTTATTTTGTGTCCTTGCTAGAAGTTTTCCACTTTTTTACCATTTGTGATCGGAAAGACTATTTATTGCACAAATGGTCAGCTGTACTCGCCGAGGTCTCAAACATTTCTCATCAATTTTGTTATCTCTGCCACTCACAGTTACTGGCCAAAACTTGAAAGCCCAATACAACAGGCCATAATCACAGGTTTATTCACAATTTTTTTTTTTTTGTTTTAATGTCTAAGGGGTGACACTTATACTCAATTTCACGTTCACCGTACAGTACAGAAGTCTTAGGGAAAATAGTTGCTGAGGCGTAGCAAGGGGAGTCATTAGGCTCAGGTGCCAGCCAGGAAGGGGGGTTGACAACATAAAAAAAAGATATTCCACGAAAACATTTTTTACGGTTAAAAGGAACACCAGGCCAAGAAGATTCTGCAACTAATTGTTTGCCCAAAAAAAAAACTAAGTATGGTGTTTTTAAATAGGATGGACAACACAAAATTACACTTTACTTAGGTCTTCAATACTTACCAAGTTTCCATGGTAATCATGATCATGGGATATGTGGTCTCCGAGGCCATATGTCTGAAAAAGTAGTTTCAAACGATCAGGTCAAAAATCCAAACCATAAAATAATCAAAGGAGGACAAAAAAATAATTTTTAGTAGGAATTATATCAATAATATTTTTCATTGAGGTTTTGTATACAGTAAACTCCCTCTTCTTCAAACCCCTTTTAACCGGACATCGGTTTAACTGGACTTCACTCGGTGGAAATGACATCTCTTTAACCGGACAATTGTTATCAGCACATCGGTTTAACCGGACTAGATCAGCAGGAAGTGGGTGGTACTGAAACAACCAGATTTGAAACCAGTGATCACAAGTCTAAATACATTGCTCTCGTAATTTAAGTCAAATACTGTGTGGAGTATGCATTTAAACGGTCCGTTTTTGGGGATGTTGGTTTAACCGGAAACACCGTTATAAGGACTGGCCTCGGTCCCGAGGAGGCCGGATAAGAAAGAGTCTACTGTACAATCTTTTTCAATAAATTATGTTTTGATTATTATTTTTTTCTATTTAAAAAAGTGTTAACTAAGTTATAGTTGAATATAAGATGGTCATCCATAAAGTAACACAGGATTCATATAGGCGCCGTTTGGGGCAGTCCTCTCGTGTCCATCTTATCATCAAAGCGCCTATAATCAGTCCGCATTCAGCTACGGCAATGTGCACATCATATTTCTTGTACTCTGTCTGAAGTGTTAAAATAAGTGCTTTCATTGCAAATCCTGACAATGGTAAGGTGCTCTATGTGATCATATTTTTTGCAAAAATCATAAGCCTATTGAAATTCATTGCCAGATTTGTGATGTTTAGGGCAAAGGAGTGATGATTGAAGCATATGTGAGAACTTGACCTTCTACAGAGCTCCGTTTCTTGCACAATTTTTATTCCAGATGCGGTTTTTGATACGGACAAAATGAGAGTTAAAAAATGAAAAATTATAAAATTAATTTTATAATTTTTTCATTATAACCTAACTTTTATTATTTTTTTACTATAACAAACTTGCTGATAATGAAAAAAATCTAATGAAGGTTTAGCCTACTAATTGAAAAAATAGTTCTGTTCATAAAATAAAATTATAAATGCCTCAAATTCTAACAAAAGATGTACAGTTTAGAAGAGATCGCATTTTTAATTTCACATATTTTAAATCAATGCACCACTGTCTAACTTGGTCTTCAATCATTACTTCTTTGCCATAAACATCACAGATCTGGGGATGAATTCAAATAAGCTTCTGGACTGTTACAACAAATGTTTATTAGAAACTCCTCCCCACAACAGAAGGGAAAGTGCGATGGCATTGCTCATTTCAACACTCAACTGCAGATTGCGTACAAGACTTATAGGTACGCATGCTACTGTAACTGATTGTATACTGAATGTAGAAACTAGGAATGCTTGCTAGTAAGATGGCGCCGAGAGTACGAGCCAACAGTTAGCCACCAAACCTTTCTAACAGAAAGGTTCTTAATATAATCAATGCAGATTCAAACAAATAAATTGCTAGTGTAATTACATTTTAACTTGAACGTTGTAACCAAAATTATTTAACAACCAAGCTTTCAGATATACCGTTAAAATTAAACAAATCCATAAAAGATTTGTTTTATCACCTGACTCCATAACTAACTCAACAATGGTGCAATCAGTTTGACTTGGCATGGTCAACAGAAATCAGTAATTTACATCAGCACACTATGTTGGTCGCTCAATTAACGTACATACATTTTCATTCTAAAATTGGTGTTTACTTAAACACGGGGGAAAATGCTATCAAATAAATGTATAACTTTACTGGTTCATCATTCACCTTATAAGTGCCTGAGGGGATGTATCCCAGAGATTGTCTGTCAAAGCGTTCCCGGTCGAACCTTCTAAAGGATCGGCGCTGGTAAGTAGCGTTCCTAATGGCCATCTGAAGCTGCAATAAAACAATTGAACTTGTTTAATAAAATAAAATAATCTTATAGGTTAAAGGCAGTACAAATAAAGTTTTATGATATATAAAAAAAAAGTAGTGTTCATTTAATTCAAATCTCACCGTTCCTCAAATCAGCTAAATACAAAAAGGAATACGGTAAGAATAAATAGTTTTTAAAATATTCTGAGGTTTGGAAAGTGAGAGTACAGAATATTTTATTATTCTGTAGAAACCTTCCACTCTTGGATTATTTACTAATAACATCACATCAGGAGTGTAATCGCAAATCATCCAGTATGGGAACACTATTATTTTTCTAAAAACTAACTAGCAAATAGGACTAAAATATAGGATTCCTGGACAATGAGTCTGAATCTTTATCATGTATCTATCTTTGTTAATTGGCAATAAGTAAAGAAGCCTGTAACTCTTTTTTACCTCTAAATTATTCACAACAGTAATTTGGACTGTGCCAACATAATATTCAAGCTTTCAAAATACAGAAGCTACAAATGAAAAATTGTAAGAAATTGGAAAGGAAAATGCTTTTTGACATACAAATCAGAATCACCAAGACAGTCAATCATTAAGACAGTCAAAACTCACCCTTGGAGGGAAGGTGTACGATCTGGTAGGACGGGAAAAGTTGTACACTGACTGAAAAAAACAATTTTTGTTAGTATAAAAATCACTTGCAGCACTATAATAAAATTGGTCAGAATTAGAAATAGAATAATAAATATGAAACACCTATAGTCCTCGCCACCCTAAGTTGAGGCAGCCAAAGGCCGCACTAGATATACACCGTGCGGCCTTGGGCTGCCTCAACTTAGGGTGGCGAGGACTATAGGTATCCACAGAGATGTAAGGTACAGAGGAAACGTTCAAAGGTACACTTAAGTGGCAGCCCTAGTAATTTGAAAATGTACCCTACTGCTAAATCTCATTAGTTTTTTTTTACTGTTTCAATAAAATGATTCCTAGTGTCCTGTTCCTCTCTTATCAGTTTCACAACAATTCAAATAATTCCATCCATCATTATGTTATATCGAGATATAGGTATCTTTGCTAATTTTGTCAAAGTTTCTTTTCATTTAAAAATGTTTTATCTACCCCTAGGAATAATTATTAATCTGTTAATGTATGGATGTAATTTCTTTCCTGCCTTAGATAATTTACGTTTGCTGAAACAATGAAATTATTTTAGGTTAGCTTTCTAAAAATCTTAGATTTATGTTTTTATTCTCCTTTTTATGGTCAGATCTAAAACAGTTATTGTTCAGTTTCTAGTAGTACCAACCCTACACTATTATTATTTCATACTATATTACATTTGCATTTAGGTTTTATACCTTTATAGTGTTACAAATACAGAAGATATAGAAATTCAGAACAGGATAAATGCAACAAATTGGTAAGTTTGGCAAAGTTGGTATGAATGTGGAAAACTAATTAAATCAAAGTTGTTATCAAGGAAAACAAAACTCTAGAAATCAATAAACCAGTACTTTTATATGGAGGGGGAAATTGGGTCCTGAGAAAAAACATGGAAAATAAGATTAGGCCTTTCAGAATAGTTTTAAGAGCTATATGGTCCAGTATGTGAAGATGGAGTATGGAGAATCCGCCACAACCAAGAGTTAAGAGAATCATTCCGATACCCCAAATTTGTAGGAGAGGCCAAAAGCAGAAGGCTAAGGTGGGTTGGCCATATCTTGAGGAGAAATAAGGAGAGCTTGTTGAAGAAGAAGGTACTAAGGGGAGATCAGAGGGGAAGGAGACCAGTAGGAAGACCAAAAGCTAGGTGGTGGGATCAAGTACCGAAGGATATGGAAAAAAATTAGACTAAGAGAGGAAGATTCGGAGGACCGAGAGAACTTTCGACAACGTGTTGGCAAGGCTAAGTATCAGCTTGGGTACAAGTGGCCATGGCAGTAAGTAAGTAAGTATAGTGTTACAAATTATAACTACAGCCTCATTTTTCAGATTAGTATTTATTAACGACATACCCTGATAACCTTCACAATTCATGCAAACCTAAAAGATCGCAAAAAAAATTGACCGCGGCGCCCCTTTATTGTAAGTTACAATCTCACAACTGAACTACTAACACTATGACTTTATATACTCACTTTTCCTCCAAAATCCACTCTTTTGTATGGCTTAAACTGTCCAAAATCCTAAAAATTAAAAAAAAATCAGCCACATTTCATACTTGTGTTGCACAATCATTAATCTAAAGGAATGTCTCAGTCAGATTAATAGAAATAGGTTTTTAAATCTTGATTCATTAGATACTGTAAAATAAACATGTTTAACCAATGAATGTGAACATCATTTTGGTAAAGTGCACTATCAAATAGAATGTAAACAATTTAAGTAAAAAATTAAGTATAGTTATCGACCCCATCGGTAAAAAATAACCTACCATACTTGAATAATTATAAATAACTTTCTCAAACTCCATCAAATCACCTCAGGTCTTTATTTTACACTCCTCTAAGCCAGTATCCAGTAAGCAGACTAATTTTCAACAAATTCGCTGTTAAGTGGAAGGTCAAAGTTATTTCTGCAATTTTGTCTGAACTTTTTTTTCAATTTCCTAGAAGACTTTCTAGTCACTTCACTAATGCAATTTGTTGTATCTTTGCAACAGTTTGCATCAGCAATGTTGTGTTAGTTCAATAGATCAGTACTGTGAGCGCTATAATGATCACTGATTTACTAACAAGCCTCCACACCCATACCACCAATTGGCACTATAAATCAGCTATCTTCTATTTCTTTGATGCTTCCTCTATCCGAGTCTATTAATAATGGTTGAAGTAATTGGTTGTTGTTAAGGGAGGTTTGACTATTGGATACTGAAGTAGACACCCCATCTATATATGGACCAGCTGTCGCCAATTTTTTATAAATAAATAACGTCTTTATTAACCAGCGTACATCAGATCATAGATCTGTTTTACATGAAAACTTTTGTCAATATAAATTATAAAAAAACATGTTCCTTAGAAAATAAGACTAGAGAAAAATATATGTACCATATAAAAGAACCTAGTTGTGTGAGCCAGTCACAGAATGCACTAGTATCTAAAATTATATTTTCTAACTTATTTTGGGTTGCTGTCATAGCAGTTGCTATAGCTCACAATAAGTTGTTTTATCAATCCCAAAAAAAAAACTTATGTATTCAACAGAAGTCAGTTATTTGCAACGGCACAATCAACTACGGTGGCTCACATCAACTATGACAATCTTTATTTAAAAACTGGTGACAAGATTAAAATGGGGATGGAATGTCTAGTTGTATCCAGAGTCAAAGGTTTGGCTTATTTAACTTGGATTTGCTACAGCTTTGTATACAATTTGTTACACTTTTCAAAAAGTTGCTACAATTTTACTTTGATATGTGCACTAGTGCTTCATGTTGTAAGATTATTCTATGTAAAACTTACCCCCAGCACAGGAGGCTTATCAGCGCCGTACCTCCCAAAACTTCCAAAGGGCTGAAAATATACAACCAAATAAATACAAACAAAAATTAGTTCAATGTTCCGTAAAACTTGAAGATAACAAAATGCACATAATATAGTACCTATTATATTTTTGTCTTTCGACATATTGTTTGAAAGTTCAATTATTTATAAGATATTAAGGTTGATCACCAAGGTAGAAACATGACTATGTTGGGTGCGGTGCTTGCACAAAAATCAGTCTAATTCTTCAGATCAATAAATCAGTTGTAAAAAAATTAATTAAATTAAATTAAATTACAGACAAATTTATAAAGAAAGTTTGTATGTATGCCCTAACTCCTTACACAAATAAATCAGTCAAATTTGTCAGATCGATAAATCAGTAGTAAAAAATGAACGAAATGGAATTATAGTTCAGACAGATTTTTAAAGAACGTTTGGATGGATACACTTCCGACCGAGCATAGACTGCTCTCTAGAGTCTACTTTTGATTTTCCTCCAAGCAAAGCAGATGTTGGTTGTAATTTGTAGTCAAATTTTAGACCAGAGTAAAATGGGCTACTTTCCAATGTCGGGGTTCTGTTTATGAGATAAATGACATGTTGGTATTTCTTGAATTGTATAAAACTTAAAACAGAAATGACATAAGTAGACAGATTATTTCCATAACTTACTTCTTAAAGGCTGTTTGTATATCCACAAAAAAGTTGTGAAATGTATATACGATAGGCCTACATTCCTGTTAACTATTTATAGTTTAAAATGTTCCTAGAAATGAGTTTCTATGGGCCACCACTGATTTTGTGAACCATTGATCTAACTGATACTCATTTTTCTTTTAGATCCTGCAGTATATCTTTAAAATAATCACAGAAGACAAATTAATTTAGGATATACCATAACAATAGGACTGCTGTAGCCTTATTTAACTCAAAGAGAAAATGAGACTCTCATAGATTATGCTGCTATTAAATTTGCATTTTCTCTTTAAATTTCTATGATATGTCCTTACTGTTTAGCCCGGTTAAAAGTTAGTGGATTAAGAAACAGCATTTTACATTAGCACACCTTTTGACATTTGCAATAAACTATGTCTTTTCTAAAACAAAAAAAAGCTAATAGAATGTTTATTTCACTAGGTTAATCAAAACTGAAAGATAAAACTTACCCTTCTCCTATCACTTGATCTTCTGTAAGGTTCGTATCCGAATCTCTAAAACATTGTGAAACCATAATAAGACATTGATTAGTATTTGCTAATGACACAACATTGGTGATGGAAGCTAGATGTGTTGAATGGGTGAAGAGGGGGGCAAGTGCATTGCTGGAGACAACAATGGAGTGGTTCGCTTCAAACAAGTTAAAATTAAATGAGGACAAGACCCAACTCCTGATCTGCACTCTAGGGAGACAAATTGCTGTTGAAGAAAATGAAACAAGTAAAACTGCTTGGTTTCTGGCTTTTTTTCCAGTGGCATTTTTGTAATGAAGTATGAAGTCAAACACTTTTAAGGGAAAGCGGTCCAAACCCATTAAAGTTTTGTGGATGTGCCAGGGATTGAACCCGTCCCTCCCGCACCGAAGTCCAAGACGCTAACCACTAGGCTAGCAACACACCTCAAAACGAAAAAACATGCTGGCTTGACCAAAATATGAACTAGGATCCACCATATAGCCCAGATCTGCACCAAATTGTCTAGAGTGATCTTCCTCCTCAGAAAGCTGTCATGTGGTCACTGAGCAGCACCTTGTTACCGATTACTTCTCTCTGTTCCACAGCCATATCTTGTATGGTATCCTCCTTTGGGGTCACGCTCCCGCATGAAGTATAGTAGATTGTTGATTCTCCAAAAGGAGGGGTTGAGAGTGATAACCTCTACTGAAATTACAGTTGGAGATTTTACTCATAGGCCTATCTTTCAACGTCTCGGCATCCTGACTGTTTATGGACAATATGTCCTCAACTGTCTGATACACGTACACCAGAACATCTCTATGTATGGAAGAAGACAAGATATCCATCAGCATAACACCAGGAACGCTAGACACCTCAACACCCCTCAATAGAGACTGTCCAAATCCCTGAATAGCTTCCCAGTGACCACAATCAAACTCTTCAACAGTCTACCAGAAGAAGTAAGAAGTATGGATGCGGCTGGATTTAAAACCTAAGTGAAGGAAAAACTTTAATATCTTTAATATCTGTAAGAAGTTGTTTTCATTTATAGCATTATAAAAGGCTTTCATAAGCAAATACAGGTATGTAACAATTCTTCCGACTTGGCCTATTGTATGTAGTGCTTAATGGCTCAATAGATTATTTGATTTGATTGTTTGAGAAGTTTAAAAATCAAATTAGCTCAAAATAAAAAACAAACACACACAAACTTTCACATTTATAATATTATAGTAATAATAAGGTGAAGATAATATGATGATACAAAACTCTATAGAAAATTAAAGAAAGTTTAAACAACTTACATTTTCTCTCGTGGGCCATGTCCTTCTCACAAACATAGGTCCTGGCTGAAACAAAATGGTACCATAAAAAACGTTAAGCAGTAGAAAAATAATATTTAAATGCTCAGAAGAGCAGCTAGAAAGAAATTGAAATCCCTGAAAACGCCAATTTAAAGGATTTATTTTGGTCAAATTTCTTTATTTAACAATAATCTATTAACATTTCACTATCAAACCCATTCCCTGTAGCCGTTAACCTAAGCACTCTTTAAACCTGAAGTGATCCAAATAGTGAATAAATCTGTAATTTTTAAAGGTAATAATAATTTAGAGAAAATCCAGTCAGGCAAATGGAAATTAGCTTATTCTGCAGGTTTACTGTGCCATAGATGTAGAAGTTACTACTACGTCAATCTTATTCAAACTTACCACATATGGAGGTCTTGTCACATCAGTTTGGAAATCCATTCCATAACCAAGCCCCTGTAACATCATCAACTTTACAACTAGGAATCAGACGATTAAAAACATGCTACCCAGTACCAACAGTAATTCTTCATACAGTACTGCTTATTGAATTATAGAATTCTTTATACATTAACTAATGGTTTACCAGTTTTAAAAACGTTACCTTTGAATATATAATCTTTGTGTTTTACTAAGCAACATTTTATTTTTAACAAACATAAATTTTTTTGTCCTATATCCATAATTCACATCTTAGGACACTTCCGGAACTGTTTTACACATTTCTTGAGGCTAGAGGGTTGAGGCACAATCATCTAAATAAAATCCATTGGTGATTGGCATGATTTGAACCCCGGACCAAAGTCCCATGCTCTACCAATAGACTAACTAGATCCTGTATATTGGTGAGTACTCAAGTATTACTTTTAATAACTAAAGTTACCTTTAACAACTACATGGGATAACAATGTTGTTTACGGTACTGTACCTCTAATTTAATTTTTTGATTGGGAGGGGGTGTGGTTGCAGCTGTGGAAACAGTTACTTAGCTTACATTAACTTAACTTACCGTAAATTAACTAAACTACATTAACATTAACTTAGTTTACTTAGTCCAAAGTAAGAAACGTAATTTATTAATTTTTCATTAGTAAAAAGGGAGTAAAAAAACACTTACAAATTTAACTAATAACTGAAGTATTTTTCCTTAAAAAAAAACTCTTGGCTAAAAAAACCTACATAATATAATTTTCCCAAAAGGAATCACATCTTTAAAATAATATGACTCTTTTGTTACAGACACTTTGTTTCACCATAATTTATATTTAACTACTGCATCACAAAAAAAACTATATTTTTACTTAGAATATACTGTATTTGAACTCACCCGAACTACAGGACTTTTTGGTGTTCCTCTCAAGGTCATTTCATCGTAAAACTGTGAAAACAAAATTGTTGTTATCGAAAAGCAAAACAAATCCGTGAAATAAATAATGTTCACATTAAATCAGTTTTGGTAAGTTGGTATTTTTTGGATGTGTTACAGTCGAAAGAGTGTAATTGATTCGTTTACTTACCCTAACCCGCTTTGGCTTGAGATCTGCTTTGCCGAACTGCTCATATGCCCTTCCCTGCAACAGCAGTATAATAAGTTAGCATAGGTTATGGTTTAAATTTATTACCTTAATGAATTTAGATAATCCAGCACTAAAATCCCTTGTAAAGCTTATGAAGCTCCAAGGAATATTTTTGGAAGAAATTTCAAACTGAAAGAAAAACATTGACTTAATAAGTAACTGCAGTTTAGGAACAACATGAAGTAAATTGAGTAAATTGATTTTCATTAGGAAAACTGAGGATAAATCAAATAATGTAATGCAACAGACACGTGAAGTTTTCAAGAACGTTTGTGGAAAAAATTTGGGAAAATTTATAATGAATGAGATTAAAAAATATGAGATGAAAAACATGAACTTCCTACTAAAGCAAAAACCTCAGTCAGAAGATTACCTCAAATGACACAAAAGCTTATCGAGCCTGTAATTTGCATCCAAAATGGGTTCTTGGTGCACAATTCCTAATTTGAAGTCAATTTCAATCACATAAAGACAGAAGTAAGAGTGTAAAATACATAATTTGATAACCTTAGGAATGTTACACAGTTTTACTAAGCGTTCAATTTTGACTATATTTTCAGAAATCATCACACAATAATATTGCTTTCTGACCAACTTACCCGCCTAGGCCCTTTGTAAGCGCTGAAATTCCTCGGCACAAAAGTTCTCGGTTGGAACGTCCCTGTGTAGATCTGCCGTCGAGGCCACGGCGCAGGAACATTGTCTATCGGACTGATCGTGGGTATATTCTCGTAAAAGGGTCGCACAGTCGGGAAAACCACTCCGGTGGGATACGGGGAAGGCGGGGGAGGAGGAATGTTAGGCAAATGTGAAGGGAATGGTTCAGGAGGAGTAGGGGGTGGGATTGGCCCATACTGTGGAGGTGGTGGCGGTGGCGGTGGTGGTGGTCTCTGAAAATGTGGTGGTGGGGGAGGCCCCGGTGGAATAGGTCCGGGTGGAAATGGAGGAGCCCCAAACGGGGGCATCGGGGGTCGAGGTTGACTAAACCTCGGGTGAGGAGGAGGTCGGAACCTGGGTGGTGGTGGTCCTCTATAAGCGGGGAACGGGGGGTGGGGGAACTGTGAGTGTTGGAAGGGTGGGGGATTGAAGGGAGCATGGAAGTGCGGAGGAGGCTGCGGTTGAGGGAACGGAGGAGGAGGGGGAGGCAGAGGGCCGTACAGTCGACCGACGTTCATTGGACCTCTCTGAAACAAACCATCACCAAATAACTTGCACCAATAAAGCTAATTATTTGTATCAGCATCCATATCAGTAGAAAAAATATATTAGCATGTATTTTTAATTTAACTTTAGCAGCAATAGTGTATAAATAAAACCAAGACACCAAAGCAAAAAAAATCTTTTACACAAATAAATGTGACAAATGACTTTAGAAACGAGAGTATGATTTAAACTGAATCTGCACTCAAAACTCTAAAAAACATTTTTTTAATGACTCTAAATCATTATTTATAACATTAAGTTATAAATTATTACAATAACCGAATCAAAATTATTACATTATTGCATTGGTTAGGACAGGACCTAATCCAACAGTTAATTTTGTAAATAAACTTTAAAAAGTGGTTTCAAATGTGGAAAATTAATATGTTGGTGCACCTTAAAAACACAAATTGATCTATATATATAAAATCCAATGTATGTATGTTTGTTTGTTTGTCCTTTATGGACTCCGAAACCGCTCGACAGATTGTAATGAAACTTTCAGGCATTATTAAGCATTATTCAAGGATGGTTTGTGTGAAGTTTAGTGCCGATCCGTCAAAAGGGCTCTGCCCCATTGGCTCTGGAGTTTTCCATGTTAACCTTATGAGTACTCATATTTAAATGGAATTAAAGAATCTTAACAGCTGGTTCAACTAAACAATTTGATTCTGCGATGTTCAATATCATTAAAAAGTTAATAGGTTAAGCAACAGGGTGCAGCACTATTATTTTTTTTTAATTTATGACAACATCTAATTTGCAACCAAAAGGTGAGTGAGCATAGCGAACGAACTTCAACCTGGAGGGAAGTTAGCGTAGCGAACGAGCTAACCTGAAGGCAACTGAGCGCAGCGAACGAGCTCCAACCTAAAGGTGAGTGAGTGTATCGAACGAACTTTAACCAGGACGTGATTGAGCCATGCGAACGAGCTCATCTTGTTTGTTTTTATTTTTTTTTTAAAAGAGGTTGGCGGCCTCATTTAACCTTGCATTTGCCCGTCCACATAGACTAAGCGCCCGTGCGTGGATCGTTTACAGCAAAGCAAGGAGTGAGCCGGTACAGTACAAAGGTGAACTGTACTGATAAAATGTTATCGGCAGTGACCAGGATCCGAACCCACGACACTACTGCCTTGGGCCCGAACGAGCATTTGACATAAAACCACATTAGGACAGGACGACGTCTGTCGGGCCAGCTAGTACTTAATATGTTTTACAACCATATCTAGTTTTTTAAATATAAAGGATGAGTATTTTCTTTGGCAAAAATTTAATTTTAATTCATTGAAATTGAACTTTACTTGTTAAGCTAGTAAAACTAAAAAGGTAATAAGTAGTAAAAAAGTGTAAAACTAGTTTGATAACTTTTCTTTTAAAGTGTTGTTTAATATTCTACTTCTATCGTAGTACCATTCATCCTGTGATTTTTATGGTAAACGATCGGTTAAAAGTATTGATTCTTAACACAAAGAGTGAAGTGCTGTTATTTTTTTATTACAGTATACTTTTATGTAAGCAGGTATATTTATTTTTAATTGATACTAATATAAAATCAAGTACTAATTTCTTGTAATCCTAATTTCAAAACACTAAATATTCATCTCAAATTTACCAAATAATTATTGTTTATATGTTCTGTAAAAAATTTATATCTTCTTTTAAACAATTTAGCTACAACAAATAGTATGAAATAGTAACTGAAAATAATATACAAAAAACATACCTGTCTGAAGTTGATATAAGTTCGGAATGGGCGAGTACTTCGTGTCTGTAAAAATTACAAAATTCTTATAATTTCAAAGGTTTTACAATTAAATCATTTAAATAAAGCAGTAACAGGTAAAATCCAAGTTACATGTTATAAGGTGAATATGTGTAAAAGATTAATGTAGCATGGAGTGATATGATCTGTGTATATGTTTGTTATTGTATATGTCAGCCCTTTCTTAAGCCAGGACGATTAGTTAAAAACCAAATGAGAAAAAGCATTAGATTGTAATTTGATATTTATGTAAATTCTGGATTTGAAATGAAGAGAGATTATTGTAGACATTTTCAATCACAATAGAAAATTAGATTAGAAAAAGTATTCACGACATACTAAGTTTAATTTGTCAACTAATCTTGTTATGTTTTAGATACTCTCTCTGAGAACTGGAGACAGGGCTGCATTCCAGATCCCAAAGCTTTGTCATAATTTTTTTTTTTCTATAAAAACACCAAAAAAAGACCATCACCAAAAATTAACTTTACACAAAGAATTTTAGTGACATTTGAAATGAAAACTAAAAGGAAAAATGCTTTATTACAAAGTTAAGGCCATGTGGCCCTTTCTTACAAATAACCTGAAATGATAAGATAAATTTTAAATAGTAAGCCACTTAGGCCGTCGACACACGGGAAGACTGTTTTCCAACTGAAATCGGTAACTAGTTGGACAAACTAGTCGACTGCGTCCCGACCAATGTAGTTAGGTGGGACAGTGCACACGGGGCGACTGCGATGCGACCAGTTGAGGACCAGTCGGCGATCAGTCGTCGTTGATTTTGCGTCTGTTTCTTGTAATGCAGCGGCAGCTACAAAGAGCCTACATTGAATATTTGTTTTAACATAAGGATGTACCCAATACTTTCTACGTCCTCTAAGCTTTCTTGATTGTCTATAAAACACCAGGGCTTCTTAATCACTACCACTCATTTCAAACACCATACACAGTACATAGTATCGTTATAACAAAATTAGAACTCATTTACTGTCTCAACTCAACTACAGTCGCGCCCGTGTGCGGATTTAACCAACGCAACTGCAATCGTAATCGCATCACAAAAAAGTTGGTTAAACTTTAGTTGGGTTTCAGTCTTCCCGTGTGTTACAGTTATCCAAATATATTTACCCAATACCACTTAACCTGTTTTTGACCACTTTAGCCATTACATAAATCTTAAATATTAATCTTTCTAAACTTACCGCAAATATAATAAAAATTGGATTTTTTAGTTTTAAAAAAGAAAAGGGATTTAATATTTCATTAGAACTTATTGTTTTTTGAAGACCAACTTAATGTGACGGTTGTGCACAATTTGATGATTTGTTTATATATGTATAATGATTAGGCTTATTAAAATCGTAGTTCTAAAATCACAGTTATTTAATCAGATATTAAATATTAATCTTAATTCTTAATTTTTGAGTTAGCAAAGACTGAAAATTTTAAAAGATACGGTCTGGTCATCTGGGGGGGGGGGGGCACTACAGCTGGTAACTTCAAACGCATACTTATCTTGCAAAAAAGAGCTGTAAGGAGCATATCTGGTCTACAATACAGATAGCTGTAAGGAAGCATTTACAATCCTCTTATAACCCATCTTATATAGGAAGCAAACTACGCAACTATCTAGCGGAAGAAATAAGGAAGCACCAGGGGAAGCAGCTGAAGACAGAACTCACACCCTGACTTCAAACTGGATGGTTTTACACCATCGACGAGTTCTTCACTGGAAGGACCACTACCCATAAAATACTATCACACCATTGGCTTCCTTGACTCAAGTACATTTCTCTAAGAAATTGTAAATAAAGAATTTTTGTCTTATAAGAAAATTTGTAAAAATACTTACTGACGGTGTAATGAAGCTTATATTGCCTGCATTGAAGAGTTTCTGAAACAGTAACCAACATAATTGAAATTCTTTCAAAGTCAATCAGTATGCTACACGTAGTAAACAGATTTTTAATTGGTTTTGAAATTTAAATGTTTGCCCCATTGAAAGGAATAAGTACTAATTACTCACATCATTCGAGGGTTTCATAGTGAGAACCTGTAAACAAACAAAATGTATCACTCACAAATTACAAATTCCAAAGTCTAAATAATAATGACGTTCAAAACGGTTTCAAATACGTTTCATGGAAAGATGAGACTTCTACGATACATCAATAGATCAAAGTTATGATTATAGATACACTACTGCGAGGTAGACATTCAATTGACAAGTTCCAGTTGTAGCTAGTTTTGGAATGAAAGAACTTAATTCATCAGAACCACCAACAAAATGCACTGCTGTGAAACACCGGCCTCATTTCTATAGACCAACTTTTTAACTACGCCAGTCCAAAAGGCAACTAAATGTAAACCACTTTTCACATATGTCACTATCAACTCGGGAGAGTAAGGAATGTTTTATAAAGTAAAAAGTTTGTACAAGAAAACATTTTTATCATAGGCCTATACATTTGAGAGTTTAACGAAAGTACTAAAACACTATTTTTCTACAGAGTTGCCTAACAGATTGTAAAACACTTATCATAACAGGGTTCGAAATTTGAAAATTTACTCTGTCGTGTAATTCTGCCACTTGCAAGCTCACCTATCCCTGGTGAGAAGCAATTGGAATTCCCTGAAGTCATGAAAACGCTGTGCTTCTAGCCAAGTCTTCATATTTGGAAACCCGTGAAAGACACTCAGAGCAAAGTATGGACTGTAGGATGGTTAATGGGAAATCTTCATTTCAATTATTGATTTTTGTGTGATTTCTGGCATTGTCATGCAAAGAAAATGTTGGAAACCAACCGTTGTTTGACCATTTTGATACAGAGTGCATTGTTTACAGAGAAAGAACTATTATTTATTATGTAGTTTCTGTACACTTCACACATTCGATGATGAATCTATCTATATCTACTAGTTACCTATGATACATGAAGCCATTTTTTGTGAACACTACTCCTCTCTTATTTGTGGGCCAATTTCAACGTCTGAGGTGTCAAAATATATGTCTCTATCAGCAGCTTTTTGGGAGTAAATACAGTATTGATGTTTGTAATATTCAGGAGGTTATAGACCAATGGAAACAGTTCAATCAGTTTTGCTGGAATAACATCAAATGCCTCGAGTTCAAAGAAGAAATATGAAAAACAGGAGGAGGAGACAATTAATAAGATATCTTATGCGCATGAGAAGAGCAAGAGAAGAGAGGCATGGTCCAACAGTAAGGAATCCAGGTACACACTCACTTGGATAGATGAATAAAATTTGCCAGTTCTGCTATGCAGCTTGCTTTGTAAGTGAAAAAATGCACGAAGAATAAAAAGAATATACACATTATGTTGTCACAGTGGTAAACTTGCCCAATGTCAGATCAAATGAATGTATATACAAAAATGAATATATATATATCCAAGAAATGTTTACTTTACTATTATCACCAACAGGTCGAGACTTTATATAGGTTCATTTTAAGATCATGGTCAACAAAAACCGTATTGCAGACCACACCTCTACACTAGTGGCATTTTTAATTGCAGTACGCTTCTTAAGCTTTGATATTGCAACAATGGGCAGCATAGCGACACTTCTGATGTGATGGCTAGACAGTCATTAATGAGGCAAACTCGTCTGTACTAGAAAGTGTATCAGTGTGCACCTTTTGGCATCAAACTAAAACGTTCCTGAATTTCTTATCAACCCTTGTATTCTAAACAACTAGAGGAAAAATCTTACTATAAAATCGTAACACACTCTATAATGAACACATTCAAATATGTTTTATTTAACTAAATATTGGATTCATAGATGGAATATCTATTACAGGTTCTAATGCCAACACTTAAATTTAGATAGGTTACCATCTGCATCCGTTTGTTTAACTTTATCAATTTGTAAAGAAATCACATGCAAATAAAACTATGAGTATCATAACTCACCACTGACAATCCAGGCTTGATGTACCCTCCATAAGTTGGTCTGTCTTTCTGCAAACAAAATCAAAACAGATTTTTGTATTTTAACTATAGAAAACACTACTTGCACTAGAAGCAATGTTTCCACGATCACTGTTAGAGAATGGGGTAGAGACATTTCATATTACTGAAAACTTAAATAGACATCAGCAAATAAGACAAATCGTCAGTGCAAATTTTCAGGAATATAACAGGATTTTAACTTGAAGTACTTGAAGAACATAATACTGTAACACTTAATCCTAATTTATCATCAATTTTAAAATAACCAAATCATTTCTCTGTTACACTTGCTCTTTCCATAAACCTGAGTCAGGTTTAAAACTGAACTACCCTTTGGGGTTTTGCTTGAGCAGTTTTACATTAGCACCTTAATAACTCGAAATCTTGATATCTGGAATTCCTTGATATCTAAAATTTATTATATCCCCTTGTAACTCCCATGGATCACAATGTTAAAAGTACCTTATAAGTCGAAGGTTTTAAATATTTAACCCAAAAAATTGAATTTTAATGGTTTTTTATCAGTAGTATTCAACATCTATAACTCAAATTTTCCCGTTATCGAGCACCATTGTTTGATTGAAGCTTTTAAAAGCATACTATACATTGTACTGAATTTTCTGAGTTGCGAATAATTTAATTTTTGACTTACCCGGCCCCTTAATCTCCACTTGGTTGGACTGGTAAATGTTTCATTGTTGGTGAATTTATTCTGAAATAATAAAATGGTTAACATTCATTAGTTGGAAAACAGGTATTTTTGTACCTATTTATTGGTTGTTGTTTTCAATTTGAACATGATTTTGTGTATAAATTAGTGTTGAGTGTATGAGGGAGATATATTACTAAAATCTGTATCAATAAAGAGAACGAACTATCTAATTGAAACTCTCAACTACTATTTTCAAATTATAAATGGTCATCACAAAAATTATGTAGAACTATATTCTTCTGTCAATGAAATTATAAATTTGGGTATGATTTCTACCAACTCCTTTTTCACTGGTAAAAGAGGAAAAAATATTGGATGTACCACTAAAAGTGTGGTTATAAACTAGTGTGTATAAGAATATATATATCTTAAACAAATATGAATTTTGACAAAAATTCGTAACATTTTTTTCAGGAAAATTAAATTTTATTGAAGAGTATCGTGACTAAACAAAACAATAAAATTTTTCATTTAATACAATGAAATAACAAAAATATTCAGATACTAATTTTAGTTAAGAAATAAATTAACTACAATTGTATTATAGACCAGGCCGTGGTTGGGGTTGAGTATGCAAAATTATTCGGACGCACTTTCTCTTTTGATTGTTGTCAAGGACACTTTGGACAGTAAGAAAACGCATGTTGCCACGATCGGCGATGGTCGAGTACCAATATGGCTGCCATCCAAAATGGCGGACCACCTGACTTGACCTTGATCGAGAAAAATTCAAATAACTCCATTGTTTTTCGACTGATTTTAATAATTCTTTTATAGTTGAAAAGAAGAAGAAATTTCCTTTAATAGTATCCATTACACTTATAGTGATACCCCGTTTTAAAAAGTGATAAATTAGATTTTAATAAAGATTTTACTTTTAAAACGGATTAAATATACGTTGAGGTGATTATATTTGAGTTTTTACTGACGAAATATGTCCGAAATCAACCCTGTAGCTGCTTGGGTAACAAAAACATAATAATTAATTATCATTTAATAACCAAAATCTAATAATTTGTAATTTAATTATCTATATTATTAATGTTATTAATTTACAACTAAACACAATTGGAGAAGATACGTTTTTAAAAAAGAGCTATGCAAGAAAAGTTTCATGTAACAATTGGGTAAACAGCTTTTTAGGATAATATCGACCTTGCTGAGTACAAATCTGCGTGTTGCCAAATCGAAATTTGAACCGGAAGTGCCGTATCCAAGATGGCGGCCAGACCATGTTTGCCCCATTACTCTTTTGTTATTTGGCCTAAAATATTGGTTTAAATTCTGCATAGGGGTTTTCTCAGATGCCAAACACATTGCAATACTCAAAATCTACTTACATCAACTTTTAGGGGCATATATTCCAAGATGGCGTTCCAAAACTCTGTTTTCGTATATCTCTCTTATTAGTTGGCTTAAAATAATAATTTAAACGTCTGCATAGGGGTTTTCTTGGAATGCCAAAAACATTTCAATACTCGAAACTTAATTACAACAACCTTTGAGGTCATATTTTTCAAGATGGCACACAATATGGCCGCCAAAAAACTCTGTTTCCGTATATGTGCCTTGTTTGCTTGTTTGAAATTATTATTTAACCGTCCATAAAGGCTTTTCCTCTGATGCCAAATGGATTGAAACACTCATTATATACTTCCTACGATTGTGTAGGACCTAGGTTCCAACATCGGCCACCAAAACTTCTGTCCTCGGAAGTTGGAAGAGAACAAGAAATATGAGAAAAAGGCCATTTAAGAGAAATTAAATTGTTAATTGCAATATTTAAAAGAAGATATGAACAAAATGAATGAACCATTTAAAAGGGTCAAACATTGTCGAGAATGGTAGCACAATATGGCGCAAGTCTTTCGATTCTTCTTGCGCGTTTTTTTTTTTTTTTTTTTTGTCCTAGGACGCTAGGCACGAGCCTGGGATTGTTTTTCACATTACTTCAGGCTAGACCTAGGGGTTGCGGCATTATCACTTAGATAAAATCCATTGGTGACTTGGCGGGGATCGAACCCGGGACCTCACGGACCGAAGTCCCGTGCTCAAGCCACTACGCCAGCTCGCTCCCCCCCTTGCGCGTTTACATTGTAGATATACACTTGGATAAACAATTACTTCCTAGGTATAATTACAATTATAGTATGCCCCTAATAAAGATCGTGTCTTTACCTAACGACATCTTACGAATTGTAGTCACCGTACACTACGTGTTGGAGGCAAGGATTCCTGATTTTTTATAACAGCAAAAAGAAGATGCGTTTGAAGCGCCCCAAAATTATGATGAAAAATATCCTGAGAAAAGTTCCACTGCCAAAAGATTGGAACAATTTTTTAGCACTGAGGAAAACAAATCTGGTCTCGCCCTCTTCATCTCGCAAGAGTCCATCATAATTTTGGGACGTTTGAAGTTGTTGTATCCGGAAATCTCTCACCTGAACAGGTGGGCAAAGACGTAACCAGCAGGGATGAGGCTATACACCTTTTTTGTTGTTATGAAAAAAAACCGTAACCCTAGCTTCCAAAAGGTAATGTACTGTGATTCCTAAGATGTCATTAGGCAAAGACACGATCGTAAGATACTATCCTCAATGGTTTTACAAACTAAATGATTTGTTGTACTGAAAGATTTGAAAACGTTCCATTTGAACGTGTTGGAAAATGCTCATCTCGTCCGACCGGTGAAGATGGACTCCGAGTCATATAGCTGGGGGCTTCACTGACACCAGTACATCCCATCCTTGTGAGATTTGAGTCAGTCCCAAAAGCCTCCACAAATATCCTAGGGTTTAATTGTTTATGAAAGTGTCTATCTACAATGTAAACGCGCAAGAAGAATCGAAAGACTTGCACCAAATTGTGCTAACGTTCTCGACAATGTTTGACCCTTTTAAATGGTTCATTGAATTTGTTCATATCTTCTTTTAAATATTGCAATTAACAATTTAATTTCTCTTAAATGGCCTTTTTCTCATATTTCTTGTTCTCTTCCAACTTCCGAGGACAGAAGTTTTGGTGGCCGATGTTGGAACCTAGGTCCTACACAATCGTAGGAAGTATATAATGAGTGTTTCAATCCATTTAGCATCAGAGGAAAAGCCTTTATGGACGGTTAAATAATAATTTCAAACAAGCAAACAAGGCACATATACGGAAACAGAGTTTTTTGGCGGCCATATTGTGTGCCATCTTGAAAAATATGACCTCAAAGGTTGTTGTAATTAAGTTTTGAGTATTGAAATGTTTTTGGCATTCCAAGAAAACCCCTATGCAGACGTTTAAATTATTATTTTAAGCCAACTAATAAGAGAGATATGCGAAAACAGAGTTTTAGGACGCCATCTTGGGTGTCATCTTGGAACATATGCCCCTAAAAGTTTATGTAAGTAAATTTGGAGTATTGCAATGTGTTTGTAATCCGATAAAACCCCTATGCGGATGTTAAAACTATTATTTTAGGTCAACTAATAAGAGAGATATGCGTAAACAGAGTTCTGGGACGCCATCTTGGGTGCAATCTTGGAACATATGCCCCTAAAAGTTTATGTAAGTAAATTTGGAGTATTGCAATGTGTTTGGAATCCGATAAAACCCCTATGCAGATGTTAAAACTATTATCTTAGGCCAACTAAGAAGAGAGATATGCGTAACAGAGTTTTGGAACGCCATCTTGGGTGCCATCTTGGAATATATGCCCCTAAAAGTTGATGTAAGTAGATTTTGAGTATTGCAATGTGTTTGGCATCTGAGAAAACCCCAATGCAGAATTTAAACCAATATTTTAGGCCAAATAACAAAAGAGTAATGGGGCAAACAGGGTCTGGCCGCCATCTTGGATACGGCACTTCCGGTTCAAATTTCGATTTGGCGACACGCAGATTTGTACTTAGCAGGGTCGATATTATCCTAAAAAGCTGTTTACCCAATTGTTACATGAAACTTTTCTTGCATAGCTCTTTTTTAAAAACGTATCTTCTCCAATTGTGTTTAGTTGTAAATTAATAACATTAATATAATAGATAATTAAATTACAAATTATTAGATTTTGGTTATTAAATGATAATTAATAATTATGTTTTTGTTACCCAAGCAGCTACAGGGTTGATTTCGGACATATTTCGTCAGTAAAAACTCAAATATTATCACCTCAACGTATATTTAATCCGTTTTAAAAGTAAAATCATTATTAAAATATAATTTATCACTTTTTAAAACGGGGTATCACTATAGGTGTAATGGATACTCTTAAAGGAAATTTCTTCTTCTTTTCAACTATAAAAGAATTATTAAAATCAGTCGAAAAACAATGGAGTTATTTGAATTTTTCTCGATCAAGGTCAAGTCAGGTGGTCCGCCATTTTGGATGGTAGCCATATTGGTACTCGACCAATGCCGATCGTGGCAACATGCGTTTTCTTACTGTCCAAAGTGTCCCTGACAACAATCAAAAGAGAAAGTGCGTCCGAATAATTTTGCATACTCAACCCCAACCACGGCCTGGTCTATTAATCTTTACATATTGTTTCTACTGTAAAATGCCAAAATAAAAATAAAACAAATTCCACACTCATCAGTAAATTTATTAAATAAAACCAAAATACTTACAATATTGGTAGGCCTTTCTGGTTTGGGCTGAAAAAATGTTAAACAGATTAAATAGATAAATTATTAATTGAATTTATTAATTAAGGTTAATTTTTACAGGTTATTTATGTTGTATTTTTAAAGAGCTTTTTTAATACAATTGAATTTATTCTACCTTTCACATACTTTCTCCTCTGCTAATTTCAACATAAAATATTTGTCGTATAAAACCAAAAACCTACGTTCTTTAAATTTCAATTTCAATACAAATAAAAGCTTAGATATAAATATTTCAAGTATTGACAAATTATGATATAGGCCTACTAAAGAAGTATCTTTTTGTAAATCATCAAATCTATTAGTAGTAGAGACATTCAATAACATTTACTCAAAATTGGTACTTAACAATGTGCTATAAATGTTGAAATTAAAAAATAACACCAACAAAAAGCCAAGTTCAAAAAAGTTTAGCCTGCAGCATCTTTTCTTTTGATAATCCTTTGATTTAAATTACAAACAAATTATTTGATAAACAATATATGGTAATTGTCACAAGGACAAAATCCTATTTTTAAGTTGGAGCCCTAAACAATGATTAAAACTGAACAAGCATCATACTTACCACCAAGTCTATTTTAACATGGCCCATGTAAGGGGGGGATACGAATGAGTCTGATTTGAAACCCTGTAAAAAACCAAAACCAAAAGTTATAGCAACTAACGAACTAGTTGGAAAATGTTGTTTTTTTTGTGAAGTAGAAAAAGCAGATAATCCTCTCCAAATATAAGTTTGCATATCTGATACAAAACTAGAACATTTTTTATTGATGTACCTATAGTTGAATCTTTATTGTGTTCTGAGTATTGCTATTCATAATCAACCTAATAAATGTTACAAGTTGAACACCTACCTTCTTGATCTATACCTTAAATCAAATGTTCCCGACTTGACTTACCGATTTCCGTTTTCCTGATTCCACAATGGAGCCCATTGGAGGAAGATTTGCGGTGAATTCTGGTGGAACTGAGACCTACAACAAAAAAAGTAGTCACAGCTAAGTAAAAAGTTTAAACAATTGAGATGACAACTCCAAATAGACAAGAACTCAGATTTTGCCCATACCCACTTCGTTCATTGAAAGTTATTCAACCTTTACCTAGGTCTTGTATATTGAATACCTTAGCTACCATCCTACTTTCGTTGCAGGCTATTTATAAAATATCACATCACAGGTTAAATTACATGTATAACTTTTCAGGTTACAATACCTCATGACTCAACAAAAAAATGTTTGCACCACATCTTCGTTTCTAAAACTATAATTATTACTGGTACGCAAAAAACTTATGATTTTTTGCAAGAAATACTGAGATGAGTTGTATGTAACGATATCAATTGTTAAAAGTCCACAGTGATTATCAGACTTCATACAACAGTATCAGCCAACAAACCCCTGACTTGGATTAAAATCTAAATCAGCTAAGAAATTAACTAATGTACCAACTATCAATAGGATCAGTGGTATAAAATGATATTCGTCTTTTCTTGGAGAAAACTCTAGACAGAATTTATCAGTGACAACTGCAAGAGAAAATCTGGCTGTAGATGCTGCAAAAATATGTCAATTTTATGTAGTCAACCAAATATAATTTTAATTTATTTCCTTTTTTCCAAGGTGTGGCAACAAATTTACAGGTAATTCCAGATTTGTTTTCAGTTGACAAAATCTTCACATTATTCACACTATTAAGGAATTCATGTTGGAGTAGGGTATACTCTGTGCTGTTTATGTTGTAGACATTAGAGTGATATAAATTGTTATTGTTTCTAAATTTATTAATTACACACCTGTTTTCCACCCTTTATTGCTTCAGGTTGAGGCCAATCTTCTGGAGGAGGTTTTAAAACTATTCTAACCGGAGCCTGCAACAAGGATCAAGTAAAGCAAGGTTTTACTAGACGCGGAAGTGGAGTGCAAAGAAGCGATTTCTGCTCTTCCAGCGGCAGTCTGCTCCGCTTCTAGGAAATAGCTCCATTAAATTACCTAAGACAAGAGGAGAGCAGACTCCACTTTCCACACTCTGCTTCCGCGCCTAAGGAAACCCAGCTTAACAGGGAAAATACCTACAATAAATAACACACATAAATGTCTTTTCAGTAACAATGGTGAATACTGGTATTAGAATTAACCTTAACTGAAGCAAGAACTATGTTCAAGCAAAGCCAAAATGAAAAATTAGCTTCAAAGTATGATTTTTAGATTAGTTCACAATTCCTTATGCCATGAAAAAATTACAACACTTGTATAGAAGAAAATGTTACATAAATAAATTTTGAAGATTAAACATAATACCAGCAGTATTTTGTTAGTACTTTTGCTGGCCATAAAACCTTATGAGTTTAGAAAGACATTTTAAGCTAGGTATAACAATTCCTTAGCATGTCCTACTAGGAGCAAGTGGTGGGAGTCACTATGATATTTTGAGCCGTTTTTTTCCAGATTTTTCTGTTATTTTATAGGTTTTATGGGGAAACCAACATTAAAATTAAAATTAGAAACACCAGATAACAGAGATACAAAATGGAGATACCATGAATTATTATCCATAAACAAAATGTAGTCAAAATCAGACCACGGGTGTAGACTGTAGATCTGTCCACATCCACACACACACTCGGACATAATTTCAAAAACCACTTTTCAGGTAAACAGATAGTTCCACCCAAAATTCAAACTCGAAAATTTTGACAAAAACAATACTACTTTCTCCATATAAAGGGAAAGAGAGTAAAATAAACGGTGAACAACTTTAGTGGACACATTTAGTGGATGGGTGGATTTTTTTGTAAGAAGCCCCTCAAATCAGATGTTTACTACTTTTTCCCTCATTTACCTGAAAGAGTGTCTGCTAAGAATTTGTTTTATAAGATTTTTTTAAAGAGGAAAAAGTTAAGCTTAAAGTGACTACAGTGTTGTAAAGCATCATTATAGTTGTTGTAAATGCTTAGTTAAGTTATTAGTTCTTACTTTAAATGGAATATATTAGTGAAAAAGAGTGTTTGATTTAGTCTTGCATAGCAGAAATAAAAATTTCCCAATAAAATTTTTGTATCATAAAATATTAGTTTAAACTTATATAATGCATATGAACACTAAGACTTACCCTTCTTCCCTTTGGCTTGTTCTGAAACAGAAAAAGATACATTTAAATGCTAAGGAGTTATGAACCCATTTGCATGTTTAAATGTTGTAGATATAATGTCAAACAATGAAAGGTAAATTGAAATCCAGTTATGAGTTATGACATGCTGTTCTACAATGATTTTTCATATCACTTGATTAAGTTATCTTTTATTATCTTTTGATTAAGTATGACTAAAAGTATAACTTAAAACAATGAATACAAACCCTTGAAGAAGCAAAATGCTTATGAAGAGTAGTCAGACTGCAATTTTGCTGCCGAAATGAGCTTTGCGCGGCCGCCACTACGATCGCTTGCGTGGCCGCCGCGGTACCCTATCTCTATCTCTCTCTAAGAAAATTCTTTGTCTCACTCTCTCTCACTCAGTCAGCTGACTTGGCCACGCGCTCGCGATAGTCTACCTAGCTGCTGCCACGGGAACTATCGAAAATTCAAATATTTCCAGACTCATTTTTTTACATTTAGATTATGATGGATTTACTAGAAATGTATTCACCATTTTATAAATGGATTAGCTAGCCGGTAAGTTTACCTTGTTTTAACTTTAAAATAAATTCACTTAAATTACAATTTTTACAAAACAAGTTAAATTTAAGCATTTCCCTGATTGTATAAAACCAGAGTTTCACTACATAAAAAAATGAATTATTAAATTATCTTGTACAGGAAAGGTTATTTCCCTTGATGAATTATTAGTCACCTCCCCCTAACTAAAAAACTATTTCCATCCAACTTATATTTTATTTCATTACAACATTTTGCTTTTTACATAACAACATTTTTGGTAAACGCAAGTTTATTCTTTTAGGTTCTTATTCAGTTTGAATTTGACAGTTGACACCATCCGATGTAGATTAATATCTGTACTCATGAATAATTATTTGACTTTATTATGAAACATCCTTGACCAAATTTTATAAGGTATTATACATGTTTACTTTTATCTGACCATTGTTATAAGACAAAGCTACTTTAAATTTAAATGTTAACAAGGACTTCAGATCTACAACATGTCTCACCCTGGTAGCAGGATTTTGTCAGGAGTTGCGAGCGGTCATAACGGAGAAGAAGAAGAAAAGGAAGAGACACAAAATCGGGACCTGGACAGAATAAGGAATTGGGTCAGACATCGGTAGAATCAAATTTGAGGTTAACTTAAAAATAAAGGATGAACAATATACAGTGTGGTAGAAAAGTCCACGAACGGTTAAATATATTTTTTACCAGTATAGATAAAGTAATGAGACTTGGTATATCAATAATAGCCATAAATGTCTACTCTTTTAAAAGCTACTATCACATTTTTATCCCTTAGGGGCCAACGAGGAGTCAGAAAAAATTCTTAAATAGCAGCACAAGTCGAGTTTAGTATCTAATTAAAGGTCTTAGTTAGTAGAGCACATTGCTGCAAACCCGAACTCAAACGGACAATTGAGTCAAAAATGGCAGCTGTTAAAATATTTCTTGAATCTGCCATTTTGAATCTTTGAGCAGCTGCCATTTATTAATCAGTTGTTCTATTGAGCTCAAATTTGTGGTCTACTATTTAAGAACTTTAATTATATGTGCATATCGACTTATGCTTACGTTTTTGATGTTCTTCCGAATTCTCACGGTCCCCTTTGAGGAGGTAGCGAATGCAAATTCAATGGATCTTTGAACAGCTGTAATTTTTGACTCAATTGTTCTTTTGAGTTCGGATTTGCAGCAATGTGTTACACTAACTAAGACCTTAAATGTGATACCAAACTCGACCTATGCTGCTATTTAAGAATTTTTTCTGGCTCCTCGTGGGCCATAAAAAAGTGATATTAGCGTGATATAAGAGTAGACATTTATGGTTATTATTGATATACCAAGTTTCATTACTTTATCTATATTGGTAAAAAATATATTAAACCGTTTCGGGACTTATCCGCCCCCTGTATAGACAATACTGAAGTCTAATTATTTAAAAAAATTCAACTTCAGTCTAAGCAAAATGGTAGAGTTGTACCTATATAAATGTCTTTATTGCAGTTCACTACCAAATTAGTTTTATTATTCTTTGATTAAAGCAGTGAAAATTAGTGGTTCAACGATTTTTATGGATTTTTTCCTCCTCCAGGATTGTATGGCAATTATAAAATATGTTTAGGATTAGGACATTGTCTTTATCCATCCATTGTTTAGGTAACCAACGTCTAATTTCAGATCTTTATTGTTCCATTTAAAATCTGATCTTCTCGCTTTTAGATAAAGCTAAGCATTAAATAGATCTCATTGCTATGGATTTATAGTTCATCACACAACCAACTATGCCACTGACTCACCAATAATGCTCAGTCCTACAGCGTTATTTCCATTTTTCTTTTTTCAAATTGAAAGAAAAAACGAGAAATAACTTGGTGACATTAAAGTTTAGAACGGGTTTTATTTAACATTCTCATAGTGCACAGGGTTATTTTTATTTCTATTTTTTGTTAATGCCTTGTAATGTTATCATATTTATATTTATTTGGAAAAGTCTAAATTTAAAAAGTTATCCTTGGCCTAACTTAGTCTTGCCATGAAAATTACAGTTATAGATAATTGCTTATTGGAAAAAATACGTTGAAAGTATTGAACCATTCAACTGTAAAGCATATAACGTAAAGCATTACTGTTGAACTAATAGAAAACATAATCAAATTCGTAAAATGTTTAAGTAAAACATAGATACTGTTTAACTTACCAGCTTAGGAAAGACATCTTCAGCATTGCTTGGCAATGGAGGCTCTGTTGGTATGGAAGGCTGAAAGTATAAATTACAATTTTCAGAACAGAAAAAGTACAGATTTAAACTTGTTCATTTCACTGAATAGTTTGTTAACCTTTCACATTTATTATAGCAACTGAAACCGAATTGAAAAACTATTAAATTGAATTAATGAGGTAGACATTTTTTTTTTTGTCCTAAGATGCTAGGCACGAGCCTGGGATTGTTTTTCACATTACTCCAGGCTAGACCTAGGGGTTGCGGCATTATCACTTAGATAAAATCCATTGGTGACTTGGCGGGGATCGAACCCGGGACCTCAGGGAATGGAGTCCCGCGCTCTAACCACTACACCAGCTCGCTCCCCAATAAAGGTAAAGACAATAGTGAAAGGTTAGATGAAAAGAAAATATGTGTAGACATACTTATAGAGATGGTAAAAGTCTAAAAGCAGCTACAGCATCAAATATTACAAATAAGCGGGTTTTAATTGGTGAAAAACTAATTTTCTAAGTAATCTACATTTACATGTAAATATGGAGTAGCTTTACATAAATTTATGTAAATTACTTATCTAGGATTGACAAAATTGTCTATACTTACAGATTTCTGGATCTTGTCTTCAACTTTCTTTGGTAGTGGCGATTCTTCAGGAGTGGGTTGCTAAAAAAAAGGCAAAAAATTCAAATCAAATTACTATTTAACGTTTAAACATAAATTAGTTGGGATTTTATCTAAAAAAATTGGTGTCTCATATAGATAATTTTGTTGTTATCAAAATTTAACAGAAACTACAAAAACCCTTGCTTAAATATCAACATAGACATGCTTTTGCTGTACTTAACTAATGAAAAGTAATGTACCATGTACTTAACTAACGTGTCCCTTTATTTAACTGTAATACAATAGATTTGGCAGGAATTTTTCTATTCTTGACTTGTCATATATGTAACCAAGTGACAATACATGGAATGTACCGTCTACCATATCTAATCTAGAATTTTCTAATTGTGTATACATAGGATTAGTTAACAGTTTGACAAGGTCAAGTCATTCTTGCATAAACATATTTCCAATAATATGTGAATAAATTCTGCAACAGGTTCGTTGCAAAAGCAGTGAGGTAAGAAATCTTGAAAGTATTCTGGTCCCTTTCAGAAGGCAGCTGTGTCAGTTCAGTGCCATAAAGAGGAATTTCTTATTTCAGCTTTTACTATTTAACTAAGTTTGGCTAGCTTTATCTTTAACTAAGTTGTGCAGACTAGGGATATTGATATTAGGTTATTTTTCTAAACACATTGATAAAATAATTTGTATAAATTATTGTAATTAAGTTTTAGTATGGAACAACCCAGTAGCAGCCTCAGGATTTCATTTCGGGGGCGATGCCCCCTCCGACCTGGTAAGATGTAAAGCCTAAAACATTTTTTTTAGTTACATAAAACTATTGTATCGCACTATGAACAAATGTTTAATATCCTATTATATTTGTCAGGGGCCACCATAATAACCATCCCCCTGATGGATCTTCACGAGAACAACATAATTAGCAACAACAAAGTATGACAGTACAATAGTACTACATTTCTAATACGTAATTATTGACACGTCAAATTGTCCACTATTCCAGAGGTAACGCATGGATTAACAATGTAAAGTGCAATGCGATTGTATTGACGAATGTGCGATTGAATAAACTGGGATCCGCAGCTTCAGATAAATTTCAAAGGAAATTTCAGATCTAAATTAAAGAATGTTGTCGTATTTGTATGTACAGTATGTGCAAACACAGGTTAAAACACTGACTTTCGCAATGTGTAAATATTACAGCTGAATCAAACAATATTTTTTTACACACTGGTAATTCAAGTGCTCAGTAGCTTCTTCTACACATCAAAATGTAATTGGGGACAATCTTTTTACCGAGCTTTCACTTTGATCATTCCAATAATTTACAGTCCCATTCTCTTTTAAACAATTTCAAAAAATGCAGGTTTAATTTGCACAAGTTTAGGGTTTTCAAACAAATAATGCGGTTCAAATCTATACTCGGCCTTGTACAACTGTGGTACGATCGGTACGATGCACTCTAGTGCATAACACTATGCCTAATTAATTCTCAGACATCAACTTCGACGTATTTATTCCGCTCTATTTCTCCTAAAGATAAAGGTGTATTTCAGCAAACCTAAAGACTATGCAAATTTCAAGCCACTTTTATCTTAATAGGCTTATAAACAAAAATTTTCCACCAACATCCACACCTAGAGTAAATATATTGGCTTAATTAATACTCTTGTTTGCTGCTATGCAGTCACAGAAAATTGTTGTTAAGTTAACTTTTCAATAATAGAACAAAGAAATTTCAAAATGTACAAAGATACAGTAATACAAAAATAAATTTATAAAATGCATAGAAATACATTTTATCTTCAAGTTTGCAGGGTTTGTGCTTTACGGAAAGTGTTTTTATTACAAAAACCTAACGCAATTTTAGTGAATACATAGTCGAACTTCGAAAACAAAACCCTTTAACCCATACTTTATTTGTTAATTCTTGACTGTCACGATTTTCTTATTCTTTCACTGCTTTTTACTACTTGTGAATTAAACTGTTTTTACAGGTAACATGTAAGAAAGGGCCATGTGGCCCTAGCTCGCCTGCCTTAATAAATAATCTTAATTTATTTTGGTTTTTTAACTTATCACTGTACAATTTAGTGTAACTTTAAGTGTCTTTAATGGCTGTGCCATTAAAAAAGAACAAAGCTATAGTTCGGCCGCTTAGAAAGCGACCTCCTTCAGCATTGGTTTAGCATTAGCGCGCAGGTCGTTTTCTAAGCGGCCGAACTATACTCAAGAAGTTACACTCAACAGTTAATATACATTAATATTAAGATCGATGTGCCTAGTTGAATCCTCACCATAAAATCTTTATATGGGTACACAGTTTTCCTAATTGACTTCAAATGCACCATATAGGTTTGATTTTTCTGTTTTAATTTCATAAATTAGTATTAATTTGTTTTGTAGGAAATTAATAATGAGTTTTAACTCTTTTAACTTTAGAACCCTCTTTGGATAGTTATGGAGGTTCAGGCTTTAATTATAGGGAAATGATGTTAACAAAAATGTTAATTTGACAAACAGAATTCCATTTATTTACAAAATGTAAATTTTAAAATCTCAAATATATATATATATATAAACAGTAGGTACTGTGCTCACACATAATATAATAAATTTACACAAAAGACAGTTTTCTCTTTACTTTAGCACAAAACAAAAGCGAGATATTCAGCACTGAAGTAGTTAAATACTGTATAATGAAATCTGTATAACAAAAAAAATACGGTATAATTTAAGTACTTGCAATAGTTTATAGTATATTTCTCCACCAACTCAAGGGATATAAATATCAAAACCATTTTGTCTACTCTTCTGTCTGCGTCCAATTGCTTCCAAGATGTACCGAGGATTTCTGATTGGCAAATTACGTTCCCGCCTCGAATCAACAATTTCTGGCAGCATACAGTCCATGTAAAACGACTTGAGTTTCCCAATAATGAACTCGTTCCAAAAACGATCGTTCTTTTCGACTCTTTCTATCTTAATTCCTCTTGGAGTCCAAATAGTGAACAGCGCAAAGTTTCTCCCTGTAATATGCAGCTGTCCCTGAATCTGATAGAAGTATGAATGGTTTTGATTGATTCCAGAAATCTGATTGTTCTCCACCTTCCAGAATGTACTCATCACCCCTTTACGCTGCAAAATCGCTTCTTCCGGAGTCAAACTTTCTGCGGATGAAGGACATTTGACCTCAAGGATTCCTTGGGTTCCAATCAAACCGTCAGGAGTTGCAGCTAAGAAAGGAAACTCTTTGTCAATAAACATTCCACAATCCAACACCTCATAGCCTAGCTCTTTCATTTGTTTGATTGCGTTTTTCTCGTTTTCCCTTCCATACACCATACTGTAGCTCGAATATTCTTCCCCGTACAACATTTTACTCACTAAATTATCACATTTTGTGTGTGGCAACCTCCTACAGACCGTTCCAAAATTGGAGGCTGTCAGCAAATTTTTCCGTGCTCGCCACCAAAACGGACTCCCGCGTTGCAGCCTAGTTTCTATCTCAATCCGACGGATTTCCTCTTCAGTCTTTCTTTGAGAGTTCAAAAACTCTTTGACTTTTTCTTTATACGTATGGCTGTCCAAATCGGCTTGTGTGGCACAGTTGGTTTCATTCAATTGATCCATATCTTTGTGAAACAATCTTGGTCTTCGGATTTCTTCATTGTAGCTTTTTCTTCCGTCTTCCTGTGTAACACCACTTTGCTGATTTTTCAGAAACTATTTACACAGACAAAAACTGTAGAAAAATCTGGAATCCATAAAGTTATCCAATAAAGCTTCAAACACTATTTTTGACTACATTTATAGCTAGATCTAGACCATATTGACAAATTAATATAAAATAGTTTATATTTTTATTTACTTTATAGAAACCCATTGCCATTTAACCTAACTAATATTTCAACAAAAGCGGTTGTTATATTTTTTACTACACCAGTAGTTTCAATAGTAAAACAGCTCATCCAAGGTTGTGTGGTTATAAAATTTGTAAAGCTTTGTAGCTATTTCATTGGTGATAATTATGTAAAACATTGAATTAAACCCAATTAACTATTAATATTCATTACCTTTGTGTTAGAAGGGATATTTTCTACATAAACTGGGGTTGTTTCTAATGAAAATGTGGCTACTGGTACAGATTCCTGGAAAAATAAAAAGTAGCTTAATCCAAACACAAAATATTGATTATTCAATTATTTTACTGTAATTGAGGAAGTAAAATGGGGCAGAAAAGACTTAAGGAAATTGTGAAGAAAGGAAATGGGAAGAGTTTTGTAGTTTAATTGGGAAGAATTGGGATGATGAAATAGAAAGGATAATAATATGAAATAGGTACGGCAACAGAATAGGACCAAAGTCCTAAAAAAAACTCTGGTCATTACCCCACAGTACATCATCTTGTTAGGCAGTAGATCCTGAAGTCCTGGGCAGTGCTTTGATAATGTGAAGTATTTATAAGTTGTACAATGCCTACTACTACTTACCATGGGGAATTTGGCTAAAGTAACTTAAATCTCAGTTAGTCTTTTGGACATTTAAAAAAACTATATAAAACTATGAAATTACCAACATTATTGACTATACTTAACTTGACTAAGTCAACATTCTCATTTAATGCACTTATAATAGATATAAGACTTGGTTTTATTTTCTTTAAAATACATATGAAGTGTTTACAAAATTTTGAGATTTCTTTACTATGGAAATTTAGCTTTTAATATCATTTGATACAAACATGTAAAAAATAATTTCCACAACAATACTTTTTTAGAACAACAATAACACATAGTAAGGGTGTAATCAAATAAAAATTTGCATAACTTACTGCACCACTGGAAATAGTTGGAGGAATTTCCGTTGATTCTTTTACCTAAAATTAATAAATTTTATTACAATAAATTATAGCCTATATTTAATTATTGTATCTAAGTGATATGTGTTTTAGATAAGAGCACATATTGCTTAATACTCTAAAACACTGGGTCATTAATTTTCTCATCACTTTCCAAAATACACATATTTATACAAAATTCAGGCTTTTATTTAAAAATTTAAAACTTAAGTCATGGTAGAGTATTTTAAGATATAAAAAATGTGAGATGAATCATTTCATTACTGTAATCATCTAGGCCTATAATCGCATGAAAGAAATAGGTAGTCACATGATTAGTTTACATGATGATTTTCGTTATTAAAACTGCCAGATTTGTTCTTTATGTGTGTAAACTAGCTGTTCTGAAGTATATTTAGTTTTAATCGACTACTTTATTCCCCTACGTAGGAAGGGCCAACAGCTAGTAAAATTAAAAATGCAATAAATATCACACAAAACTCTTGTACAAAAAACAATAAATATTACTTTAAATATTGAATGTGTTCATTTTACAATGTAATTTGGATGTTTTAATAAATAACAGCTCTAGACAATTTTTTCTTTTAAGAACTGGGGTACTGTTGCTTGATGTAAAAAATGTAGTAAAAAGGGGATTTATTTTTACAATTTAAAAATATTTGATAAATCACATTAAATTATGCTTAAACAACTAATGTACAGAGATTTAAGCCACCATAAATACATAGCTTTTATCAGGGTCATAATTGCGAATAGGCTTAGCAACTAGGCTTAGGGCGGCAAATTTTTGGGGGCGACAAAATTAGGGGGATAAATAATAAAAAAAGAAATGTTTTAATCTTATAATTTTTTTTTTTACATTTAGCAAATAATTCAGAGAACGGCAAAGCTGCTATTTTAAATACTTTGGTTAGGTATACGTTTATTTCGGACGCGTTAAATTAAAAAAGTGTAATAATAATTTACTTCACGGCTGTGCTGACTTTCCGTGCTGCCCTGTTGGTCTGGCGGACACACGGTCGCAGCTTGCGGGTGCGGGTTGCAGTCCACTGCATAGTGGCGAACAAAGTAAACAGGGGAAGTGAGAACTCAAGCGCTCACAGGAAGAACGTTTTTATTTTTAAAGGTCGTTAATTACTAACCGTATTTATTTATTTATTTGTTTTATTACAATGCTGCAAAACAGGATAAACCCAGTTACATTGTAGCATTAATATTCTAACAACTAATTCTTGACATGCATAATAAATAATAAATATGGTAAAAGTTCCTCATGCTGAAGAAATTATAACTATTAGTGTTATAATTTCTATAATTTTGTATTTATTATGATAAAACGTTGGTTGATTAACTAGAAGAGGAAATAAACTACAGGAAAAAAGAGTTGTGGTGGCTGTAAAAGCACTGGCATCATGAGGGCCACCTCTTCGAGGGGCAGTTGAAGAGTTTAGAAATCTCCCCAATGGAAATAAAATTATACTCCTCAAAGTGGTATCCTAATTCGTTCAATTTCTCTCTGATCACATAAAAAATGTGCACATCTTGGAAATGGTGATACTTTATATCTAACACCCATGATAGCCGACAAAGCTCTCAGATTTCTAGCTGACACTGTGACAGGTGAAATTATTATTGAGATAAAGAATGTGGTGTGCCGGTAATATACGGACGTTTTGTGTGCCGTTTTCGCGTCGCAAAATGCTATTATGACTTCTGATTGGGTACAATAACGTTGCATTCCATGCATCCAAGTCAAGAATCACGTTTTACATGAAAATAGTGCAAAAAAATTGGTCTGTAAAAAAGGACTCAAAAAGTTATTACATTTGTTGATGCAGCATGCTATTACCGATTATTATTATACAAAATCAGCTGTCAGGGATGTTAGTGAGGTCAGGGAGTGCACTGACAAGTGGGGTAGGGGAAGGGGGGAAGCAAACTAGCTGCCTAGAGGCGGCAGATACTTAAATACGTCCCTGACTTTTATTTCATTTCAGACCCATACCAATTTCCAACCCTTCATGTGGTCGTCTTTGTTTTGCAAATTGCAATCTGTAACATATTTAATGAAGAAACATGATGCTAAAATTGTTGAATTAACAAGTGGTTAACTGCAATTGCATCCTTATACTTACTTGGATTGCTGGAGTGGTCGTGAGTAGTGTTTCTGTATTGGTAAAGTCTTGGCTGTTTCGGGTTGTTCGCAGGACACTTTCTGTCTGTGAGCATCACACGAAAAATACTAATAGTAATATTTATAAAGATGTATATAACTACTACATACAACTTGTATATAACAAAAGTTGCTACCTCAACAGTAAATAGTGTAATTAACAGCACAAGGATCATGTCATTTTTTTAAACAAAAACTGTAGTTGGAATCCTTCCGAAGCATCTGGGTATAGTACCAATCAATTCAAGGTGTATCCTTATATTTAATTAAACCAGAGGTGTTTTAAAAGTTAATAGAATTGCTATGATTTATTGATCACCTTTTTTGTAACCATAAATACTTTACAATAAATTAAAGAAAAATATTTAAGCTAGTGATACTGTCATTCCACCATAAAATAAAAGTAGGTAAAGAAAGCACTACAAATAAGTTGATTTTAGGTTTGTTTAGTACTTTTGGCATATTTCCCTATTCAAACCTCTAGCAAAAAAATGTTCTAAAAATCATTTAAAGTTTGTGGTAATGTTTTTACAATGAATTCTGCCTTTATTATTATTTCAAAACAAAGAACTTAAAGGAGCTTAATCAGCAACTACGTATAGTATACAGGTGGCTCAAAATTGTTGTGAAAACTATCCTATCGGTTGCAAACTAATGAATCATAGGGCATGTAGATAATCAAAGGTACTGAATATGAAAAAAAAATACATCTATTACAATTTTTTAGTCAACAAGTTGAACTAGTGTAACTAAGAGTGATGTCTGCACAATTAATTGACAGAATTCGGCCCCGGATACGATACGAGCGGCGAGCGGCGGTAAGCGACGCCGCTCATGGTTCCAAGTCAAAACCGATTTTCGTGAAAACACCGCTCAGGTGAGTCATGCTTCAGTTCAGCCTAAAATGACAGAGGAACAGCAGAAAACGTGCAATAGTTGTTGATACGTTAGGTGCAATCCAGGGAATGTTTGTGAAATGACCAGCACGGAGGTTTTAAAAACAATTTAGTCACCAGAAAAGTATGGGATGAAGTAAGGATTAAGTTTTTTTCTCTAAGATTTTCTTAAAAGGCGAACAATTGTCAGATAGCAACAATAGTTGCAATATGTCTTGCTGGTAAGCACAGTTTGCCATTTTCGACAAAACTGACTCTTACAAAAGAGGAAATTTTATGAGCGTTGTAAATGTGCTGCTTGTATCGTAGCCACCACCCCCGCTCAGGTTGCCGCTCGCCACTTGCCGCTCACCGCTCGTATCGTACCCGAGGCCTAAGACGTTTACTTTTGTATACACAGTAAAGGCTATACTAAACAAAACACAACTTACTGTAGTTTTCCTAGTTGCCTTGGGCTTTATTATGTCTCCTGCTTTATTTAGGATTTTATCGTAGGCTCTCACAGTAGTCTTTTTCTTGGACGATTCTGCCAATGTTTTGTGACTGGAGGATGAGTGTGTGACTTGAGATTGTTTCTGTGTAGTGTGAACTTCTGAATGTTTTATAACTGGTTGTTGTGTAGTCATTGGTGGTGTAACAGGTTCTTGTGTGACTAGTTTTTGTGTAACCGGTTCTTGTGTGACCAGTTTTTGTGTAACAGGTTGTTGCGTACCAGGTTGTTGCATAGCAGGTTCTTGTGTAACAGATTTTTGGGTAACAGGTTGTTGCGTAGCAGGTTCTTGTGTAACTGGTACTTGTGTAACAGGTACTTGTGTAGCCAATTGTTGCGTCACAGGTTTTTGTGGAATTGGTAATAGTGTAATAGGTTCCGGTGTAGCCGGATGTTGTGTAATAGGCTGTTGTACAACCGGTTTTTGGCTAGCCATTTCCAGTGTAACCGGTTCTTTTGTAAAAGGCAGTTGTGTAGCTGTGTTTTGAGTAACCGTTTGTTTTGTAGGTGATTGTTGAGTGATTGGTTGATGTGTAGGCGGTTGCGTGATTGGTTGTGGTGTAACCAGTTGCTGAGTAACCCTTTGTCTTGAAGAAGTTTGTAATGTAACTGGTTGTTCGGTAGTTTTTTGTTTGGTCGGCTGTATCAACTGTTTAGTTGCGGTGATTGAGGAAGCCGACTTTGTAAAAGTGGGATCAGGTTTTTGTGATTGTAAAGTAGTTTGGTCAGTAACAAATGATTCTGTTCTAATGGCATTAGACAATGAGGGTAGTTGTGTCACAGGAATTTGAATAGTTACTGCATTTTTTGTGACTGAAGTTTCTGTCATAGAACTTGGAAATAAAGCTGGATTTGGGGTTTGAGAGATAGTCGCAGAGGCCAAAGTTGGTTTCAAATAACTTTTTTTACTTGAAAACGCTTCAGTTACAGATTGTTTTTGTAAGTTTGTTATAGTTGGATTACTTGGAATTTCTGTTCCACTAATCTTACTCACTTGGCTCATAGTGTTTTCAGTTGTAATTGGAATTTTAATATTTTGGTCATTTACAGGCTTTGTATTTATGATCGGTTTATTTTTTGTGATTGATTCAGAAATAGTTGGTAGAGGAGAAGGAACTGATGGAGAAACCTTGGATTGGGGTATTGGTTGTTTTGAAGACAGAATCTTTTCTGTTGGTTTTAAATTAGGCTGCAAAGTAATTGTTTTCAGATCTTGCTGATCTTTTGAATTAGGTCTGTTAGCTTGGGAAAGAGCAAGAGTCGGTGGAATAACTATCGATTCTGGTTTTGATTGAGTAGTTTGTGGATGGGTATGAAAGGGATTGGTAGGACCTTGTGGTGTAGGTTTTAGTGGAATAGATTTTACGGTTCCTTCATTATTTTCCAACATATTTGATGGTTCAAGAGAAATCTGAGGCATTGGTTTCTGAGAAGTAAGTGCCTTTTGAGGCTGTTGTTGGCCAGAGGTTGGTTTTACTGGTTGTTGTTGAGAAGCAGTTGGTTTTGGTGGCTGATGCGGGGAAGGAGTTAGTTTAAGTGTCTGTTGCTGGGAAGCTATTGGTTTAGGCGATTGTTGCAGGGAAGCAGTTGCTTTAGATGCTTGCTGATGCGAAGTAGCTGTTGTGGGTGGCTTATGCTGGGCAGCCGCTTGTTTGGGTGGTTGCTGCTGGGTAGCAGCTGGTTTGGGTGGTTGCTGCTGGGCAGCAGCTGGTTTGGGTGGTTGTTGCTGGGAAGCGACTGGTTTGGGTGGCTGTTGATGTGAAGTGACTGGTTTGGGTGGCTGTTGCTGGGAAGCAGTTGGTTTGGGTGGTTGCTGGTGGGGTGGAGCAGGTTTGGGTGGTTGCTGTTGGGAAAGAGCTGGTTTTGGTGACTGTTGCTGGAAAGCAGTTGGGTTGGGTTGTTGCTGGGAAGCTGCTTGTTTGGGTGGTTGTTGCAGGGAAGGGGCTGTTTTGAGTGGTTGTTGCTGGGAAGCAGTTGGTTTGGGTGGCTGCTGTTGGGGAGGAGCAGGTTTGGGTGTTTGTTGTTGGGAAGCGACTTGTTTGGGTAGTTGTTGCTGAGAAGGGGCTTGTTTGGGTGGTTTCTGTTGGGGAGGAGCAGGTTTGGGTTGTTGCTGTTGGGAAGAAGCTGGTTTTGGTGTATGTTGCTGGGAAGCAGTTGGTTTGGGTGGTTGCTGTTTGGCAGCATCTGGATTAGGTTTTTGTCCCTGAGAAGCAGCTGGGTTGGGCGGTTGTTGTTGGGAAGCAGCTCGTTTGGTTGGTTGCGGATGGGAAACAGGCGGATTAGGTAGCTGTTGTTGAGAAGTGGCTGGTTTAGGTTGTTGTACCTGGGAAACAGCTGTTTTGGGAGGGAAGGTTGGGGAAAATTTAGGCAAATGAGCTGCTTGATGTGGAATTTGATGGGAGGGAGATGATTTTGAAGTCTGTGATAGTTCTTTTTGTGGATTTATAATATTTTTTGTTTTATCACCATCATTTTGGTTTAACAATGGTTTATCTACAACAGATGGCTCAGTCTGGTTTGTAATGTCAGGATTTGAATTTTGTTTTGATTTAAATAAGTGAGATGCAGCGTATGAGAGTGATTCTTGAACAATTTGTTTAAATTTTGATTTCACTGTTGTAGAAGGCATCTTCTCAGTCATAGGCCATTGAGTTGTATTGCTTACGGTTTTGTTAGAAGGTGTCTTTACCTCAAATTGTGGTGACTGGAGTGGGCTTTTTGGAGAATTTTGAGTCTTCGTACTTGATAAATAAATTTTATCCTCTGCAGCCTGGAGTGGTGGCTTTACTTCTGACTGTGATTTTGTTGATAGGTTATTTTGAAAACTCTTAACTGCTTGGGCGTCATTCTTATCCTTAGATTTTGAATTTTGTTTCAATTTATTCTCTTCTCTTTCTTCAAGGGCCAATTTTGAATTTTGAAAAGTTTTTAAGGTTTTACTAGAGTTTGATGGTTTTGTTGACTGTTGGGTCTGAAAAAATTAAATTTCTTTTACTTTAGGGCCAGTTTTATCCTAAAAGTTATTTCTGATAAATCCACTAAACTGGAATTTTTTTTTTTATTGGCAAATATTGTTTGACTAAGTAAATTTTAAATCTTCACATAAATAAACTTAATTATTCTCATTGAGTGTAGAGGCTTTCACAAAACATTTCTTTACTTTATCCAATTTACTGCTTTTATATTTTCAGCAGATAATTTAATGAAAATCATATCATTGTATGTAAGATACATTCCAATATATTCGACGAATATATTTTGGTTTATCAAGACGTGCTTTCTCATGACTGGCAGTATGTGTAGGCCTATACATTTCTAGCAAACTTTCACAAAGTCCGTCATTTTCATTGATTAGCTTATTTTCATTGTCCGTCAAATGGCTTCATAATCAAATGTTACATTAATTTTAAAATCCGATGGAACCCGTGTGAGAATTGCACATTTTAATAAAGTTAAAAACTTTTTTTCTGAGGTAAAACGAATACCTAATGAAACTTGCCTTTCAAAGATTATCTTTGTTGTTGAGGTGAATAAAACTAGTAGGCTAATTTACAATAAATTAAATTTGTTAATTGTTGATCTGCCATAAAGAGTAATTTGCCTATCTCAATCAGGTTGAATCAATGATGTAAATTACTACTGGATTGCGCTCTCAGTGGCGTAGCGGGCGCTGTTTTCGGTCTAGCTTCCCCCACCATCTACTGGCAGACACCGCCGCAGCCCATACACTCACCATTATAAAACACACATTTTTAGTCGCTGGCCTGTTAAAATATATAGAGATAATATATTGCTAATGCATGTCAAACTCTTTTTACTGAGCCAGCGATCCATGAGCTGTTTATATCGTTGTGCTGAATTATCAATATAAGTAGCCAATTCAATATATTTTTCTATACTTTTATTTTCTTGTTTAGAATCTAATTTTGGTTTTAAACATTCAACTGAAAGGATCAAAAGTTGGTCAGCATCAGGTTTGATTTTTGAAAGCAAACTCTAGAAATAAAACCAAAGCTAGGTGGCAAAGCCCTAAAGGTAATCGCCCTTATATAGTTACCATTCCTCACTCCGCCAAACGCTAAATCATAAACTTAAAATTACACCTCGTAAAAATTAGTTAAGTAGGACTGGTCAAGGCGGGATGTAACACAGAACCCCCTTGTTGTACTAAGTATATAGATTCAATATACCATTACAATTTCAGATTTCCACCATTATTTAGTAAAGTGACAACATAGTGATAAACTCACCATTTTCGGTTTGGCCGAACTGACCTTTTCATCTTTCTGTAACAGAGTGATTTGGTTTTATTCTATCAGAGTGTAAAAGTATCTCATGATTACTGACATGATAAATTAAAATTAGGAGTAGTTCAACTGTTTCCTGACATTTGTTTGGTGGAATATCTATTATAACAACAACAAAAATAATCACTAGTCTATGTATTATGACAGTATTATGTAGTAAAACCATGCATGTAGTTGGTTAAGATTTTTTTTTTTTTTTTAGAAATAAGTTTTATAAAAGAAGGAAAATTAGAGTCTAGAAGCTATGTGGAAATACATTATAGCACTAATATGTCATCTTACATTATGAAACTGGGTGAATAGGTGAATTGAACCTCTAACAAAAAGTTTATTGAAAATTAATTTGATATTTACAGCAATATACAGAGTGAGTCTTCTAAGCTGTCCTGTCCTAAACAGATTTACAGACGAACGGCTTGACATACAGAAATGAAACAAAACTTTTCCCCACTAATTCATACCCAAGGAACAACGTAGAAATATTTTTACCATTTTTAAAATACAGAATGTTCGAGAAACTGGAGTACATGGGTTCGAATCTCAGAGTTTCAAATATAAATATATGTCATGCTATGCATCATTTTGAAGCTCTAGACTAGACAAACAATTTTTCAAAACAGAACTTCTTTATCTTTATCCGTTTCAAATCAGCGGCCATTTGTATGGAAAATAATAATATTTACAGAATATCCTGTATCCTGAAACCACTAAACTTATTTTCGTACTATTTGAAAATTCTTAATCTTAGTGAGTTCAGCTTTAATTTTATATACAACAAGTCAACATTTAAAACTAAATACTTTTTCAATGATTTTATTTTTTTAATGAGGGTAGTAGCCTTGTAAATGAAAATTTTAAAACGGCAACATATGTCAAATGGCATATTATTTTGAAGATCTTTCAAAAACAAACAACTTTTTAATTTAAACCCACCGTCTATCTTTGGCCGTTTTCTAGTAATTAACGAAAAACTCCAATTGCCCATATAAAACCCATGTTAAACATGCAGTACTGTATTGAATAGTGTATCTGCATCCACTAATCTCCAGTTTTTAAAATTTTGACATGTTGCATATAAAATTAAAGCTGAACTCACAAGGATTAAGAATTTTCAAACAGAACTAAAATAAGTTTAGTGGTGTCCAAGATACAGGGTATTCTGTAAATATCAATCTTTTCCATACAAATGGTCTCCATTTTAAAACGAATGAAGATAAAGGAGTTCTGTTTTTGTTTTTAGTAAATTGTTTGTCTAGTCTAGAGCTTTAAGATGATGCATAACATAACATATGTTTACATTTGAAAACTATGAGATTCCAACCCATGACCCCCAGTTTCTCGAACAACCTGTATTTTAAAAATGATAAGAATATTTTTATGTTGTTCCTTGGGTATGAATTAGTGGGGAAAAGTTTTGTTTTATCTCTGTATGTCAAGCCGTTTGTCTGTTGTTTAGGACAGTTTAGAAGACTTACCCTGTATATACTTTAGTATTGTGTTGCACTATCTACATTTTGTCCAATAATACAAGCCATGTGAAGAAAATAAACTATTGCAAACCGACAATAGTGACACCCTTTGAATTTCACAAGAGTAGAGTTTATAGCAAATATTGGAGGTATTTTATAACAACCCTAAGCTATAAATATATTATATATTCTGTCTCAAATTTAATAAAGTAAAAATAATCTTTTTCCATAGAATAATGCTAAGTATTCCCTAGCCAGTAGTCCAGATTTTTTAGCCAGTACTCCCAAAAAATCTTAAGAGCTATTTTATTAAAATAAAACAAAAACTAATTTTAGCATAACAAAATTTAGGTGGTTGAAGGGGAAGTTGGAAGTGATTGAAAGTTTTCCAAAAACTCAGCTGCTGAGCTATTGTTTTAATGGTAGGATCAAGTGGAGGTAATTTCTTCCCCTAAAATCGCCTAAATTTTGTGAACGGAGTAGATCAACTAAAGCTTTGCCCCCATCTAAAACACCCAAATGGCCAGCCTGTTTTTTTTTTTTTTTTTTTTTTTTTTTTTTATGTCAATGGTATGATAAAAGCCAAGCAAAGGTCCTCCCCAAAAACACTACATTACATAGCCAGTTTTAAAAGCTATGTTAATAAATTAATATAACTATGTATATAATTTATAAAGAGAAAAACCAACATACTTTTTACTTACAGAAGAACTGAAATCAAAACTAATTTCTTCAGTTTTGATAATGTCTTCTCCTCTTGGGGCAGCCCCGTAATCCTCCTGAAACAAATTAAATGTCAAACTTTTAAGCTTTAAAAGATCTTTAGTTTAGAAAGTTTGAAAACAGTTTTTAAGCTATGTATTAAGAGATTGACTTGAAAGATTTGGATGAACTCATGGATGGATACAAAATTATTCTTCCATACAAATCATATTTAGTAAAAGCCATAAACTCAGATAAAAAAATTTATAATTTTTAGCTGTAAAATAGTAAAACAATTGTTTAGTTCTTAACACTGTTTCTGCGGTTTTGTTTTACCTACAGTATTTCAAGTTTTTAGTTTAATTGTTATTTCCGGGCTGAATCAAACCTTCAATTTCAGACTTTGTATCTGAAACCTCTCAAAGAAATGGTTTTGTAGAATAACTACATACTAATAAGGCTGGGGTCGGGGTACCGCTTGAATTTATTTATTTTTTACTACAGTATTCTAGCACTTAGAAGTCAGATTTTCTTGTTAAATTTATTTATTGTTGACAAGTTTTATCCCTTACTTCTTTTTGATGGTTTAAATTATCAAAAACAAAAACCTATACTAAATTACTTACATAAGTCTCCCTTCTGCTTAAGATTGGGTATGGAGTTCTTTTGAATTTATTTTTGTCGAGGCCGTACTTTGCATCAAAGTCACTTGGAATATCTGGTCTCTAAAATAATGAAAATGTGAGAAGAATTTTTAAGACCAATAGCCCAATATGTGTTAGTGATAAGAAAATTCCTTAAAGAAGGAAGATGATGCCACACAAGTTGGCAAAAAGCACATAGAATGATACACAGTCATCTCGATCAAAGAAACATAAGCATTAATTTGTTTTCACTCTATATAAAAGAGTCTAAATCAATGGTATATTTCTACTGGACTGCATAAAAGTCTAAAAATTTCTTTGATTACCAAAAAAGTAAGGTGGTGCCAATTATTTTTCTGAACATAGTACAAACTTTAGAACTCTAAGTCAAAGGGCTTTTACATTCAAACAATATCAATTGATCTCTGGCTGATTTTCCCTGATACAAAATACAGTAGAGTCCCGCAAACTCGGCACTCGATAACCCGGCAGTCTGGATAACTCGGCCATCACCTGGCTCAGAAAATTAGTGATTTTTTGAGTCCGAGTTAAACATGGGCTCAAGTCAAAGCATTTGCAACTCGTGACAAGGATTTGTTGTACTATATCTGATGACTTAATACCTACTTGTAAAATAAATGTAAATAAATAAGGCAGCTAAAAGGAATAAAAATTGTATTGTTCTTATTTTTAACCCTAGTTCCCGATAACCCGGCATTTCACAAACTCGGCACCCTTCCAGTCCACATTACGCCGAGTTTGTGGGACTCTACTGTACTTTTAAACTTTCTTAGTGAGAATACTAGTACAATTGTACTAGTATATATTTTGTGCCTCTTAAGAGGCACAAAATATATCTACCGGTACAAAACACAGCCACAATTCAAACCATTGAAAACTAATAACTGGCAGATCTTCACCCTTTAAGTTAACATCTTATTTCTGGGACAAGTCGTCAAGTCGTAGCATAGCCAAACTTTCACTTACAATTTTCGATATGATCTGTGTTCACTCCAAATCCGATTTGATGCAAATAAAACTTAACAAAAACTGTTGAAAGCGATACCCAAAATTTACTGCAACCTGGGAGTCAAGTTACATAACTGTACTACACTTTGACTATTTGGTTGACCAGTGTCATTATTGTTTAGACAGTTAGGTCTAATCAATAGTCTAAACGAGGGTCTAAGCGGTGTAAGCGTGTGGTTTCCCTGGACAGGAAACAACACCTTGCGGGTTACGGATTTAATCCTGTCTAAGTCTAGTCTGCAAATCATGAGAAGTTGTCCTCTATCCTCTATAGTAGAGCTTGGTGTAAGAGACACAACTCAAATAAACCATGGACAGCTCCGGTGAAAATTAACAGGATGGGTGAATTATTTTTTATTATTGCACCTGAAATCAGACATTTTGCTACTTTTTTCTTATCATTACTGTATGTGTCTTTAACAAACACTTTTTGAAATAATTTTGATTTTTATGATAATAAATGGAGAAAAAAGTTATAAAAATCTGCTATAAAAATATTTTCTATTTATGAGAAAACTAGCAACTTACGTCAGGTTCCTCGCTGTCGAATGTTGTGGCCAAACTCAGATCTCGACCCACACTTGTACTTTTCTATGAAAATATTAAATTCTTTAATAAATAAAAATTAACAACCTTATTTTATTTGAACACACATGTTTATAAAATTGCTTAAGCTTTATTTAGAGAAGTAATTTTCTCAAAATCCCTAATGGGGTTTTGTTATTGAGGCTAGTTAGAGTCTTACAGTAGACTCCCTCTTATCCGGACTCCTCGGGACCGAGGCCAGTCCGGATAACGGGATTTCCGGTTAAACCGACGTCCCCAAAAACTCGTTAAAACGGACTGTAAACTGTGATATTCGACTTAAATTCAGGATAGCATATTGTATTTAGACACGTGATCACTGGTCTCAAATCTTTCCCACGAGAACAGTCGTTTCAGTACTGCCCACTTCCTGCCGATCTAGTCCGGTTAAAACAATGTGCTGATAAAAATTGTCCGGTTAAAGAGATGTCATTTCCGCCAAGTGTAGTCCGGTTAAACCGATGTCCGGTTGAAAGGTGTCCGGATAAGAGGGAGTCTACTGTAATGAGTTAACTTATTAAAACTCACTACTTAGCCCAAGAGCTATAGAAAAGGGTTACCGTGTGTAAATTCTGAATTTGTATTGTTCCAAAATAGGTTAACTAGCAGATCACAAAATTCAAAGTGTAGCATTTCAAAAACTTATACTTGAAGCCCAATATTTAAAAAAAACCATTAAAAATGTGTTGGGCTTAATGTCTAAAAATCATTCCATACAAATAGCAATGTGAAGAACTAATTTACTAACTTAACAATAAGACTCAGCATTATAAGTGTTTCAACAAATTAAACTCTTTGACTTCCACACTTCAACCAGAGGACTTTAATTTCCGTCATTATTGTAGGAGTAATCATGGCATCCAGCAGATAACTAGTCAAAATTGATCGCTATTGTAACATATAGCCTAATCACCATTTTGAAAATATTTAGCTACGGTACAGCATGAATATACTTATAACAAAAAAATCATTTTACTATGGAAGATGCGTTTTACTACAACAGTACTGCCCAACTAATCAAAAGTTGTTTATTTCAGGATTGCAAGTGGCAACAAACTTATTTATTCTAATTGCAATTTCAGGGGTTGTTTATTGAATCCATAAAGTAGGCCTATGCAAAAGTCCTCAACTTTTTTGATCGCATTCTTGGTCCATTATCACCAGAAATACAATATTTTACTCACAAGCCATCTTCTGTTCAAAGTAGAAACAGACATTTGCGACTCGCGTACAGTCTTCGAGTCATCAGATTCCGTAGTACCCAAAACTTGAGAGACCGCCACCAAGAAAAGGAGGAAAATATAAAACATATTACCTAAAGGTGATTCATGTTTAGTAACTTTGAACACAAAAGGGCCCACTCCAGACCGTAATCTTCTGAAGAATCTGAAGACTAAATAGTTATACAATATGTAATTACTACAATGACAAGTGATTAAATCGTACTATCTGATTGAAACATTGTTGAACTCTATCTAGCTACAAACGTGTGAATGTGGGATGATTTTTTGTTAAGTGTGTTTTTTTTCTTTTGTGAGTGTTTACCTTATAGAACAATTTAAATATGTAAATTAAAACAAAATTCATTACAGGCCCAGTGCTTAATTTATTGTCCCATGGAAAGTGTTAACAATTTTAAGTAGGTAAATACCACAAAGTTACATAAGCTGTTAATAATTTTGTTTACAAATTATCAATTTGTTCAATAACAAAGGCGCTGACTAAACTTCATCAATATAACTAGCTGAAAAGTAATAAAATGTTCTCCTAAATACGACTATAAAATATTTCCAAATTTAGAATTGTATTTAGCAATAAACAGAAGTGTTGTAGTAAAGCCATTCCACATGGAAATATTTTAACAATAATTTGTTATAATTTTTCTTCATCGGTTGCTTAAAAGTCTATGTTTAATCAAAGAACTGATTTGAAATTTAAAACCTAATATGCCTACCGGTAGCTTAAAAGTAAAATATAAGTAGGCCTAATATATAAAATGTTTGGTAAATGTAAAATGTAACCTTTTAAACTCAAGTGATTTAACTTAACTGTGCTTCTGCATCTTTTATTATGTTTTTAGCTCATCGTATGAACATAACCACCGCAGCAGCAAACCTGCAGACTGAAGCCAGATTGGATTCTCACTCACATATTTCTTTAAACATGACATTTATTCACATTTAAGAATAAATAACAGAATTTTAATGAATAGGTAAACTTACTTAGGTAACTTTTTTTAATGTTATGGAAGTGTACCCAAAATAAAAAAAAATTTACCCAATTCAGGGGGTAAACTTGAGCCTATTTAGCACAACTCAACTTAATAGCCAAATAAAAAAAATATATTTTAGCATGACGTCCGTGATCAATATAATTACCGAACATTAATTAGTCTACTACAGGGTAATTGGGATACAAGGATTTTAGGCCTAGGTTAAACTTAGAAATTATTTTTCAAGCATATTCACTACCTAGGCTAGGTTATTTTAGCTAATTGTAGGTAACTTACCAAGATATTCCAACTTTATTATTCCTGGATTGTTTTCGTGAGTCTCCTCTAAATAGACTGCCAAATAATTCCACAACATTAGGCCTAAATAACCTTACTTAAGTACCTACATGAGTTAACTTAAGAGGCCCAGACAAGTAAAAAATATTACAGATATTCTCAAAGTGGTAATCCTACTAATATTATAAATGAGAAAGTTTGGATGTATGGATGTATGGATGTATGTTTGTGACAAGTGAACGCGAAAAATACTGGTCGGATTGGGCTGAAATTTGGCATGATGATAGCTCACATTCCCGATTAACATATAGGCATATTCTTATTTCAAAAATCCTTCCGGGCTCCGCCCCAGTGGCTCTGGAGTTTCCCATGTTAACCTTATGAGAAATGGAATTATTGAATCTTAACAGCTGTTTCAATTAAACAAGTTGGTTCTGTTCTATGATGTTCAATAGCATTAAAGTTACAAGGATTACCAACAGGGTGCAACACTATTATTTCTTTTACATTTATGACAACAGCTAATTTGCAACCAAAAGGTGAGTGAGCGTAGCGAACGAACTTCAACCTGGAGGCGAGTTAGCGTAGCGAACGAGCTCCAACCTAAAGGTGAGTGAGCGTAGCGAACGAGCTCCAACCTAAAGGTGAGTGAGCGTAGCGAACAAACTTCAACCAGGACGTGATTGAGCCATGCGAACGAGATAATCTTGAAAATTAAGAAGTTAAACGGGGCAAAGCCCGCGGGTTACAGCTAGTAAGTTAATACATCAAAGATACAGAAACCCAAAACATCATAATCACAAACACAGTCCACCTGTTTGCTGTTATCAAGTTAGCTATCAATAGTATCAAGTTTGTAATGTCAACTTTTGCCATCTTTGTATGCACATGTAATATGGAATTATCTGTAAATAAATACATCCACAAACCCAACTAAACTACAGTATACGATCAAATACTAGAGCACAACACAACAATACACTTCAGTGAAGAAACTAACTAGGCTATAACTATAAATAACGTAATCATTGTCCAAATCCAAACCCAAACTCCAAGTCTCTTCTCCACTTATCCAATAAATTCAACACACTATTTACTAAAATAAACAGCAGACAAGCAGACGGAACACAACACAATTGAATTGAACTCGACCCGGTAGATGGTAGTTTAATTTTCTTCAACCGGAAATGCGGTAAGAATCATAGAGTGTCAATGTTTAATTTAGGTACAATCATTGATTTACCTTATTATACTTCTTTCTTTGCTTGAGACCAGGTAGTGGATAAGCTTCATGGTGGAAGAAATATAAGCTGCGTCGAAAAAAATACATATGAATAATATATTGTTTCTGTGTTTGGTTTATAAGTTATAATAACGTGTATGGTACCGTACATATGGTAAAAAACGATGCAGTTTGTTATAATTCAATATAAAACCATGTATCTTGGTCCTTGGTAATTGTTATTGGATAGAAGTTTAGACGTCAATACAACCTTTTCTAAAATAATAGACTTCTCATCCCATTGTAAATTTTGAAGCTCGATTTTTCGTTTCTAGTTGATGTCCTATGTCACCGATCGCTAGTGTCAACGAAATTTTATTGGGATTATTTTAGGGTTAATTTAATGAGTTGTGCTTTACTGTTTGGTCATGTAGAGTAGCTGGTCATAGTCCAGGATTATGTCTAGGGAGGGGTTTTCAAACAGCTAACTTGTGGGGGGGGGTGTTGAGGGCCACGGCCCTAACTTTAGAAAAGAAATAATGCAGTTCTTTAGGGTCATTAAAAAAATAACTAATGGCCAGCTTGAAAAACAAGTGTAAGATGTTATTTAAAAATGTAAATACAGTGATTTGCCATGTGTATACCCATTAGTAGAATAGCAGTGAGGTCCAGTTATTTCAGTACGTTATGTATTATGTCTATTAAAAACCTCGACCGGGCAGCCGCGGTTTCTTTAGTGTTCTTCTTCTTTGTGTTAGTGTTCTTCGTGGTTCTGTAGTCTAATAAGTTGAAATGCATATTGTAAATTTAACTATTTTTTTGCCATTATTTATATGCAGTACAGTAAGTTCCCACATTTTTGTTTTTGAAACATCTTATTTGACAAAAAAAATGGAAGCAACAATGAAATATCGCCAATGGAAGTATTTTGGAAAATCCCTGTGTGGCCTTGATAAAATAATAATGACACTTAAAAAACCAATAACTTCTTTAATCAGACAGTATTATTTAATAAATCTTGCTTGGTCTTTTCCCAAACTTGTCTAAGAATGGATGCCCGTCTGAAACTGGTGTAGCGTCAGGAACAAAGATAAACTGAAACCATAAAGAGCTTATTATTTCAGTTTACAAGAAAACATTTCCTGAAAACATTCCATTTTTTTTTATGTGCTAGTAATTCTTCCCAGCATCTAAATAACCCAAGTAGCACACATCGTTGGCCCAAAGTTGGGAAATGGTCGGCACGGTTGGGAAATGGTTGGCAGAAATTTTAACGATTTGCCAACGTTGGCCCAACGGAAACTGGTATTCGTTGGCCCTACAAAGGAAAGAATCGTTGGGCCTTCGTTGGGCATTCGTTGGGTTTAAGTATAAAACATTCTAAAACGAATTTTAACAAATTGATTTATTTAAAAGTACATAAATGTTATGGCAGCAGAATATAAGACAAATATTGTAAAAATTTGGATCAATAATGAATGTAGTCAGATGATGTGATACTTGATACTAGATACAATGGGGAACACCTGCTTAACATACAGTATAATAATTATTCTAATTATTTTTTTTTATATTCTTTAACTTATTTAAGCAAGTTTTTAATAGTTATAGAGAAAAGATTAATTAATTATACAGGGTGATCAACTCAAGGAGGCCACCATTGGGATATCGGAAACGGTAAGAATTAGAGAAAACTTTAAATGGGGGACATTCCTTTATTTTTTGTGGCAGTTAAAAATATGATTTTATTTTTTCGAAATTCAGCCGCCATTTTCCAAAATGGCGGCCAACTTTGAAATTTCTTATGGAACACCCTATATTTTATCATGTTTTCGGATAGAACAGGCAATTTAAAAACATTTTTATTCTTGACATTTTTTCGATAAACCCACTCGTTTAGGAGTTACAGCCTATGGAAAAATGACTTCCGGTGTACATTTTACATCATGTAGCTCCTAAACAAGTAGGTTTATAGCGAAAATGCAAAAAGTAAATGAGTCAAATAAGTCTTAAAATTGCATCCACATTCCAAAAAGACCAAAAAATTCGTTAAAAACTATTAATTCCATTATTTCAAAATGGCGGCCATTTTCCAAAATGGCGGCAAACTTGAAAGGTGGAAAACTGTGTATTTTTTGGTCTTTTTGGAATGTGGATGCAATTTTAAGACTTATTTGACTCATTTACTTTTTGCATTTTCGCTATAAACCTACTTGTTTAGGAGCTACATGATGTAAAATGTACACCGGAAGTCATTTTTCCATAGGCTGTAACTCCTAAACGAGTGGGTTTATCGAAAAAATGTCAAGAATAAAAATGTTTTTAAATTGCCTGTTCTATCCGAAAACATGATAAAATATAGGGTGTTCCATAAGAAATTTCAAAGTTGGCCGCCATTTTGGAAAATGGCGGCTGAATTTTGAAAAAATAAAATCATATTTTTAACTGCCACAAAAAATAAAGGAATGTCCCCCATTTAAAGTTTTCTCTAATTCTTACCGTTTCCGATATCCCAATGGTGGCCTCCTTGAGTTGATCACCCTGTATAACAATCAATTATACCAGTAGCCTACTAATCTAATGGTAATTAAATAATCTATATTCAAATACTAGTATCCTCTCCAACTACCAGAAAAACAATTCAACTACTTGAGGCCTAAACAGAATAACAGAATCATATTATACTGTAGCATCAAAAATATTTTAAGTATTAATTGTGACCATTGCACCTGTCGGCTACTCTTTAACCACTTGAAAACACCCATTGTCAACAAGCACAGTTAGCTCAGAGGTAAGGCGTGAGGCTCACTTGGCGAAGGTACCGAGTTCGAGACCAGGCCAAAAAATTTTATTTCGTTTTATTTTCAAAATAAGTTTTTATGAACTATTTAATAAATTTACTCAACTCATAATTATGCTTTGCATACAAAATCTTTATTATTTTGTGTTTTTTTTATGTTTATGCCCAATGGGATGGTTGGCGCTTCCGCAAAAATTGGTTGGTTGGCCAACCGTAAGACTGAGTGCCAAAACATACCGTTGGCCAACGATCGACAGAATCGTTGGGCCAACGATTTGCCAACGATTTTTGCTACTTGGGAATCCTAAATTTTGCTTACTCCAGCCCTCATGATGATCAACTGAATTAATTATTAACTAATAGATTTCTTTTGGCATCATAGTATTTTGTACATTGTAGACAAAATTTTAATTAGGATGAAAAATGTAATGCTGGTCGAAAGATTCCCTTGGCTTACTCGAGGATTTATTAGGATAACTACATGGCGGTTTATGTGTTTTGTTTTGTTGCTTTCTAGTTTAGTTGACAAACAAATAAAGCAAGGTCTGAGAAATATTTTGAGGACATTCTGTGCTGGACAAAGGCCATATCTTGATCAAGTAGTTGGGGTTTGCTGCTACAAGAGCATACTGAAAGGAGGAAGCAGTAGCCACGGGAACAGCAGGATGTCATAGGAAGAAATATAGGTCAGGTACTGGACTGGAATCACCAGAGGCGATGAAGAAGTGGAATGTAATTAAACTTGAAGGAGGACAGTGAAAATTGAAAAGGAAATAAAGTAATATAAGAAGAGCTGGAGGGATGTAAAGGTTTAAGGTAGGTTTACTAGCCCAGTTGTCAAGCCCTTATGTGTAGGGATGGGTCAACCTTCGATGGTAATATCGGCACCTACTATTGATGTATTGCTAACACTGTCATCAATGTTGTTTGATGGTATTGTTAGACTGGGACGGTGGCATCGTCCTGTAATCCATAACTACTAGGAGGTCACGAATTGTGGATATTTATAGGCATGCACTGTGGATGTGATACTGTCTGGTGTGGATTAACGTCTGCACTAGTGAGTACTACAACTATCCGCAGTACTATCCTGATAATTAGACCAATATTCGTTAATACCAAAGCAAAAATGTGATTCGGATTTCACAATAAACTGTAGGTCCCTTAGTTGCCATTAACTGTATGGGCTATTAATTAACAGCAGTGTCTTAGGAATATGTCGGCCTTAGTCACTAACAAGAATACAACATCGTGCCACTCATCCTACAATCATCCTTCACTCATATTTGGGTTAAAATACACACATAGTGGCGTCTCCATCTCAAAATAATCAATATAATTTATAGATGTGTTTTTACTGGTTTCTGTCAGCTTCAGTTAATTAATAGTTGTCCAAAACATTAACGAATAACGTTTGTCAAAAACATTGATATAACAAAATCTTCGACCGCCTACCATCCATTTAAATCATCGAACACCAAACAAAAAACACCAATGTTTTAAAAACATTGGTTATTGATACTCATCCGAAGCCCTAAGCTCCAATAGGAATTTAGTATCTAACAGAAGAATCTCTTACATCTCCTCGACTATCTTCTGGTTCTTCTGTAGTCGGAGTCTCCGTTGTTACTTCTCCTCTCCTTCTAGGTGGAGGACGGTTGGTGTAAGTCGTAGGGTGGTTTCGCCATCTGTACTGAACAAGTAAAAGTTTGCATTGACTTCAAAAAATACCAGAGTGTCAAGGATAAAATAATCATACTATCTTAAGACTAATAAGACTTTAATACAGATCATGCCCTCATATGTCCTGTTGGTGGCCGAATTATAAAATGGCACAATGAAATTAGAGATGCTTTAGAAAACATTATGGAACAGGTATGCGGGAATCTATATACTTATTTAATACGCAAGCAGGTTTTTTGTGACAATTACTCCTCCGAAACTACTGAACCGATTGACATGTTTTTGGTGTCATTGGAAAGAGCGTAACGTGAAGTTGTGCAGGAAACTTTCTTTTTAGGGCAATAATTAGAGAGTGAGGCCCTGGGGCCCTTTAAAGTTTCGTATTTATCCTTAAGATTAACATGGGAAACAAAAATTGTTATGAAACTCCAGCTGCTGTCAGAAATTAAAAGTGAGAAGAATATGTTAACAGTAAACAGTCAATGAGTTTGTTAATTGAACAGTTTGCTACATACATTTACTCACTTGGTTGAAGTTAAATATTTACCCTTTAAATTTGGGTTGGCGTAAATATTACAATGGAAAAAACCAGAGAGGCTGGATAAATTGATATACTATAAAGAAAACTGAGTTAACACTGTGCTGCATTTCTTAGTAATCATTGAAAGAGCCGATTTGCAAACCATGGAAACATAGCCAAGTCATAGAACACCACCTAGGAGAAGAAATAGAAATAATGTTGTTTTAATGGCATTTATAATCCTTATTATGGACAACCTAATGCGGCTATGAGTAAGGCTATTTGTAGAAAACACTAAATAAACAAGATCAGCTTCTGAAAAATTATAAGATATTTACAAGAAATGATGATTATATCGATCTGTTATGTACATATTGAGTATTTCCATAATCCTTGAGTCGAATCTTTTAAAGTTATCAGAAATTATGGTAGTTATCCCTTTTAAAATAACGCCTGTTATAATTAGCAATTGCTCGAATTCGAGCAACAGGGACACTAGTTGTATAAAAGAGCCCCTTATAACAGAGAATGAAAATGTAAACGGGCCAGCAATTAAAGCTGACTTGGCATGTAGAGGGGTATGGGTGACACAGAGGGACACAGAGGGAAGCATTATTTGACATCCGTGTCGTAGACACTGATGCTCCCTCTTATGTCTCCAAACCTCATGACAATTTCATAAAAAATGCAGAAGAAGATAAGAAAAGAACGTATATGTTAGCCTATGAGAGCCGGAATGCCTCTTTCACTCCCCTGATAACATCAGTCTGCGGAATCATAGGCAACGTTTTCAGGGCCGGCTAGAGGGTGGGGCAGGGGTGGCCAGAGCCCCGGGGCCCTGGGCTCTGAAGGGAGTCCGGCCCGATCAAATGTTATATATATATTTTTTTGGACATGTAATCTGCCAATAGTCAAAAATTTTAGCATGGTTTTCAAGTTCACTTGTAATTTTTGAATGGAATAAAGTTGCGACTGACATTCGGATGAACATCATTGGCCAAAGACTGCTCTAACTGTGTAATAATGATTTTCACACTAGCAAAGCTCAATCCCCAGGTACTTTCTAAGGTTATTGCACACAAACTTACCACTCTGTACATAGGGAGCTCATCTTTTTCTGTTGTCAGGTGTGGAAAGAATTTGTCAAAAGGCTGTAACAATGAGTGAAAATGTTTTTGTATACACATCATTATAACATTTGCATTAATTGAATAAAGTATTTACCTTTGTAATCCATAGATTCACACCTCACCCTTAACAGTAGGTGTACTAGAAAAGTAAATTTCATCCCTGAAATAAACTCTAGAATAGTTTATACTAGTAAATTCTGTTAACAAGAAATGGGAAAAAGTGTGCACCCTATAGGTTAATTTTTAATTCAATACACGATCACACATGAATTCTACCTGGATCATTGTGGAATCAGTTAATTGTGTATGAATCATGAAATAGTTTCTCTGAAATTCTAACAATTTATGTGACTCCTTTTCGACCAAAATTAACTTTTCATATTATACATAACATTTGAAATTTTTGAATTGAATTGAATTTTTTGATCTGGGTAGCTTGATAGGTTGTTGTACTCGACTAGTAATAGGAAAGTTGGCAGTCCAATCATTAGAAAATTCAGTTTAATTTTTGTGTGCTGAATTGGACCTGGCTATCCTTGTTTAATCATATTTTAAAAATAGTGCTGGCTTGGAAAATAGCTTGTCTGAAAAGCTGGTTAGAAAAATTAATGGACACGATTGAAAGTCGGTCAATGATATTTCAAGTCAAAATACATCAAAACTGACTTTAAATTTTATAACTGGATGAGAAACGAATGTGTAGTATAAAAAATGGCACAATGGTAAAATGGTGGAATTAATAGACTACAAAGTTGAAAAGATAAAAAATTGAATGCCATAGATAAAACCATTGAATATACTTAAAACATACTCCTTAGTAGATTTCCCATCCTTATGGAACAGCTGAAGCCAATTTTATTGTTAGTTCTGTTCGGTGTACTGTAGATGTTGTGTTTTGTTTACAGTTTGTTTATATTCTTTTAGTGTTAGTTTCTCATGATTTGTGCCTCACTGTTTGGTTAGTCTGAGCGCACACGGTCGATTTTTTGATCGGTCGATTAAAAAATCAACCAAAAATAAATCGCCCCTGATTTATGTCTAGGCGCACACGTAGCGATTTTTAGTTAAGAAATGAATTTTTTCGAGTGCGTTGTTAAGCTATCCTAAATGGACTTTGCTGAATTAACTTGTTTTTGTGCTCTTCTGATTAGATCAAAGAAAAAAAGGAGACATTGTAAATATTGGGTTTATCCGATAGTAAGTCAGAGACTTTAAAATGGACCGTTTTATAAACTATACACTTGTTTAAGTGATGACAGTAAAAGTTCTTTAATTACTATAGAATATCTGTTGAAAGTTTTGATAAACTGTTACATTGGTTGGACAACGGATTTTTGGACAATCTTTTTACTAAAAAATACCTGTTAATAATATGCTAATCCAGCTTTAATTGAATAGGGGTAAACTCGGAAATTAAACTTACAAAAGTTTGAGTAAACATGTTTTAATGGCAGTAAAGATCTTATAGTTTTAAATACAATGGAATATTGGTTACTGGCCGATTTTTTAGTCGACCGTGTGCGCGGACAGGTAACATCCTGTACGTTACAGATTCCCGGCCGACAATCGCCTCGCCTACGAATCTGCGGCAAAATGCAGATTTTAAAGTCGGCGCAATTTTCGATTTCCTGTGTGTGCGCTTCCATTCTAATACATGATGGACAGATCGGCCGATGAAATAATCACCTCAAAATAATCGCTCGTGTGCGCCTAGCCTTATATAGCTAGTGGACAAGTTATTGTTTATGATTAGATAGTTTTGACAAATAACATATGTTTAATATTAATTTGTTTATGTTGTCTACTAAGGAGTATGTTTTATCTATGCTATAGCCTACTATACCGAGGATAAGTTGACAACTTACGTTATAGTCTTCAGTTTTACTGTCATCTGCTTTTGTCCCACCCACAGACACACACAACACAAAGCAAACATAGAGGAGATCAGACATACTCTTATCAAACTACATCCCAGATAGCTTCAGTGATAACATACTCACACAAATAATTAGGTGTTCTACCTAATTCAAAATATATCATCTAAAACCTACCTTCTCAAACATCATTACAGAGGGTTGTGGTTAAGTTTTTATGGCTCAAGCAATATTCTTCAATCAAACAGCTGATCAACAATAAGTGGCAAAACTTAAACCGCAATGCAGTTTCTTTTGAATAGTTAAAATTAAATAAATGATTTCAAGAACTGTTTGATGACACGGTTCCACCTCCACATTAAGGTTTTATAAGCAGAATGTAAAATATATAAAATTATATTGTGATCAACTAAAACCCAGACAAAAATGGGGTAGTAATAAAATTTATGATCACATTTTTACTGAAATAGCCATTTATTATACAGTCCCAAGGCCCTATTAATTTACTGGATGATTTGTACAAATTATTGCAACACCTTAATGCATATAAAACATATATTACAAAATCGGGTACAAAACCTAAATCATATAAATTACTATGAAACAAAAGACAGTGCTGATAGCTTAAGTTTATTATGAAGGTGGTTTAAAATTATATATACATTAGGTTTAAAAAAAATGAATATCCTACAATATAATACAATGAGTTAACGTGCCACAAGTTGAAGTACTGCAATAAAATATTTAAGAAATGAAAGAAAAAACCATTCTATGGTAATTTATAGATTGTTGTCCAAACATTTACAAGTCTAAATTATTCTAGGATTTACAAAATATTGATTTCTGCTAGCTTACCTGAAAATATTTGAGTCCAACAGTAAAAGATATACAATAAAAGAACACAAAACATAATTCTGATATGTTATCCAACATCAGGACAAAATATCAGTGTTGGTGTTCTTTATGATATAGCCTTTTGACTCTAGTTTACTCAGGTAAGCTAGCTGGACTCTATTCCTTTAAAAAATTATAAAAAGCCAAATGAACCTATACTATATATACTTCTAAATGAACTATTATAATTATTTTTGATGATTTACCCTTTTAATTAGAGCCATAAAATGTCTCAGTTTTCAACATTTAACTGTCAAGTTGTATTAAAATGTTAAATAAATTATATTTACGGTATCCAATTTTGTCATAGTCTAAAAAATATTTTACTTTAAATCATTTTTAATACCAATTTGTGGTACAACACAATTTTACTTTTGTTTAAATTCAAGCGATTATTAACACTTATATAATGCTTAATTTACACAATGACCCCACTATATTTTTGGACATAAAAAAATTTAATTAGATTAAACACAAAATGTTATTTATTAAGTATATGTTTATGAAAAATCATTTATTTATTTATTTATTTTTATTTTTATTTAACCTTTTCTTAACCAAACACGAATGTTCAGTAGTACAGTATTGAAAACTCTTTCTGTTAAGACGGAAGTATGTTTATGAACGAATATTTTTGTTTCTACAGTACTATGTTTTCCAAAATGAATATGGAAAATGTGTTAATGTTGAATAAAAGTTTGGAAACAATCTAAAAAAAACGAATGTATGCATAACAAATCACAAAACATATAATTTTCTATTTTAGTCATAAACTTCACACTATGTGCTGGTTAGAACATAGACACTGAAATACAATATTTTATCCTTTTGTATAGTAGTTTACTAAGTTCTTTTCCACCATATGAAACCAGAATTTAAATCATTATGATTTTGAAGGTTTTTGCTAATGAAATGATTTTCCTCAAGGAACTTTTTCTCTCTTTTTTTTATAAATTACAATCTTCTTTATGCTATTTATCACTTTGCTGGATGTAAATTCAAATCAAGGGTTAAAAAGCATTTTACTGTTTTATGAATGTGAATAACTTTTAGATAAATGTATATAGCTTTCAGCTTGGCAAAAGTTAATTTACAAAAGAACAAAAATAATTGGCAAAGATAGGTTTAGAAGATCAATGACAATGTATTTAAAACAAGGTTGTATAATTGATTTTAACCAAACTTTTTATTTTAATTAACAACTTTTAAGAGTGATAATTAATTCTAAAATTTGTCGTCAATTAGTTTTTTTTTCTCTCTGTAATTCTAGGTATATTGAATATCTATTATTTAATATAATGTACATTTTATTAATAGATATTCAGTAGACCTAGATATAAACTTAGCCCTAATCAGTTTGGTCAAGAAAAATAAAAATAACAAATTTTATTTCATTACATCTATGAGTATTTAAAATGCCAGTAACGTATATTGGAAAAGAAACTTTCTAACACTATAAATAATTTAAGGCAGTAAAAAGATTGTTTTCATCAATTATAATTATCTACATTTTACAAGTTAGTGAAAACAAAAGAATACAACCCGCACAATATGAATTGTTAAGTTCATAGGGCTAAAATTATCTACATTATACAGTTCTACTTACATTTGGAAATAAAAAATTGATTTTAGGAATACTACATTTTTTAGTTTTTAAAATATACTCTGGCTATTAGGTTGACTCTCTCAATGAACTTTAAAATTTTAAAGTAGTAAGACAGAAAAGCAAAGCAAACAGTTTACTGTCTGCTACAGCACTCTAAATTTTGTTGAAATATTTGTTGTTGTAAAAATGAAATAAGTAATTATAGGATACATAGCATATTTCTCTTTGCAGGTAAGCATACCAAAGTTCATTCTGTACATTTTCAATATTTGTAGGGAAGTGTTTCCCTCGCGACCGACAACACTGCTCAAAGCAACTGTTCCATTCTGCACGTCCACCAAAGGCACTCAAAGTTCAAAATTTTGAGTTTTGAAAGAGCTCTTCTCGTTTCATTGCCGCCCAAGATTGTGAATCGTTGGAGAGGACGTACTTGATCGGTTAAGTCTTCGAGGTCTGTAAACAAATTGGTTATAAGTTTAGGGGAAGAAAATAGGATCCGTCAAGGGTCTTTTCAAGAATAGGGTTGCTACTATTAGGATTTGCCATGTACAAATAAAGTTTATGTAGAGTAATGGAGGTTATAATAGGTTAGGTTCTGGGTTAGGTCAGGTTGGGAAAGGGTAGACTCTATGTCCAGACACGTCAACCACATAGTTAAATGATAGATAAAAAGGGTACAGGTTAGGTTAGGTTTGTTTCCTTACCAAATATAAGTAAAACAATTCATTTCTGTTTATAATATTATGTATGCATAGGGATAATTTAAAAAGTGACGGTGCTCTTCTTGAAAATAACCCCGTTAGGTCTTGCAGCTATTTATATCAAACCACCAGGATTATATCCTGAGCTAGTTGAACCAAAGTATAATTTTAAACACTTTTAAGAAAAACCATAGTATTCGGGGTCATATATTTTTATTCCTGGCCAAAATATATTTAAAAACCACACGAGTCAATCCTATGTTTAAATTGAAACAATGTGAACTTACATAGTCTAGTCCTGTGCATTTTGAATTTTTTTTTCTTATGTGAGATAATGGATGCATTAAGCTTTTAAAAGTTTTTGATTGATTATGCTTAAGACAGTCAAGACACTTTTAATGTTATGTGCAAAACATGAAACGATTATTTCACTATGACTTTTAGGGACCAGAAAGAATGAGATGGACACGTGAAGCTAAGAGGGAGAAGAATAATTCTAGACTCAATTTCTACCGGTTTCTCGTCTTGTCAAATCAGTGTAGCTTAGATCAAATAATGCTTTATTGGGGTGCTACCGGATAGAAAACCTGAAGTAAGGAACACGATGTTGGTCTTGGATTTGAACTAGATAGCATGGCTGCCGTGGGTACTCGACGAAGACTAAAATTTACGATCAAACATCGTTGCTTTATTTTGTAGTCAATAAACAAATTTTATTCTGACATTTTCACAGGCTTAGCTAGGTATGATTGATTTGATAACAACTAGATAAGATAGATGTGGATAAATTAGCTCATGATTTGCAATCAGAGTTACAACAAAATCATTAGATTTTTAATTATTCTTGTAACTTCCACTTTTCGCAGATATGTCCGTACACAAATATGGCCGTAAAATTGAGGTCGCTGTCCAAGGAAGGACCAAGAAATATGGCAGAATTGCAAGATGTGAGCTACTCACCAAGAAGAATAGACAGTAGCTGTTTTCCCGAGTCAATTTAAATTTGTTCACGTTTATTTTTGCTGTTCAAAAGATAAATATTTTCAAACCACAAAATAAGCTTGTTGGAACTTTCAAATGCTACGTATGATACCAACCATACGAATGTAAACAAGTAATGAACGCATGTGTGATACATCTACTCGAAACCACAAAATAATCACAATTTCACTACCAATAAATAGTGGATCATTTGATTATATGTAAATAGTTATTAAATTAATGAGTAGTATTAATCTAAGTCTGTTATTTTATTTACCTGGAATATGCATCTCCATTTAGATTCCTGCAGGAAGCCAGCTTTGCCTCCAACGCCTAAAATTGAACAACAATTAACAGATGTCCACACAAGTCATAATAATAAGAGAAATTGTTTCCATTACATATAAAGATTATTTGTTTTACAAAGAGGAACAACATCAAGTATGGTTTCAAAATACAATTTTAATTTGATTAAAAACATTAAAAATGCTTTATTCTATTTGTATTAATAGAAAACCCAAAATGATTTATTTTATTTTTAGTTTACCTCAAAAAACTCTACTACACCATTAGGTCTAAAGCAAAAATATATTAATCAAGAGGAATAAGGTTATAGTAGGCTAGTTTATGCAAAGATCTCGTAAAGAAAGTGTTAACGAAACAAGAAAATTTAAGGTACAAGTCTTGGCGAGAGCCTAAAGAACTTCTATGAATTTTGTTAAGACTTTTTACGCGAGTTGCGCACACCACTTTACCTACGATCGTTTTTTAATTAATAATCACTACTCATAACTTTTAAGAGATTATGTTTTTGTTTATAACCTCCCATTGCCACTGACAGCAATGCAACGAATCATTGTACCAAACACTAATTGCACCAATCGTTAACAATTAAATTGGTAAATAGCTGATTAGTTGAATTTTGAAGCAATACAATTTTATTTCCTCTCTCTCAATCCTTGAACCTCATTGGTCCGTTACCCATGTTGTTAAGTAAAAATATGCTGTTATGTAAGTAAACAATACTGTTATGTGAAACTTTTCAATTCTAAGAAACAACTGAACTGAAGTAACGGCTACTTAAAAAACTGGCGTAGGTAAAAATAATTTTTCCAACTCAAATATTAGACAAGTAGGCCTACTAAATTAAAAAAGTACTTGTGAAATTTATTTGTAATAATCAGTAAATGGTTGTCCATTAATTAATGGTTTTAAACCTAAAACCTAAGTTCCCACCAATTTCCTTCTCAAATTATGAGTAAATTCAGAATAACAAACACATTGTTAGTAATCCAACAATAAAAAAAATTCAGTAGCACAGTTACATGAGAATATGTTACTTTCAGGCAAATCAAGAAACAACATTCAACAAATTATCTTGTGAGTGTGTGTAATTGAAAGTGATCTTCAACATAAAAAAACAACTATTCAAACCCTAGATATTAATGGAACATCAATCAGTTATTTATTACAAAGTGGGACTAAACAACATCTGAACATTTTGATGATTTGTACAGATTAAAAAAATAAAACTACCTTGACCTTATTCTTTTAATGTCTGTTTTCAAAAAATCTCCTTAAATAGTCTATTTAGTTTAAAACCGGAGCTTGGTAAAATACCAATGAAGTTTTGCTTGAAAAGATCTAAGTTTTTAACATGACTTGTTCATAGTTATATATTTCCCCAATCAAATGAAAGAGTAATTTAGAAATCAAGAGATACAGCTTGAACCTATGATGAAGTAATGCTTGAATTTTTAAGAGGGACATTTCTTCATTATCCAGTTTAATTGGAGTGTTTTAGCCAAAGTAAAAATAAAGAAATAAGATAAATGAATCAATAATATAGTTAGTTATACTTTTAACTTTTTACGAAATCAAAATTTTAATATCTGTCATTAAAAGTGACTAAATATGATCCAATTAAAGAATCAAATAAGTGGTACTACTTTTATTTACAAGAGATCAAAGTTTTTTTAACATTTAATTAACTTTTGGATTAGCAAATTTACTTGTTGGTGAAAAACAAATACCAAAATAAACATTATAACACTTTTTTGCCTATACAGTAAACATATAGGATTGTAGATTTTTATCATCCACTAAAGTAGAACCACTGAAGTAGAAACCACCGAAGAAGAATGTTTCCCTCTAAGACTCCACTAATATACCAGTGCTTGTACTCATAATGATAGAGGTGCTGCTATAATCATGCCTCCCATGTTACAAACACTGCAGCTGACTGTTAGAGCGTTAGTTCGTGCAAGTTCAGACATGTACGGACCTGCTAGTTGCTGTGCGTGCGCCGACAGGAAGGTAGACATCAGGAGGGAAAAAGGAAGGCAGTAACTGATGAATTTACTTCAAAACTATTTGTGAATTTAAATACAAAATTGGCTTTTAAAATGTTACCTACACTAATAATATGTTTGGAACAACAATTGTAAATAACGGTAACATCATTAAGAAGTATTTACTTAAACTGAAATTGTTTTGGTAATTGTACATGTAATTTAGGCTAACCTTACAATAAAATTAAGGGGTCTACAAGCAAAACCTGACAAATTACATTCCTCGAAGATTGATTTTAAGTATATTATATTTTAAAATATTAACAGCTACAAGGTATGGTACGTTTAGTTAAATGCGAAAACCAAAATTGAAATAGGCCTATATTCCTATTATTTCTAAAGATAAAACTGATCTTGGAAACAAACCCCAACCGTAACGGTGAAGTTTAAAACCCAATATCTATCACAACTGCCCAATCTTGAGCCAGCAATTTGGTCACTTGACATGAAATCTGCTTTTAAAATTAAATGTTTCTGCTAGTAGATCAGATTTGCAATTTGTTTCCATATAATGAAATATTTTGGAGTAATTCTGTTTAAAGTAATCCAACCCATTTTGAATTGTTAAGTACTTCCTGTTCAAAAGCAAAAGGAAACTTTTAAACATCAGTCAAAGACAAATCCTGAGATATATCTAAAAGGTTTTGAAGATGCCAGGTTCAGCTCTTAAACTCCTCAAAAAGAAGTTGAAGGAATTAGTCTATACCTTAAAAAGTGTATATAAACTGAAGTAAGCCAGATCCCACAGAAATAATTTCCATTAGGCCTAACATTAAATCTACAACCAATCTCTTTTCAGAGAATGGAGAGAATGTGTGTGCCTACAGAGAGAAACCTGGATAAAATATTACAAATCATATTCATATTCAACAACAGAAAATTAAATTGTAAAAAAAGGTTTAATGAAGTCACGAAAAATAAACAGGGCTTATGGTGAAAATCTTTTACCTATGTACAAAAATGTAAAAAGATTTCTCAGTGGTTATACAACTACTTTGCAAAAAAGAGTAAACTTTTTGTCAATTTCTCAATACTGTATTTACATTTACGACTTAGTAAAAATAATTGTGAATGTAGGAGAATTGAGTATTATTTCTGTTCACTTGTGAAATGGGGAAACAAGAATTACTAAGCTACAACTATTTCTGTTTTATATGAGTGCTTAACATGGGAAAGAAAGGGTTTTAAACGGAGAAAATTTAGAAAATCTGTGCAAAAACTACTCCAAACGAATAGGTACAGTACTTTAAAATCGGATTATGCATTATAAATGTTTACAATTTATTGCAGATATATTTACACTGGAGTGAGGATATACAATTATAATAATAAATAACGATTTTTAACAACCAACAACAGTTATTAGATTATTAACAAACTTAAAATTATTTTTAAAGCACCCGATTCAATCACATTATTTACAAGTGGGTTTAATACTACTATTAAAGAATTACATAACTTAAAACTACAATAAGCCTATCACATATCAACATTCAATAAATAACTGAGAATGTATTACAGGAACTTTAGGTATCCACTTCAAACTATTGAATATCACAGATAAATTTTGACTCTAGGTAGGTGTTGTTTTACCCTAATTAGTTACCAAAGGAAGACAAATCGATAAGTGAATGGTATTGGTATACAGTAGTAGAATCTTTTGGGCTTTAAAAACAACAATTTTTATACTTTCAACGCCCTTTAATACTGAGTCATTAAAAAGATTTAAATTCAAGAGAATGGAATTAATATATTATATTTCTACCAATGATAAGCAATCTGAATTGGACAACTAAAAATGAATAAATCTCTTATTTTTAAACAGGATTATTGAGTAGGCCTATTGAAAAGTAATAAATAGCAAAAGAAATGACTAGTAAGTATAAATAAAGTTTTGTATAATTTAATTTTGTGGACCACACCACATTCAAATTTAAGAATCATGTTATGTATGACGATTTTATTTGTGGTTTAACAAAATATCATTACTGTGAATATAAAGATACATATTTAAAATGTAATACATTTTTGATACCATTTAAAATTACTGCAATATTCCCAGTTATGTTATTTAATGTTTTTCTTTGTCAAAACTAGTCATAAAAATAAATAGAGAATGAATCAAAAATAACTTTCCGGCTTTAAACAATGCCGATATTTACCAATTTTGCTTGTACAAAAGGGTGGTTTTGAAAAAAAAAATGTGATGTACATTTTACCGTGTGGTAGTAAATACATATTACAGTTTGATTTCTTCTAATACTGATGGTAAATTTATTGTTTTAAAGAAAAAAACTTGGCTAAGGAACATGTTGAAACATGTTAGTATCATACAAAAAGATTACAACTAATTTAACTTAATCACTCAGAATCAAGAATACTTTAACAGAACCGGTATGGATCACAAACATAAACAAATTACGTTGCTGTCCCGAATCCTATACTAATTGCATTAAAATATGGTTTAGACAATTCCATTAAAGCAATATTAAATAATGTTTATTTTCAGGCCAGTAACATTATTTGTTTATGTTTATGATCTGTGTCTGTTCTAGTATTCGTGCTCAGAATAAGTAAGTTTACTACTTCAGGCCCCTTTGAAGTGGCCTTAAAATACAAAGTTCTAAAAAGTGTTTGTCAACAATTAAAATACCGTGGAAAAGCTAACACGGTATAGCATTTCACAAAGTCTTTTTTGATTCAAACTGTAGAAAAATTATCACAATAAACCATAGTTTTAGTTTTAATTCAAATGTGTTCAAAATTTAAAACACAATCAATAATATTTTTAAATCACTAGATATACAGTTTATGAAAATCTTAAACATTATCTTGATCCTTGAATCAAAAGAAGACCAAAAACTACCTAACTAAGCTACCAAATCCAAAACTATTTTATCAATATTAGTATCACAGGATTAATGTTTTATTGTGGTTCAAAAATAAAATTTGAACGTCAGAAAATTCAAAAATAAAACCAACACTCAAAAGTCTAAATGTAAATAGCACCAGTCAAGAAGTGTAAAACGTTTCTACTTTAATACACAAAATATTAGGCCCATTATTCTAAGGCACGACATATTTTTGGACATACCTTACAACTTAATATTTTACATTTTCAGCAATATCTAAACATATAAATATTATTTAATTTAATGATACTAGATTGTTTGAACACCAATTTCACATTGTAGGTCTAACCTTTTGTCTCTAACCTAACCTAACCAACCAATGTCACTGCCTAGGAAAGGTAAAGAGAGGGGGGCGAGGATTTGCGCAGACACATTTGATTCGATCACAGGAGGTACAAAGCCACTTCTCAAGCTAACCAACATAACAAAACAAAAACTGACGTGAGTATACTGCCAACAAAGCAAAATTTTAAAAATGAACTCAAGTAACATTCAGCGTAGCTAAAATAAAATAAATAATATACTATTTACTATCGTATACTGTTGTTTTGAAGTTTAGTAATATAATTGATAAAATTGAAAATATATCATTTAAAAACAGAGCTTTGGCCCTGGTCGTACTCAATCTTCTTTTCGTGATCTATCTAATGGGCAATAATAAAATATCCATGAAGAGGCCAAATATATTTCTTTGCTATTTTCTACACTAGATCTGTATTTGTTTGAAATGTCCAATTAAAATCGATGACTATTTAGTACTACTACTGCATGAAGAGATTTGAAACAGTTTTATACTTCCAATCAGTAAAATAAACACAAACTATCAACAAAAAAAGTAAGTACTTGAAAAAACCAGCACTACTTTAATTTCTTACTTCCATTGCTCTTTGATTACGCTTAGTGAGATTCTAAAAATCCATACGAAAATGTAATTGTTTGGAACCTAAATCTTACACTTCATCTTTTAAAACCGACAATGTTTCTGGATTATTATGCTCGGCGTTGTAGTAACTTTATAGAAATATCTGAAGATATTTTTCCCTAAAAATAACATTGAACTATGGGATAACTAACTGTGGAAAAACTTTAAGTAGGACAAATGTTTAGTGTTTTATTAATTTACACACAAAAATGACATTTTGAGAAAATCCCCCAATAAACTATACTCCTAGGTCCTAGGTTCTGCTAATCCAAACTTCCCCCAAACACAAATTTTATCAAGGGAAGAGGTAAAATATTGTAAGAACCACTAAATAAGCATCCAATGTCAAAATCACACAATCTTAAATCACACATTGCTTAGAACACCTGTGTTCTATTGGCTTGAGTTTCTAAACTTATCTTTGAATTTTAAGAAAAAGCATCATGAAAAAAATTGTGGCTGATTGGGTGGTTTTTTTATTTCCAAAAGAATGGAGTTCGGCTAGCTTTTATAAATTAAAAGTGGAAAACTCAAGTGTTGTATACGCATTACAGGTTTTCTTTCTGAAACTCGACTAAGAATAAAAATAATTCCGTAGAACCATGCACAAAACAAACTTTTTGAAACAAAATTAAAAAAACACTACTGTAAAATCTAAATAAAATCGGATTAGCAGAACATAAGAAAACTGCAAACCACTACTTTCTACTGTAACCTTATAACTCCAAGTCCTACTTACTCAATAGAAATTGATTAAGAAGGCAAAAATCATTGTAACGGCTACCATGCACTAAAAAGCAAAGTATAGTTGTAAAGAAATTACAAGATCACAAGCTATAATTACCCAACCAACTACAAGATTTGATAGTTATTTGAATCAATTAACTCTATAACTATCAGTTTGTTTTACCATCTAAAGTAAAGTTTACTAATTTAAAAAATTACACATTGCTCAGTTAAATTTTAAAATATTATTAAATGTGTGATCGTTTGGTTGAAATTCAACAATTCAATTTGTCTGTAAATTTTGAAACTATAATGAATCTGTAATTCTATTTAAATTTAAGATCTGTTAAACATATATATATAAAAAAAACCTACAGAAATAAGTACAACAATTTGCGAAAAACTAAAACAATTGAATAAATAAAATCATTGCAAATAACAGAAAACCAAAGGTTAACTCCAACCAAGGCCATACATGAAGATAACAATCAAATTTTTCATTAGCGCTTGGAACAATAAATGTAAACCAACAGTTAATCTTAAAAATAGTTTGAACTGTACGATCAGACTGAACGGAATTTTATAATAGACTGTTCATATGGATCAGTAGCCGAGACGTTAAGTTATTATTTAATATTAAATGCACTTTAGAGCCACATGTTTTAGAATAAAACAATTGACAGTTCCTAAATATATTTTTAAACAGGATCAAGCAATTATAGTTCGGCCGCTTAGAAAACGACCTGCGCGCTAATGCTAAACCAATGCTGGAGGAGGTCGTTTTCTAAGCGGCCAAACTATAGTAGGTTTGCTCTGTTATAAAGTAAATTTTCCAATTGCTAGAGGCACTTGGCAAAGAAAACCCTTGCTTAAAAACAGAAGAAAAGAATATTAGGAAATAAAGACTCACCCCCACTTTCTTTAAAAGGTCGCCTACAATGTCCATGGTGGTTGCTCCTCTTAGGGGCGTCAGTCGGGCCGGCATATTTGCGCCTGTAACAGAAAAGCTTGTAAGAATTTGAACATCAACACTGGATGATTCCAAGAATGGTGTCATAGTAGTCAAGAGTGTGACTAAGTTTTTGTGTGTAGCAGAACCTCAATTTAACTATCAATCTCTATTATCTGTGGTCTCAAAAAAAGTATTTCGCTAATTTTTTAAAAACATTTTTCTTACTCCAGTTTTTTTCTCTCTCAATAATATAGAACAAACAGATCAGCATGTTTATACATTAAATAAAATATATCCGTTGCGATCCAACCTGCGGAATAAGGGAATTTCAATTCATCTCATTTGTATCAATCTGTAAATATCTGTAAAAATCACTAACTACCATCATATTTACTTGAGATTTTTAGCTTTAAAGAATCCCCATTTAAACTTTAAAATAAAATTCATTGGTTTTCATGGTCATACTTGCATATATTTTTGTTAAGTCAGAAAGGGTCAACAGTTTTAACAGGCGAAATTGCAGCACATCAGAGCGAATCTTAAGAGTTGTACGGAGCAATTTACGAACACTGAATATATGTTCCTGATGTTGACACGTGTACTCAACAGACTTCAGAGATTGGACATACCGGTAATTCTGATTCTTAACCACGTTAAGATACTAACTGCTAAAAGCCGAGATTTTATTGTGGTGATAACAAAAAGCATCTGATAAGATTGCTCAACAAAAAATTCCCGATATTACCGAGATCACAGAAGACGATTGAGATATGATGATGTCTTTGCTAATTTTCCACAATTACAAAAAGCTATGAAGATGTCTACGCAGCCGTGACAAATGTTCACAATCATAGCGTTTTTCTTTTTTTTTTTGTGTCCATGCGAGTACGGCATTTTCCCAATGAAGTAAATTTCAAACACTCTTTGGGAAAGCGGTACAAAATTGATGTTATGTGGATGTGCTAGGAACCGAAACCTTCCGCACCAAAGTCCAACACGCTAACCACTAGACTACCAACACACCCAAACGTGATTTTGTTTTTTAATCATGGATTGTAATCGAGTTCCCATTGTGATGGATGCATAATACACCAAATTAACTTAACTTAAACTGTCTACAATTTTTTTTACAGTAAACTGTGGGGGATATACTAATATATTCTATATCACTTGTTTCAGTCATCTCAGGTTTTTGTTTTACTAGGGTGCAACAACCTAGGAAATTCCCTAATAAAATAATAGTAAATTATTTCTTCCATTTGGAAAAAAAAACTTCCTATGTATACAAATTCGTATACAAGTTTCGTGGACAATTGGATAGATGGTTTAATGCATAGGGCATACACACAAAAGCATAAATTTAATTTTATACATATAGAAAAGTGTAATTTAAGTTGAAAATGTCTGTAGGATACATCCGAGCACAGGTAACAGTTTATTCCCTTAACTAACTGAAAATTAACAGTGAAAGAGGCCATGCAGCAACAGATTGTATTTACTGCATGGATTTTCATCGATAAAATAAAATTTAATCAGCTGAAGTTTATGTAAAGTCGACAATCACAGAAATATGGAAGAGAAGCTTAGAACGGTAAAAATGCACTATTACATCTTCATTTTACTGTATCTAATTAGTACACAAGAGAAATGTTTACGCAAGAGTCATAGGCGGGTGTGGAAAGTTTCTCAAGGACAGCAAAGGCAGTTTGCATTTTTCCTACAGTTACTATAAAATACTCCCGCCGCAGCAAACCTGCTCACTAAAAGAATTGTCTAAATTGATTTTCAATTAAATATATTTAAATAACATTAGGTTTAACGAGTACCTACCTAGGTTTGCTGCTACAAGGAAAAATTTAAAAAGTGTGATTTTTAGTAAAATATTAATAACTTAGTATGAAATAAATGAATTTGCCAAGTTTGATCAAAATATATCCATAAACAAGGAAACTACAACATTTTACAATATTCTCCATAAGAATTTTCTAGGTTTTTTTATATTTTCTCTGTTACCATTAACTGTACAAAAACACTTTGGTATACTAAATTATTTGTTTAAGTTCTTTAAAAAGGTTTAAAAAGAAAAATTGGAAAATGTTGTGTTTTAAGAGTGAAAAATGAGAAAACCAATTTTTTGCCCGTAAAACTTCCTGTAAAACCTCATTCCCATGGTCCGGTCATGCTGGATTGGGAACTCATTCAAGTTTACCCCACCAATTACACTTTTAAACCAAATTTCATAAAAATCGGATAAAAATTACTCGAGTTATCGTGTGTATATATAGATATATGTATACATATATAAAAATTTGAACGAATGGTGTTTTTAGCCTCTGGGGACATCAAAATGAAAATGTAAATCGGTCCCCGGCCTAGGTCTTACTGTGCCACCTACGGTAATAGCTACTTCCCTGTAGGGAAATTCGCCAACATATAAATAATTAGTCTTTCAAACACTGTACAACACGTTTTTAGGTTAGGTTAAATACCAACATTGAACAAAATGGGAAACGCTGCACCAGCTGATCGTAGTCGTAATATCTTTAAGTGTTGCCAAATCTTTTTTAAAGCGTACACGTATTACATTCCTAATAAAAGCCTGCTGTTTTGTGTTGTTTGGTTGAACTACTGGTGTGCGGCAAAACAAAGTAGATGCAGCAATTAGCAACTTTCTGTGCTATAATCAGTGTGAGGAAAGCCACTTTGTCAGGAGACTGTAGGAAAAAAATACTTTCTAAAGACTTTGTGACCAAATGATAACGAATGAAAATGTGTGTTGTTGACTAATGTCGTTTGCAGATTAAATAATACATACTCCAATTCCAACAGTTTCATTACTACCCAAAAACAATGACCGGTTTACTTAAAAGAGAGTAACTTCTCATTTCCCAGGACTCTTTTGACAATCTGTTATAAATATTTCACATTGTTACACACTTCAAATGTTTAGATTATCTAACTTTTTTAAACCATTTTTTTACTAATTTGTGTTACGAGTTCGGAAAATAGATGTATGAAATCGTCTAGGCTATAGAAGTACTGTAACCACTCACTGGACCATTAGAATATTAGACTAGGCCTATTTGGTATATAACTTTTTTTGTAAAATTATCTTCAGAATTAAGTTTAAGTGTAGTAATGTTTTAAAGTTGATAAATATTTATTTTTAAGAAATGTAGGCAATGACGTTTTCAACGACAAAAATAACTATTATCGGCAAGTTTATAGCAAAATTCATTTTTGTACATAATAAAATCTTGTTTGATTAAGCAGACAGCAAACAGCGGACTAAATTTATGCATGGAAAGTCCACAAACAGAATAGTGTCTATCTTGAAAATTTTATTTTTAGTTACTTTCATCAGCATCCTCATACTTAAAATTATTTCTTCCCTTAAAAAAAAAAACTTTTGTTTATGAAATTAATCATGTATCATGTTGGATCATCTATTTACCCATTTTGAGATGTAAAGTTTCAAATTTTCCCACAATTTTGTCACATGACACTATTTGAAACATCCAAGTGATTTTAAAAACTGTATTAAAATCACATGGATGTTTCAATGGTTAAACACAGTTAATAATGTTATAGAATATTACGTTACTAGTCCTGAAAATAGGTGTTTACCGGACGAGTGTGATCATTCCCGTGCGAGACGAAGTCGAGTACGGGATCACCATATGAGTCCGGTAAACACATTTTGGACGAGTGACAACTATATTTTACTACGCCATACTACTAAATCCGTACAAATTCTTAAATATTACCACTGACTAAAGGACTAACAATCACTAGTCAACCTCTAAGAGAGGTTATGTTTTTGTTAATAAACTAACCACTTTCACTCATTGCCAAATACAGTATATAATCAGATGGTTGGTGTCCAGTAAAACTCATTACAGTACGGTAGTACGTACTGAAAACCCATTTGATTAAGCTGAAGGCAAACAGCTGTTTTCTGGACTAAATCCTTGCTGGAAAGTTCGTCAAAACAATGTAGTGTGGCGTAAATAACACATTCTTTCTTCACGCAATCTCATTCGTGGTTGCTGTCAAGCAACAATAAATTACTTACAACCTCTCAAATTTTCTTTGCCAAGATTTTTGAAAACTGTTATTTTATATCTTGTGCATGCAATACGTAAAATATTTTGGGGTATGAAAAGCTTAATCGTAAAAAGGGATACTGACAAGGAATTGTTAGGGATGTAGGCTTTATTTATTACTAAAACTATTTTACTTATAACTCGGTAAAGGATGCCATACGAGGGCGGTTTTTAAGTAAGGGCCGGTTTCACGGATAGATTGGTAGTTCACTTGTATGCTGCAATGAGGCTCATCACCATTTACTTCCATCATTTGTTAACAGAATGACACAAATTTCAACTCTGTAGCTGTCATGTATGCTTCGCTGTGTTTTTTTAATTTTTAAATAATCAAATCTCCCGCCGTGTCCGAGGTAAGGTCAGTGACGTTCTTTTCCTCGTCAAATGACTGAAAGTAATGTCCCTAATTCAATGAGGAGGGAAAAAAATCTAATTCAATGAGTGAGGATAGAGTGCGGAAATAGGTTAAAGAATGTAAAAATGGCCATAAAACCCTTTTTTTCTTTGAGGTTTGGTCTTCATTGAGAAGTCTGGGTACGGACCAAAAACACAATTCCTTCTGAAATAAGAATTATGACAGCCATTTTAAAACTCTGTGACGCAAAATTCTAGGGGGGGAATAAACTAATATTCACCTAAGTCAGGCTAGGCCTACCCTAGAACCGGCCACACTCAAATTTCTTCCCCGGAGTGCTCAGAAGGAGCCGAGAAAAATCCAGGGGTCGATACGAAGGTGTCACGGCTTTGACTGATCAATTTATTTAAATTTAATCGAAGGCTCAGAGCTCTAGAAGCGCTCAGGAAATCCTGCAGACGCCCAGTTGGAGCTATATCATCCCAGCCTTCGTAAAAGTGTTTTGGAGAATTTTGCCTAACTTTTGAATGACTCTGTAGGGCCAACGAGTATTCAATCTTAAGCCAATATGATTCAATTACTCGTAATAAACTTTAAACTAATTTCGGAAGACGTGGGTTAAGAATATAAAATCGAATATAATGTAAAAAAGCAATTCCTGCAGAGTCGTCGGGCCTAATTAATATAATTGGACGGAGAATTTATCGTGATAGGTACGTTTAAAATAAATTTAATACCAATATTCGTGGCTGATTGTTCAAATCAGCCTGCTCCCAAGACTTGATTCTTTCACCCGCCAAAGACGGGGTTTAGAACTTAGACGACAAGTCTCGGGGTCTTAAAACGTCGAATCGATTAAAATAATAGAAGTAACAATTACTCGTTAAGCGAACGGAGAAATCGTAATTTCGAAACCAGTTAATTAAAATAAAATAAACGATCGCCACCGCTAGTCACTGGCAGGCAGGAACTGGCGGGTCAAGACTCAAGTTACGATATTAAATTTAGATAATTCGAATCGGTAATTTAAGAAAACGAAAATGTAAAATAAGTTAAGTATGCGTATAATAAAGATAAAACAAAAATAACGTGAAACGTATAAAGGAGCCTAACTGGTGTGTTAACTAACCTTCGTAATCGAATCGTAGGGTCGTATTCGTAAGTCGTGTGTGAGCTAGTCGGCGGTCAAACAGGGAATAATTCTTGTCCGGCTCAAATCCCGATTTCCTCGGCCGCGGCTCAAGCGCTGCGGTGGCGATTTCGGAAACTAGCCAACAGCTGATCGGGGATTCGCCTGTTGAGCCGGTCTAGTTGTCGTCTGTCGTTGGTCAACAAACACCATTTTGAGGTTAAGTGATGTTGTAATCGTCGTTAAATATTCGTAAAATCGGTCGTTTTAACTTTATTATGTGAAACGGAGTGCTATTATGAATAAATATATCGTTGTGGGTGTGTTTGTATACTTCACTGTTATTAAAAGTAGGCCTACGTTCTTTGGCCCATAGCCCAAGCTATGGCCAACACATAGGCCTAGGAGTAGGATGTTGTGGGTAAAAATTGGGTAAGTTATGGTGTTTGTTGACTAGCAATACGTTTTTACCCCCCTTAAAATTTGGTACCTCACAACTCCCTAGCCTATTTATGCACTTTCCACGCTATCTTTGCATCAGGGTCATAATCTCCAGTCATCTGGTGATGAATCTCGGCATGGCATATGATTCTTGTAGTAAAAAAACGTATCCCTGACCTTACCTTGGACGTGGCAGGAGATTTTATTGTTTAAAAAATTTAAAAAAAAAACACAGCGAAGCATACATGACAGTTATAGCTAGACCTGAAATTTGTGTCATTCTGTTAACAAATGATGGAAGTAAATGGTGATGAGCCTCGTTGCAGCATACAAGTGAACTACCAATCTATATGTGAAACCGGCCCTTACTTAAAAACCGCCTTTGTATGGCATCCTATACCGAGTGTTAAGTAAAATAGTTTTAGTAATAAATAAAGCCTACATGATACAACACGCTACATGATAGCGACAGAGCTGAAATTTGTGTCATTCTGTGCCAGTAAATGGTGATGACCCTCGTTGCAGCTAACAAGCGAACTACGGTACGCATTTATACGTGAAACTGGCCCTAACTTTAAAAAACGTCCTCTTATTTTACACTAGTATGTTGAATAAGTTACAACATGGTTTTAGCTGAGAGAGAGAAAATCTTTAAAATAATTTGTCACATACAAACATTTAAATACCAATGGATTGATTCAATTCGGGCTTAGCTACTTAAATCTGAGTTTTAACCAATTTCTTGCCTGAAAGGCTTTAAAATGAAAAATTAGTTTTCTATGTTTGCTTTACAGGATTCTGATTGTATTATCAATTTTCATTTGGCAGCATTTGTTTATTGGGTTTTCTACTTTGATTATTGTGGAAAAGGTTATGTAGGCTTGCATTAGACATCAATGATTAAAAATACTCAAACCAGCTAAAACCATGCAACTAAAAACTAATGAGTAAGCCATGCAGATGATGGGGAAATTGTGCAATTATTGGGTAAAAGTTGCACCTGAAGGGTAAAGAAAAATAATACAATTTAACAGAACATACCTTTATTGACATCCTAGAATGTATGCACAAAATAAACCACATGCATAAATATCAGGCTACATGCAACAATTAACATTCTTTTGTACATTTTGTAGCTAGACATATTTTTTTTAGATCAAAAATCTTTAAGTAGGCATATACAAAAAGGTAAATATTTAATTCAAAATTTTAAAGTTGTTCAATGAGGGAATTCTACTTCTTTATGACTTACAAATTAACTTTGAAGTCGTTTAGTACAAGTTGATGCATTAAACACTTCTAAATGCAAATTTCAAATTTAATAGGCCTAAGTAGTTTATTACAAAGATTAAGTGATTTTAAGTGACATACTGTCTCAATTATAAGTAAAAGCTCTCAAACAAAAGTTTGAATGGATTTAATTACTAAGGAAGTGTAATGAACAATTTATGAATAGATCAACATAGTAATAAAATTTAACTATGTACCCTACTTGAAAAAAAAAACTCTGGCAAAGCGCTGGAGGTAAACTTAGATGTGCACAAAGGGGACCAAAAAGTGCATAGGAGTAACCAAACATAACAAACATGCAGGTTTAAGCTGGTTTGAGAACTTTATTTAATCATAAGGCACATTGATATTGTACAATTAAGCATTATGTACATCTACATCAATAACTAAGGAACAAACACTGCCACTTATTAACTAACGCCTTTCTCTAAAACCTAATGTACTAACAGGTCAAATTATGTACAAGTATTATAGTATCGTTATCAATGTACATTGCTTACATTAAAAGATATGACTACTAAATGCTATTCCGTCAATAATACTGACTTTTATTTTTTACTGAACATAGTTAAGTAGGTACTTGAAAACTAACACATCACATAAATTCTTAACCTTTAAAATTGATTTACTGCTATCAGGTCTATTCGTCACATTTATTATGAAAATTTATCACTAAACTATCCTACAAACTTAAAGGGATGCATTATTTAATCAAAAAGCATAACGAAACAGGCAAAAAATATCTATAAAAGCTATTTCAGTTTGAATGCTACTTCAATTGGGATCTTCATTAGTGAATTAAAAAGAACACTTTCAGACCCTACTGAAACTATGCATAACCTACAATATCTAAATATCTAAAAAGCTAAATTCCACGTAATATTTTAAGTGTTTTCAATGAAAAAGTTAATAGGCCTAGTTATCTTACAACCACGTGTCTTTTATAATATTTCACTATAATAGGCTGCATTAAAAAACTTACCTAACAAAGTTTTAAATATTTAAAATTTGTTTAAAAAAAATAAGGTGCCATTTAAACATAAATTTGAAATCACATGATTATTTTTTATGATACTGTAAGATTCTCTAAACCTCAGTTTTTTATTAAGCTCCTGAACAAAAACATATTCATTGAAATAATTCTACACAAATAAAATGTTAATACATTTTTACCTCAATGTACAAAACAATGACAACATTTTAAACTAAGTAAAACTTACTTTACAACACTACAAAACATTTTACTTTTTCACAGAAGCAAAAACAGAATAAAAATTGTTTATTCATTTCTAAGATCTACTTTTGCAGCAAAAATATGTTTTCCAACTTTCGACTCCTCACCTCTATAGGAGAAATTATGTTGAGATTTAAAAAATCAGTTTCTTAACAAGCCGACAAAAGAAAAGTTTTTCATTTTTCCTCAAGTAAACTGGGACTTGTTCAGCACATTGATTCGTTTTTGTCTAGGTGACTAATTACACATTGTCAGATTATTGATCTAGAACTTGCATGTAAAAAATGCTGTTAATGATCATTGGGATAGTACTTCTCAGATACAAACTCAAAACTATTCACTTTTGTCTTCTAAGACACTATTTGTTACCAATTGTATAAAATAATTAAAATCTCCTGATTATTAGGGAACTTGATATTGAAACCTTACAGAACCCTTAATGCCTCTCTAGCAGTTGGGCTGGTGAAGTTTCAATTTGGTTTTGCAGTAAGGCTGAAACTAGTCACCTAGACTAAAACAGAATCAAAGAGTTTTATCCCGATTGTAGATATTCAAGCTAATCTATCAGTGTTCTATGCCTCTGCTTCATGCAAGTCCATGCCAATGTATTGTGATATGCTTTGTTGAGCTTACTTTTCACAGACGTGTTATGTGTCGGCGTCTGCATCAGAGAGTCTGGCAGTTTGTTTGAGTCCACCGGAGTCCCGCGAGGTGTCGCCTTAGTCCTCTGAATCACTTGTATCTCCTGTTTCAGATCTGCGGAAAGAGTTTTTAATTATTTACAGACAGACAAACAGACTTTGCCTGGTATTAGAGTATAGGATTGAACATGATCTCCCCCATATCGCCACATATAATTTTGTAAACTTCTTTTGCAGTCAAGGTACATCATCATCTCCCACAACTGCGGCAAAACTGTGAACATCACCTGCGATCGAGGCGTGTCTATCTTCACAATGCTTTTTATCCGATCGTGAGAATGAAAGCACGACCCAACCCCATCCAAGATTATTGGAGACCCACAAACCTGTACTCAAAACCACACTATTCATTAAGATCCTAAATATTTTGATTACTACCATTAACAAAAGGAACAATTATTAAAGTTGATTCACACAACGTACCTCTAGCTTCATCTTTCAGCCTTTGGACCATAACTTTCAGACTCTCCTTCTCATCGAGTTCGGATTCCAGCAAAACATTGCGTTCGATCGAGGCATTCAACTTAGTTTCAAAGTCTCCTAACGAGACATACATAGCCCTGGAAAAAAAATAGTTGTCAAGGAATATGTTTATCAATATTAAATACACATAATATTATCATACACAAGGACTTTTTGGGTATTACCTAGAAAATCTCATCAAGTCAAAGTCAAAGGTCAAGGTGTTGCTTATCAGAATAACTGAAAAGTTTCTATTGTAACCTCAATTTTCTTTTAATTCATTTGGCTGCAATCATAAATTTTGTGATTTTAAAAACTACCTGACATAGTCTTAACTTATTCAACTAAAATGTAGCTATACAGTATATTCAAAATTGATCTTGGTGCTCTGATTTTGTAAAGGAATTAATTAATTTTCTTAGGGTCAAGCACAATATCCTTAGAGTTAAAAATACAGTAGAGTCTCTATAATCCGGCCGTTCATTAGACCGGCACGTCCAGTAATCCGGCACTGTTTTCGCCGATTATTCAGTAAATTTTCATGTCTAGACTTGAAAACGCGAGTGTCCATATTTCTCAACAGCAGTACACTGACGACTGACGTCTGCTACGGGTAGTTGCGTACAGTGCGTGGCGTGTGAGTTGAGTGAAGGCAGTGTTGTGAGTACAGTGTATATACTATACAATCTACAAGTGTAGTGCGATGTCGGGAAAACGTAAGCATGTAACGCTGACTTTAGATAAAAAGTATAGGATTTTAAAACGTTTGGAAAAGGGTGAAAAGTTGGCTCATCTGTCTAAGGAATACAATATCGGCCGTGCAACTATACACGACATAAAGAAGAAGAAGGAGCAGATCGAATCATTCTTTAAGAGGAGTAGTGAATCATCTTCGAAGGTAAGAAAGACATTAAAAGTAGGCGAATTTCCGCAAGTAGAAGACGCACTTTATAATTGGTTCATGCAAGAAAGGAGCCGAGACACGCCAATTTCAGGTGATATTATAATGGAAAAGGCGAAACTGTTCTATAACAAAATCATGAAAAAGGACAACTTCCGTGCAAGTGTTGGGTGGCTGGATAAATTCAAACGACGCTTTGGAATTCGACTGCTAACTATGACTGGTGAAAGGCTTTCGTGTGATGTAGCGGCTGCAGAACCTTTTATTGAAAAATTTAAAGAAATCGTGGATGAAATGGACTTAGGCCCAGATCAGATCTACAATGCTGACGAGAGTGGTCTGTTTTGGCGTCTTTTGCCGAAACAAACATTCGTTCATCGAGAGGAAGCTAGTGCCCCTGGTCGCAAGTTGGCCAAAGATAGAGTAACTTTTATGCCGTGTTGTAATGCTAGTGGCACGCATAAATTAGAATTGCTTGTTATTGGGAAAGCCAAAAAGCCAAGGGCTTTCAAAAACACACAGTTGCCAGTTACATACACAAACTCGACAAAAGGACGGATGACAAAAACTCTTTTTTCAGAATGGTTCCATCAAACTTTTGTACCATCAGTAAAAAAGTTTTTGAAAGCACAAAAACTGCCTCAAAAGGCCCTTTTGTTGCTCGATAATTGTGCTGGACATCCAGATGAGGATGAGTTAAAAAGTAGGGATGGAAAAATCACTGCTTTATTTTTGCCCCCAAATGTAACTCCGATACTCCAGCCCATGGACCAAAATGTGATCCAAACTATAAAAACGAATTACAAAAAAACCCTTTTGTACAGTGTTTTGTCAAAAGAGGGGAGTGTTGTTACAGCTCTGAAGGAAACCAACCTGAAAGATATTGTTTTTAATCTTGCAAGCGCATGGGAAAAACTTGCAACAAAAACAATTGTTTGTTCATGGGCGAAGTTGTGGCCTTCTCTTGATTTATTAGAGGATTACAGAAGACAATCAAATCCTCAAACGACAGTGACAATAGATGCTGAGCTAAATGACTTGAGAGAAGCAATAGCCGAACAGTTAGTAGACGATCCAGAAGATCTGATCTGACATCAGCCGATGTTACCGCCTGGTTTGACGGAGCAGACGACGAGCAGTGTCAAATCATGACAGACGATGAGATCATCGAAGATGTTCTAGACGGCAGTGACTTGGAGGAGGGCGGAGTGGGCGGAGCCAGTACGTCGACATCGACAGCTGCAGCTGCACACACAGTCAACACGGATTCGGCGCTCTGTGCCTACGCAACTGCAATAACTTGGGCGGAAGAAAACGGTGCTTCGGCTTCCGATATTATGACACTAAAGAGGCTCCAGGAAAATGTTTTAAAACTTTCTTTTAATGCAAAGAAGCAGAAAAATATTACAAACTATTTTGCTGTTGTTTAAGTAGGTCTTACATGTAAAGTGTACAGTAGGCCTAAAGTTCTGTAATTTTCATTTAGTACACGTACAGTATTTTGTGATTATCTTTGTTCATTGTCTGATATTGTACTGTACGGTTGTTTGCTGTTTCATATCACTGTTTATTTTTCACAATAATACATTAAACAACATTTCATTAGGCCTATACTGTACAGAAATTCAAATGATTGTTATCATAGTTTTCGTAAGCAATAAAATGTTGTTTATTGTAAAACCACTTCAATTTCTGATGCATTTCCACTAATCCGGCATTTTCTATAATCCGGCCCTACTAATCCCCATATAGGGCCGGATTCACGAGATCCTACTGTAATCAAAAACTTTCAAATAGGAATGGATTCTCTAGTTCTATCCATAGAATAACAGGCTAGCAACTAGCTTATCCTATAAAAATTACCGATAGGCTAATGAACACTTAGACACATAGAATACACAAAATGTGCAACTTTCTTTGTAATGTGTATTTTATGTGCCTCCTGTGTGTTCTACGTAAGCTAGTTTCAATCCCTTTATTTTAATAAAAATCTTGGCCTATTAGAGCCTTTTCTGAACAAAACTAGTCTTGTCCATACTTAAAGGTTTTCTCGTTACCTCTGTGCACGTTCCAAGTCGTCATTCTTCTGTTCCAACTCCCGGATGTACTTGCGGTAGTGTTCCTCTCTCTGCTGGCTCTGTGACAACTCCTCTTGGAGTTCCTGTATCTGTGCCATCTTCTCCTTCTGGCTGCTCTCCACTTTGTCCTAAACAACACAATCATCACTTCAGTCAGACGTACAACACCATCAGACTGTCATTTAACCTGACCATCTAAGGTTTTATGACATTTGGTTTACTGGTACTTGCTGTAGAGACTGAGGAAAATGCCAAATTTCAACTTGATATCTCATCTAATATCAAACTTACACCTTATTAAACTAAACAAACACACAGTTTTAACGGTGTTTACATCCAACAGTATAGAAGGTCGTAAATGTCTAATGAGTAGATATATATCTCGATTGTAGTCTGAAATCAATTTCTCAATTCATTCTTTTACTATAAAATATACATTAACCCACACAAGAGGAATTAGTAATTTACCATAGGCCTAATGGAAATCTGAATGTAGAGTAAGTGTGTTTTCAAATATATATTTTTGTAAGAACCTAAGATCCCAAGTTATTAAATTTATACCATCAAATAATACAGCTAAATAATAATCAATAGCCCTAAACAAATAATCAACCAACCAAACAAAGACAATTTGAGGATTTAATCTTAGGGTTGCAATTAAAAAAGGTACAATACATTTAATTTTTAATTTGGAAAATATTTTTTACTACTACCACTATAGTTTGTGTGTTTGTTTGTTTGAAGTTCAATCATGCATTAATTACTGGACGGATTGGGCTGAAATTTGGCATGATGATAGCTCACACTCCCGATTAACATATAGGCATATTCTTATCTCAAAAATCCTTTCGGGCTCCGCCCCAATGGCTCTGTAGTTCCCCATTGCAAACCCAAAGCTTGAGTATAACTGTACTAAGCATTTTATACTTTTATGCCAATCCCATACGAAGGACGGGTACTCTGCTAGTATCAGTATATTATAAAGGGCTTAACAAATTCTGCAAAATGACACCAATCTCATCCTCCTAGCTTGATTGTTAGAGGTGCTAGAGTAGTTTAAAGCTTTGTAAACAGGTTGTTTAGGAGCATTTATGTGTATAGTTTAACGGGACATAATTTTGAAACTAATTGAGATATCAAGATTAAATTTGTGATTTTTAGTAGTCTCTATGGGTTTAACTAGTTTACCAAATGACATTAAAATCTGTGAAGGTGAGGTAAAATTTGGTTTTAAATTGTGTTGATTTGATACCGAGTCAAACTAGAGCGTTTGCAACGGTTATCTTTCAGTAAATAACAGAGTACTTCTTCTAGTCTGTGGGTATGAGAGCAAACACAGTAATATCTACACTCTCACAGCCAACAACTACACATCCGTAGTAAGTCTAATTCCTTTTTATCATTTTTATCCTTTTTTAAAATGATGATGGCGACTGGACTGCTACATCAAGATCTTCTCCAGCATAATCATGGCAGTGCTTAAGATGATTTCCTGCTATCACGGTAATATCTGTGATATCTCTAGAATCTACTATCCTATATTAACACTCGATGTAGTTGTAACAATAACTGTGATTATAATCTGCAATTGCGGCATCATCTGTTATCATCTTTTGCCATTGCTGCTTAATGTGTGATGATTTACTAATCATAGCAACATCCGTGATAACATCTTACAATCACGTAACTCCCACAAGCTCAGTAATTTATTGCTCTTTTTGACATAAATTTCAGGGGGAATAAAATTATATTTTAAAAACAGGCAAGGCCTACCCCTAAAACCAGCCACACTCAAATTTCTTCCCCAGAGTGATCAGAAGGAGTCGATAAAATCCAGGTGTCGATCCGAAAGCTGGTCTATGGATTTAACTTATTAATAATTTTAATACAATTGATGACTCAAGAGTTCAATCTGGAAGTCTTGCAGATGCCTAAGCAAAGCTAGGTATGTTCTCCTCACCCACACCATAGTATTTAGAGAAGTTTACCTTGGTTTGATATTTTTATAATGGTTTTCATTATTTTCTTTGTTACAGTTAAGCCAAAACAGTGCGTACAAACAGTTCAATACTAGCCGCACTATAAACGGATGGGTGCGGATTATGCTAATTGGCAGAGCTCAGGGGTGAAGACACACATGTTTTCACAAAGTACCCTCAGCAACCCTCATGCCTAGTACCGGCCGGTTCTGCTAGCGCACCCAGAAATTTTGGCGGAACTATACCTAACCTTTTAGCTTATCCCATCTTGCCGCAGCCAGTCAGTTTAGGATGATACGGTAGTTGCAAACCCCTCTTTATTTTTTGGGTGTTATGAAGTAGATGCCAGATATCGATTGGAGTTAAAAACTATGTATTAGGTACCTACAATATATATATTAATATACAGGTGGCTGACACTGATGTAAGTTCTACAAAATCTGTTATCTCACCAGTCAGGTTTTCAAGGCAAACTCATACAAAATTTAAGTTCCAGATAATCTTACACCGGTGAAACCTGTAGCAAACTACAGAACTCAATAGATTCAATTGTTAAACACATTGTCTTATTTCACTAGGCCTAGTTGAAAACTGAGTTTGTTAGCCTACATATGAGTCATATATACCTCACGGAAAGAAATTAAATTAAAATGATTTATTGTCATAAAAACTAAATAGTTCATAACAATCATCACAATAAAAAGCAATAAAAATAAAATAAAATACAATCAAGACTTCTAGTTAGTCAGTAACTTAACCTTGAATTTTAATGAAAAAAAATTTGCTGTGTATTTCCTCAACCAATTGAATTTATGTAAGTTAGCCTAACTTATTTATATACTATGAAATAATAACTGCACAGTAGTATCTCAACATAGCCTAGGCCTATATAAGAAAAATAAATTTGGTTATTAATCTGTCATTTCTTAAACTCTGCACCCTTCCAGTTCAGATTTAGACGAGTTTACAAGACTGTTCTGTAAAACTTACCTTAAGTGTCTCATTTTCAAACTGAAGCCTGTTGCACTTTGATCTCAACTCTCGTATTTGTTGTTCTGCCTGGTCTAGAGACATCTCCAACTCTTTCTCAATCAGCCGAGAACTTTCCTGGAAGTCCTGTAAATCCCTTTCAGCCTCCTCATATTTTCTTTTCCAATTCGCATCTTCGTCTTTTTCGGAGAATGTCGCCATGGTCAACTCCTATGCAGACAAAAAAACTAAAATACTAAATAATATAGCCTACAGTAGAACCCGGGTTAACCGAAACCTGGATTAACCAAAACCCGTGTCAACAAAAACGGTTCAATAAAATGATACAGGTCTAAGATATAAGTAATACGAATGCTTTAGTAACTTGAGTTGTTTAGTTTAATTTTTTTTTCAACCCATTATAACATTTCTGTAGCTAAACCCTAAAATAAGTTTACTGTATTATACTGTATATACATTATTTTAAATTTATTTTCCAACTTACTGCGGTTTAATACATAGGCTATTTTTAGCATATGACGGGTTAACTAAAAAATTGGTTATCCGAAACAGTTCTCCCCCTTTATTTCAGTTAACCGGGGTTCTACTGTACAGTAGTCATCAGTTAGTCTGGGCACGCGGACCCTTGTGTACTAGCCGTACTGAGAATTACAGCTCACTCACCCCCACAGCTCAGAAACCTCAGCCCGCTGCACTGACAGCTTGCCGTGTGGGCCAGATGTTTTTGGAAATGAGCAATAAACACTGAGCCCCTCTACACCCCCAGCTTTAGACTAGCTGCGACTACTGTACACCTATCTTGAAGCATAGCATTTCTAACTATTTAAAAATGTAGCCTATATGTTGAAGCAGAGGTTGAAGACTGTTGACATTAAATGGTACTTTTTTGTTAAAGGAAACATTTCTTATTATCATCAATGATTTTTTTTTTCGATATAGGCCCCTATCGATATTTTTGTTTTCCTACAACAAACATATTTTTGTTCATTTTTAGAATCTGGCTATTGCTTGGCAAATATTAAACTCTGTGAACATTTTACTCAAAATAAAAGGGTTTAAAAAACTAAAACTTGCGAAAAACGTGACTGTATGAGTAGTAGGTCAAACCTACTGTATCGTGTCATGTCACCAAAAATGACAGGATAATGGACTATGTAAAATCGAAGATATCAAAGATCAATAGGCCTGATTAAGACGCTAACCGATCTATAACATGAAGCACACTGTTCATTAAGCACCAGTAAGTTACTGTAGGCTTTGCCTAAAAATATAATTAGTTTTGTAGTTTTATAAAAGGTAGGTAAGCCTTTAAGGTATTTATTATCTTACTTTATAGTTTAATACACTCCTGAATCCAAATATAGGCTATACCATTATTCTTCATGAATAGCCTATTATTCTGATGAATATTTCTCAAGATATCGATGTAAAAATAAACAACATTATTATAAACAAGGTAGGGTGGATGACATTTACAAGACAAGTGGAATGAACTGTTGGTTAACTAAGCCTACAGCTGACTGTTTTCAACCACACAAAAAGCAACTGGAAGTAATAACTTTTGCACTTTATCTACTCACTCTGATTCTGTCATTCGGCAATAGGCCTAGTGACGTCATTTTACTTCACTACAACTAGAACACAAAACAATAACACTCATACTGTGCTGTGTGAAGAGAGTAACATGGTAGATGAGAAGAATAACAACGTTGATTAAACATAATTAACATCGTTGACTACAGAAACATTTCAAGTGATTCTGTAGCCAATAATGTTTTCCATCAAACAAATTTTGTCATATTATGGTATTATGGAGATGTATGGACTAATTAGGCCTATATGGACTTAGCCAAGTTCTTATTTAGACATGTCAGGGTGGTAGGTCACTAAGCAGCATTTTTGAAATAGTAATTTGAAGTGTTTTTTCTCAGAGATTTAATTTTACAAAAACAGTCTACAGGTGACATAAACTATCATCTCAATTCATTATAACCTAAACTTTACCTTCCTAATCTAACCTTACTTCAAAACACTTAAGTTAGGTAATGCAGTCAAAAATTCACATAAAGCACGGCCAACCACCCTGACATGACTTTTCTGACATCAAAAGTAGTTTGCTAAAGTTCTAGAGGTTTGGTTTAGTAAGGTTATGTTAGAATAGCACCATTTTATTATGTAATTTCTAAACGGTCAAATATAAATCATTAATAGGAATAAAATACTGGTAACAATAATACATTTTATAAAATGTGTTAGGGCTAACTTATTGGTCTTAGAAAGTGAAATAAGTCTAACTTAATCCTCAGGTGATTTTCAAATTGCAGAATCAGAGTTAAGGTAGCTAATAAAGTTGTCACTTCCATTTGCTTGACTATGATAGAAAACAATTTGCTGTTGGCTTAGGCCTACTTTGCCCATACATAGTTCATCCCACTTGTAAATGTCATCTGTCCTACCTTGTTTATTGTAATGTTGTATATTTTTACAGCGATATCTTGAGAAATACTCATCAGCGGTGAAAAATAATTGTATTTGGAATCAGGAGGTAATAAACTATAGGCCTAACTTAAAGTTAGACATCAAAATTAAAAATTCGTTTGGAGGCATTTATACTAATAACTTAATTACCAGCTGTTAATCTTACTAATATTATAAATGTGAAAGTTTGCGTGTTTGTTTGTTTGAAGTTCAATCACGCATTAACTACTGGACGGATTAGGCTGAAATTTGGCATGATGATAGCTTACATTCCCGATAAACTTATAGGCATATTGTTATCTCAAAAATCTTTAGTGCTCCGCCGCAGTGGCTCTGTAGTTCCCCACGCTTTTGCCTGTATAAATAAATAATATTTCATTTCATTTCATGTTAACCTTATGAGTATTCATATTTGAATAGAATTAAAGAATTTAGTCAGCTGTTTCAACTAAAAAAAGTTGGTCCTATGATATGCAAAAGCATTAAAAAGTTATTTAACTTATATAAGATTTACCATAAGTCAGGTGTGTCGCTGTATCAAAGTTACAAATTAGGAGTCGGTTAAAAAAAGTTCCGTTTTGCCTTCTTAACTCACAATAGGCCTACATCGCTACAGTACTCAAGACATAAGACATTTATTGATCTTTAGGCAAAATTACATGCTGATGATCTTGTCATGGACGTTTGAAATGCACAAGACGGTCATAAGTACAATAGTAAAACATGCTAAGTTATCCTACACTAAAGCAAACAGCTGCACTTTACTTTGGGCCCTACACTCATTCAAATGAAAATGTCGATCGATATATCGTTTGGTTAGTTAGGTAAGGTTAACCTATCCTAACTAACCAAACGATATATCGAATGAAACAATCGAATACCAAATCGATATTTTCATTCGAATGAGTGTAGGACCTAAAGTAAAGTGCCGCCAAGCAAACATACAACATTGGTGTTCATTCTACAAAAATAAATAAGAGTGGCTATTTTAGGAAAAAAACTAGAAACATTATGCAAAATTGATAGAGCTAAAGTCTGCTTCAAAATATTCTTTAAGGCTGTAGAAGGGCCTTAAGTTACTAGGCTATCAACCATGATTAACTTAGATAAGTAAACAACAAATTCCAAAGGACTGGGCATTTGTATTTGCATAGGCTAAGACATTCTTAGGATGTCCTTGTAGGTTTTCTCTTATAAACATATTATCCTACCCTATTCACAACTTACAATAATTTACTCAACCCATGAAAATATTTTAGTGTGCACCTAGCCTAAGTACCTCTAGCAGTTTCCAACTAACTAATATTAGTTAAAACCTAAGGACCCACCACTAAATATACACATACATGTCACTGAAAAACGTAGGTTAAAGAATGATTCAATGATTGTAAAATGACAGTTACAGTAGCCTAGTTCTGGTTTTGACACAATCAATAATCGTCTAAGAACAAGCGCTTGAGACTTACCTATTAGCTTAGAGTCGGATGAACAAAAGCACTCAAATTAATTTTGAGACCAAATTTTTTATCTTTTACGATTTTAAATACCAGAGTAATTACGAAAATAAGGTAGAAATTCAACAATAAGCAGAAAAATAATTCGTATTCCTTAATGGCTGACAGATCAGATACACAGGTTGAGTTGACTTTCTGTTTTGTCTCACCCGACCCCGACGACGATCCAAAGAAAGGTGACGTCATAGCCACCTGAATGTTTAAAAAGAGGCAGATATGAAAATTGCAAAACAAATTCCTCCAGTCACATTTCTGGACAAATGCCTACAAAGCGTTATATACTATATTAAAGCACTACATAGTTGGTTTATCATAGAAGCATTAGTGATTGAAAAGTATTGGCCATACTATATGAAATTTACAGGATACAAATCTGAAACCCCCTGATTATTCAGTGGTATCAAAGGTTTAAGTTGAGTATGTTTTATCTATGGTTATATTTTGACTATTTGCTTATTAGTGGCGTGGATGAGAAAGAACATGATGAAGTCAATAAATGTGCATGGTCAATAAATAAATTTAATCTGATTTATTTAACTTTTTATTTTGTCTGCTTTTGACTTAAACTAAGCATGGTTTGATTTTATTGTTAACCAATCTCTGACGATGGTTTTATTTTTATTTTGTTGAATTATGTATTGACATAGCCTATTATGTATGTTTAATGGCCAAATAAACAATTTGAATTTGAATTTGAAGTCATGAAAAAAGTCATTGAAAGAGCAAAAATTTTTATGTTAAGTTTATCTCTGCCAATTTATCGGAAGTTCGTCTTTTTAGCAAAAAATGCTAACTTCCGAAGAAATTGTTGCTCTCCTAAGGGTTTAATAAAACATCTATTAATGCATATACTGTTTCACCAAATGATCTCAAAATACTCTCATAATATGAAAAGTATGATTCCATCCTAAGGTATGTATAGGCTAACAGGCACAAATCTCTTTAAATTACTCAACGATAAACAACAAAATCGGTACTCAAACAATTTTTTACACACAAAATCTGTACGGGCTTGCCACTTTAATTTACTATCTATAATAACTCCAAGCAGATTTACACTGTCAGAACAATCAACATTACACATTTCATTGTTTAAGGACACCAACATTCTTTTAGTTTTATCATTGACTATATGTTTTATACTTTTATCCTCATTAATAAAGAGACCATTTACTGTGAACCAGTGAATAACCTTCTGAAAGTTAATCTGAGATTATGAATAAGAGCATCCTGAGTTACTATGACATGAAACCAAGGAAGTGTCGTCAGCATCAGCATAAACACAAGAAAAACAATTTTCACCACACTATGATGTTTTTGGCTGTATTACATACGTTAATTGGTGGCTGAAAGTTACGTTTTGCTGGCCATGCCAGCTGTCATTGTGATTTGGGGACCGAGCAGGTTTTTACAGGCCGGGGCCGCAAAGTCAGCTGTCCGCTTACTTGCTTAATGAATGCATTTTATAGTGCGTTCAAACAGCGGTGGCACCTGAGGGATTAGGAGACTCCAAGGGTTTTCATGGGGTCTCCTAATCCATCAGGTGCCACGGCTGTTTGAACGCACTATAAATACACAATCAAAATCCATCACCGTTGCCTAGTAGTCCAGTCAATGAATGATCCAAAAGTAGGTGTAGAGTGCGTGAGCAGGTAACTAAGCGATTCCTTCAGAAACTTGTTCAGGGGGCTTAGGGTGTTAACATACCAAAAGTCCTGACTCCTAGGTGGTGAGCCAGGGGGTGGAGGGGGAAAAAGGGGGGGAAAAAGGTACGCATTTTGGGTTTTTTGATTATATCTCGAAAACTATCAACTTTTTGTATACTATATAGTAAATTATAAAATTGAAGAAGATTAAATTTTCTACAAGAAAAGTATATAATGTGTTTATTTTGGTTCAACAGATTACGAGTTATAACTTATTTAATTGATATCTTATTAAAATACTCCTTCCATAAGAAATACATGTAAATTAGTATGCGAAATGGGGCGAATCCTATCCGCCCAAAGGAAATATAACTGATATTCTGGAAATATTGACAAAATTTCCAGTAATTTGACACTTTAATCATGAAATTTTGTCAAAAATTAAAGCGAGGGTGAGCGTTTAAAAATGGGATGATTTAAGGGTTTTTTTATATATTTTCAATAAAAAAAACACCAAAACTCGAAATTTTGTTACCTCGCCCTCGCCTTAATTTTGGATCAATTTTAATGATTCCATTAAAGTGTCAAATTACTGGATATTTTGTCAAGATTTCCAGAATATCATTTATATTTCCTTTGGGCGGATAGGATTCGCCCCATTTCGCATACTAATTTACATGTATTTCTTATGGAAGAAGATCTTAATTAGATATCAATTAAATAAGTTATAACTCGTAATCTGTTGAACCAAAATAAACACGTTATATACTTTTCTTGTAGAAAATTTAATCTTCTTCAATTTTATAATTTACTATAGTATACAAAAAGTTGATAGTATTCGAGATATAATCAAAAAACCCAAAATGCGTACCTTTCTCCCCCCGCCTTTTTCCCCTCTCCACCCCCTGGCTCACCACCTAGGAGTCAGGACTTTTGGTATGTTAACACCCTAAGCCCCCTGAACAAGTTTCTGAAGGAATCGCTTAGTTACCTGCTCACGCACTCTACACCTCATTCCTTGACTGGACTATAGCAACTATTTATTTATTTTTATTTTTGCTGATTCCTCAAATTATTTTTTCACATAACCTTAAAGTTGTAGTTGTGTTGACTATCAGTGTGCATTATTATAGTGGTTAATAGTGGTAATAGTGTATAGTGTGGTGAAAAATAGCGTTCGTACCACGGACCGAAATGGTTTTGCAGCTCTCGATCGATTTAAGTTCTCGACTTCGTCTCGAACTTAAAAACTATCTCGAGCCGGCAAAACCTCATTTTCGGCCCTTGTTACGAAATATACTATTACATATTGGCTAACATCATTAATTAAAATTAAAAATAAAACTGGTCCAAGAATTGGACCTTGCGGGACTCGGTTTAATATCCACAATCATTAAGCGTTTACCATACAGGATTTCCAAATATTTAATTAGTCTATTCTATGTATGTACTTTTTCAATCAGAGCCTTCCTACTTTTGGTGCACTGGTTTTATCATAGATTAAACATAGATAAGTTTATAGTTTTATTTAGTGATGTGAATCCGTTACTGATCAACAGTGATTCGCAGTTCTCTGTATCGTTGCCATTAGGAGCCATCAAGCAAAACACATAAGTCAATCGTTGAAAGAAAATTGTGAATTAATAGGTATTTTAGCCATAAATATTTACATGATGTCAATCTCAATAAAGTAATTATTGAATGATCAATTGTATTCCACATTCATTACTAGTAGTATATCAATGTTACAATTTAGATTGTTGGTTCAATAGCTTGGCAACACTGACTGTCAGTTAGTTCAATGTTGTCAGTTGCAGTTTCATCCCCTCCCAGTGCTGCTGTCTGCTCACCAGTGTTGCCACTTTTAGGGTAATTACCCTTTTTTAGGGTAATTTACTGGTCTTAGGGTAAAGTTTAGGGTAATGGTAGATTTAGGGTAATTTTAGGGTAAAACTAAAAGTTAGCATAACAATGGAAACTTTACTAAAAAAATTAAAAAAACTTCAAAATTTGGCAAAAAACGTTCATTACATACTATGGCCAAACCGTCATATTTGATTCAACCGGTTTAAATCGATTGCTATGATGAATTTTTCATAATAAGTTATCCTAATCGATCTTATCAATAGTTGGGAATTATCTGTTTTAGAATGTATTCGATTCTATAACACGTTATAGGCCTAATAAAATATGAAATATTGTTCATTACTGGGTTTGATATTTAATTATGTGATCGAATTGAATTAAACTGGATTATTTTACAAATTGTGTCAAGAAATTACTACTATGTATAGATTAAAGCTTTGGTGGTACCGTACTGTATTTTAAAGAAATGATTGTCCAAAAACAGTAGTAATGGGTCGATACAGTAAAAAAATACGATAGTTCTTGATTCGATATTTTTCGTTATACGATATAGTCGATAGAGCTGATCAATATCAACATTTTTTTGTTCTTCTTTCGGGTGGTTTTTTAGAATCGAGTATAATTTTACGTACATTGATTGATATTGGAACTTCATTTAGTATAATTAACCACCTTATGTAAGATTTATATGATTTTAACAATGTTTTATATTATTAAACGCAAATATTAACATTTAAGGTAATTTTTAGGGTAATTGAAAGTAGATTTAGGGTAATTTAGGGTAATTTTAGCCCGCCTTTAGGGTAAAATCGCAACAACGCGGTGGCAACACTGCTGCTCACTGCTGTTAGTTCAGTTCATTGTATTGTGTCTATTCGTCACAATTCCCAATAATGTCATTGTTAGTTTATGTTACGCTGTCGGCTCCAGCTTATGATGTTGTGAATGGGGTCTCTTTATACTAACTTGCAATTTAATTTAATCAAATCTTCATTGTGATTTTAAGTTTTAAGTTACAACAAACACTGCAACTTTTATTGTGATAATTTTTAGATAAAATATTATTCTGTTCCAAATGTGGTAGAAGTGCGATAGTTATGAAGTAAAACAGTTCTAAAGTATTTGGTCGTGGATTGGATAATAAGCCTTCTATTAGAGTAACCTTGGACTAAATAAAGCACCTCAAGATTTTAAAAGGTTTCAGCCTCATGCTTAATTAAATAACGACATACGAGGCATGTTTATGTGCGAAAATGATTATACAACTATGAGAAAATCAATACCCTAGTACCAACGGACCAGAGCAGAAGTTTACCTCCATATTCTGCTCAATTAAATTAAAATGACCATTTTTAACCTTCTGCCCTCTTGGGCATCAGAACCCTTTAAGTTTCTAGGATGGCTTCTGCCAAAAGGGTAAGCACTTGGAACCTATCCAACACCTATAAAAAATTAATTACTTTTAACTAACTTAAGTTAAATAGAATAGATTCTTGGGCTATAATCTGTATACCGGTAATGATACAAAGCATTTAAATACTTATAGTATATGTAATACGTGATTTTAATCACCTAGCTAACTTAAATTAAAAGAAATCTATAAGTAGTCTCTTTTTTCTGCAATTTGTATTTTCCCAAAGTGTTCTCATAGACAGCGACCATATAAAAATATGTAGCGATACTAATTAAAACTATTTTTGTTGGGTTTGATTAAGGCCTGAGTGAAAATTTTGAAACATAGGCCTACGTTTTAATGTCCCTGACCTTTTACTTCGTACTTAGATACTGTACCTATTTGTAGTCTATTACAGTAAGTTATTAAGTATGTGTTTTGGGTACCTACACTTCCATATCTGTTGGCACAAACAACCGAATTAAAATATCGATTGAACCAAACGATATATCGAATTAAACAATCAAATAATCAATATTACTCATTCGGTTGTTTGTGCCAACAGATATGGAAGTTTACCCGTTTTGGGATTGGGGCAACATGTTACAAACATTTATTTGGTTTTAAGTAGGTTCTAGGTATTTTAAAGTCTCTTAAAAATTCACGACCATCACGTGCCCCTATGGTAGGTCTACATTTTTCAACTTTCACGCTGTTTTTAGACAATAATTATTAAACTTACAAAAAAGGAGCATATACCGGTAATAATTTTGTTTTCATTTCAAACTGACTACCATGACAAGATAAGTCTGTCCCTCAATTTGACGTCCCGACCATAATGGCAAAATTTGCAACTTTGGAACACGACAGTGGCAATCCTGGTAGCGATAACGTCATGCAGTTGGTTTTTTTAGAGACTGGTTCGGGATGTGCATTAGTTTTGTTGTGCCGTTGGTTTTCCAGTAAAAAATGAAAACAAGATTAATATAGGTAACTTATTTGTGCTTTTTGTAATTTTGGTGTTTCCACGACTGTACGTAGTCATGTAATAAGGTAGACATGGTGTTAATTTTTGTTGTACGATATTTTAATTGCTACGTTAACCTAGAAATCCACTTTGCCTCCTCAAACATGAGGTGTAAGGCTGCCATCAAAACAGAGCCAAATAATACGTGATTTCACAACCAGGGCATCAAAACCATCACAGGTTTTTTGACGACCAAAATAGCTTTATCAATTGTAAGCTTACTGTGTTATGGTCGTGAAAATAAATTTTAATTTCATTGTAAATTGCACAGTTTAGTTTCATTGAAACAAAAATTTTCCTCATAACAGTAGGCCTAAAATTAACTGAAGGATGTAAATAAAATTGATTTTTAACTATTTTTACATAGACCGCGTATCTTTATTATACTTTACTTTATTATACTCTATTATACTTTAGACAGGTATCTTTATTGCTTCATATAAGTTAAAGCTTAGGCCTATAGTGTATCTAGGGGTTATGTGTAAAACTATTGCATAAAAAAAATTAATTATGGTTTATCAAGTCTTGTGGAATATTATAATAATAAGAGAAGTGGAGGGAAAACCTAAATAAACAATATAGCTATTCTCGTTAATCACCAATTCCAGACAGTAACACTTCTCCCTGACCACAACGTTGATAAAAAATTCCAAAATTGATAAATCATCATATTCCAATGTTTTATACACACAAGAAGTAAGCCTCTTTAAAAAGATAAATGTTTTTCATATATCGGGAAAGTTTGTTCGGAGCTATACAAACTTCAATTAAAAAAAAAAATACCAAATGCAACAAAAGCTTCTGGAACTGTTGATTGCAAAATGACCCTAAAACTAAATCTATTTACAGCAAAACATATTTATAAAAATACCATTAGGCCTAACTATTTTTAATATTAATTTTTACGTTCTTTATGGTCGTGACGGAATTTTGTATTTTTCCATCACAGATGCTGTACCGTATTAATAAAAAACCACCAAAGATGTTGCGTTACTATAGACATTTTATGAAACGTCAAAACGGCAATGAAATTAAAAAAAAGTTCTGAAAAAGAGAAAAAAATTATTATAAAGTGCTTTTCTTGAAAACGTACGTTTTTAAATTTTCACTCGCCTCCTCTTCTCAAGAACACCGTGTCTCAGGTTTGTACTACCTATACCATTCCTCCCCCCCATATAAAAGTGTCCCTGAACGCCAGGTAAAATACATGTTCAGGACACTCCCATTTTGTTAAAAGGGTGGTAGCTTCAGGAGTTTGATTGAGAATTTAATTTATGGACAGCTTTATTAACTTATGCACTTAAATCAAAACTATAAGTATAAAAAGTACTCTGTAAAGTCGTATGAGTCATATGTTTGGTTTTTTCAACACATATTCAGTTTTTAAATTCATATTTTATATTGTTAGGGTGAAGTGGAAGAACTCCCGAGCCAGCCCTGGATGCGCCTATGTTCCAACCACCATCGAACATGTCGCCAACATCATCACCCATGGTGTAAGTTTGTGTTTCAAGTAGGCCTACAACAAGTTTGTGCTTCAAGTACTGTACCCTTATTATCAACTTTTTTATTGTTTGGTTTTAAAGTTTGTGTAACTTAGGTGTTTTGTATAATTTTTTGAAAGGCAATTTGTTCTGTTTGGATCTTTGGAACTAGGGCTTAAGAATTTTTGATTGATAAAACTTAACACTATTAAATTTAACTACTAGGTAGACCTAATAGTTGAAAAGAATTGGTTGTAATAAACGCTTTACTGGGTTCGGTGGACAAAATAAAAGGAGTGAGGTCATTTTGGATGACATATTTTTTCGGTTACGAGTAACCAACCATTAAACTTTAAAGAATTTTGGTCCTAAAAGATCCCCAACATTTCATCTTAAAATCTACGACGTTTACTCAAAAACTATTTTCTAAATTAATCGACAATTGTATTTTTAACTTAATTGCAAAAGCGTTTGCTGTGATATTGATTGAAGCCTAGCATGGCTTATCACCTACGCCACTTTTCCAATTGGTTTTGTATTATGGTTTCAGTCAACCTCGGTTTACTGAGGTGCGTATAAGGCGAGTTTTACCATAGGCTACTTAAGGCACTATTTACTAGCCTATCATCATTTTTGCTACGGTGCAAGCCATGTTCTACAACTTTAATCTACTCTACATTTTGAACCTATATTTATCGTCACAATTAACATAGCACACCCTACCCACACGCTACCTAAAAACACATATTTTACAAGTTTTAGATAAAGTGGTTTCTCATACAAAGGCTGTTTTCACTTTTTTCCACAAAACAAAACCAAAACAATATTTTAATTTTTTGTACCTTGTATTTTGTATGGAAATATACAATATTATGTTTAGAACTTGGCACATTTGTATAATTTTATCCAACCTGATAATATGGCCAACAACAATGATTTCGTTGACACACTAAATGTCACTATAAACCAACACTCTGAACAGCTCTTACGTCAGTTCTGTTTGTAGATATGGATCCCACCGAGTATCTACGCAGGAACGGTGTTAATTCACCGGTCAGCCACCAGACTGCAGTATTTCTCCGCAGTTGTGTACGGATCTGCTCTCGTACTGTGTTTTACTGTTTCGACTGTCTTCCACTCCATCTTCTACTGCGGCCATAACCAGTGAGTTTTTCTATTATTTGTTAATGGTATAGATCAAACGTATTCCTTATAGACATATCATTTTTATGGATCAGCAGACAAGTTTAATGTTGGTTAATGTAGAATGATGAGAATGTTTTATCACTGCTACACTGCTTTACATGTATGGCACTGTCAGGAAATATCTTAACTAAGGATTAATTTAATATCATGTATGAAATTTAAATCTACGAACACAGTTTTAACAGGTAGTTTTTAAGTAACATTTTAAGTTTAGAACAGTTCAAACACCTTATTCTATAGGGTAATATAACATATTAAAATAGGCCTACTGTTTGGATATTTCAATAAAACTATTAGCCGTGGTACTATATCGAAACTGTCTAGATACCTAATAAATATAAAAACAAACTAGTTGTAAAAAGCAATAATTGAGACAAAATAAGTTTTAAGTATGCTCTTCTTCGACTTAAGTTACGTTAAAAAAAAAGTCACATCTTGTTTGTATGGGGCTGTTCAGATGTTGAAGCTGTATTCCTTTGTTGTTTATTAAGTGAAATGAATGATTTATTGTCTATGATCTATGATTTATTAATCTATATAAATAAGTTGTAGCCATATACAATGCTTGCAGTGTATTATAAATTATTTAAAGACCAGTTAATAATAGTTGGACATTTTATTTCAGTTCAAAATTCTTTACAGTCATAGGAGGCATTGAAGTAGGCTTCCCAATTGTTGGGAGTCTCACAGATCAATTTCCAAACACAATTGATTGAGGCCAGTAAGGCCTTGACAGTTAACCTTATCAGTAATTAATCAACAAGAATCTATTAGGCTTTGAGATCTTGTTTCCTCCTGTGTTCATTGTTACTTTGTAAACACAAATTACCAAACTTTCATTATAATTTTTTGTTTTTGTTTTTTGTTTATAAGCCATTAGAATTTTGGATGTTTTTTGAAAAGGAAAAGTCCAAACTTTGGTCTTGTTACATCAACCTTTTGCTAGCATAAATTATTGATAGACTTGTAGGGTATACCTATTCATTTAAAATTTGCAACTATAGTCGGGACCACGTAAGTTTGCAGTTGGTGGCAGCCAATCACAAGACAAGTCTAGTGCGACGTTGCCACATCGCCCGTTGACAACACTAATTAAAATGTACTAAGCAATATTTTCAAATCAGCTGGTATTATTAGATTTGGCAACACCGCACGGTTCTCATTGGTTCATTCGAAACCATATGGTAAATAGGCTCCTCCCTCAACTGCAAACTTACGTGGTCCCGACTCTAGTAATTTTACCCTTAAGCTATTAATTAATATCTGGAATTATAACTTGCCAAAAAGAATCATTGCTATTGTTGACCATTTTGTGTTGTGAATAAGTTGTTTAAATTTGTATTTTAATTGATTTGCCATTAATCATATGGAATTTAATAAATGGCCCTGGCTAAAAATAACCAGATGATCTTATCAGTAGCAAAGCTGTATTCTTATTCATTCACAAGCCTTTTGATTTCATTCATTCTTCACTCTTTTTCACCTGAAAATATGCATGTGAATCAGTGTCGGTTCCAATGGGGGGAAGGGTCTAAAACCCTCCTATTGAACCCAGGAAAAATAAATTAAAACATACATTTTATCCTAAAAACGTAAAGGACGTTTTCGGATAAATATCTAGACATTAAAATGGCTTTAGAAAGCCACAAAACGGCTTTAAAAATACAAAATTTTTCAAAGTATAAACCCTAAGCCCCGTTTTTTCTTCGGGGGTTTGGGACTCCCCCAATAGACCCCCTTTTGACAATTTCCTGGAACCGCCACTGCATTTGATATTTTGGCATATTTTAAGAAAACTGTTACCGTGTTTAAATTTGACCATGGAAGTCTCGGCTTTTTAAATATATTTTTTTTTCTTAATAAAATTTGTAATGTAGGAATATCAGTTAAATCAAACTTTCTGTATATATTTAATAATTAACTATAGTTACCAATATGTTCTTTCATAACAAATCTGTTTTGTTTGGAGATAGATTAGATTATTTTTTGTACTCTAATTCCAAAGCAGTTTTCCTCTAACGATAGTCCATATTTTTCTAATAACAGCACCGATCATCTATTTGCCTGTCTGATGCCACTGTGATATTGAAGTTCAAGGGTCAATTGGTTAGAAGGTCAAATAGAAACTCCACACCGATTGTTCCCATTCAAAAGAAACGTCGATAGATCATTGACCTAACTAGCAAAGAAACAATGTTTTTCATTCATTTATATTAATTGTTTGAGACTTGTCTACTCACTTAATATGGTATATAATGAAGAGTTGATATTTTATATTTCAATTTAAAAGTTAATGTTCACAATTTAAATCAACATTAAAATGCTCTGAGTAGATGAAAATGAATACAAAAACAATTTCACAATAAATTATACATTATAATGAAGTTTAATAAAAGCTGTGTTGAACAACAATTGTACCGGTAAAACTTATATAGGCTATTTAAAAAAAAAAATAGTTTTTCTTTTCCGAGTTCGTTTGGCTTTTCTACCTGACCGATTTTCATGACTGAGGTCTTAAATTGAAGGTATGCTTGCACATATTTCACATCAAGCATCGGCAAATATTTATATAGGCCTACTGACCCATTAGGCTTATACATAAACGTAATTTGCTCCCCATGTATTTCTTATGAGATTTAAATTTGCTTTTTCTTTTCCAAGTTCCTTTGGCTCTTCTACCCGACCGATTTTCATGATTGAGGTCTCAAATTGAAGGTATGCACGCACAGACTTCACATCAAGCATCGGCATATATTTATCTACTGTACTACTCAACCAAAAAACATAAATTTGATTTATTTTCGTTTATTTTACCATTTATCATTATATAATCCTTAAGAACCTTCAGTGAAATATCGGCTCTCATGTTTAAGCTATTAGTCATTCAAATCGGACGCGATTCAAGCAAACGCAAGGTAAACAACCAACAAAAAAAAATAACCGTACGAAAATACTTTTATACACTATTTTTTTTTTGTTTTTTTTTAAGCTCTTTAAAAAGTTCTAAAGAGAAATTGGGAAACTGTTTTGAGGGTCAAAAGTGAGAAAAACCAATTTTTACCCCATAAAATCCCCCGTAAAGCCCTGTTCCCATGGTCCGATCATGCTGGCTCGCGAACTCATTCAAGTTTATCCCGCTTTACGCCTTTAAACCAAATTTCATCACAGTCGGACAAAAATTACTCAAGTTATCGCGTTCACGGACACATATATATATTTTATATATATATATATATACATATATAAAAATTTGAACGAATGGTGTTTTTGTCCTCTGGGGACATCAAAATGAAAAAGTAAATCGGTCCCGGGCCTAGGTCTTACCATGCCACCTACGGGTAATAGCTACTTCCCTATAGGGGAATTCGCTAAAAGTAAAGTTCTCATTGTGTACCACAGCTTTTTGTTTCTAGGTGGCTTAAATTAGCTGTTGTCATAAATTAAACAAAAAATAATAGTGCTGCACCCTGTTGATAAACCTTATAACTTTTTAATGCTATTTAATATCATAGAACCAACTTGTGCGCCATTTTAGCAGAGAAAAAAAAACAAGGAACCTAGACTATGATATTTTTTGTACTATGGCCCAATTGATTCCTCACAAATGTAAATTATATTCTTACATGAGAGAGCAATATTGTGAAAAACAACGCAGTAGCACACATGTTCGTACGTCAAACACATGTCAAAACTAAAATCACCTGTCACAAGTGCTTGTGAATAATCTACTTACTTACAACATGTGAAAAGTCTGTTATCTTGACTAATAATTACTGCAAGTTTTATCACCTATCAATTAATTATGGAAGAAGTTCAATAATACAAAGAAATAAATCATTAAAAATTAGATAAAATAAAAAAAAATTGTGTTAAGAGTTGAATATAGGAAAAATAAGACTTCTATACCAATTTAACCTGTAATAAGCTAACAAAAATTAACTTCCAACGTATAAAATATTAAAATACCCCCGCCGCAGCAAACCTGCAGACTAAGCGAATTTCCATTTGCCTGATTGAATTTACACTAAAATGTCTCCTTAAAAATATCACATTTATCCCTATTTAAATAGAATCAGTTTAACACATACTTAGGTTTGCTGCAACAGGGAGGGTAAAAGTGTTTTTTTATGTAAAATGTTAATTGTTAGTAAGAAATAAAAACATGTTCCAAATTTGGGCAAAATATGTTAATAAACAAGCAAACTACAACAGTTTACTTATTCTCCATAAGAATAACATGGGAATTTGAAATTTGCAATTTTTTGGAATTTTCTCCGTAACCATTAGGCGCATTATAACGCTTCAATATACTAAATTATTTGTTTTTTTAAGCTCTACAAAATAGTTTAGAAAGAAACTGCAAAATTTGATGTTTTTTGGGTCAAAAATGGGAAAACCCCATTTTTACCCCATAAAACCCCCCATAAACCCCCGTTCCCATGGTCCGATCATGCTGGTTCGCGAACTCGTTCGAATAAACGTAGGTTTACACGTTTGTACCAAATTTAATCAAAATCGGATCATTTTTGCTCGAGTTATCGCGCTAACGGACACATATATATATAAATATATATATATATGAATTTGAACGGATGGTGTTATTGGCCTCTAGGGACCTCAAAACGAAAAAAAAAATCGGTCCCGGGTCCAGGTCTTACCATGAGTACTACGGTAATAGCTTATTCCCTATATAGGAAATTCGCTAAAAATGACACAAATATTTCAACATAAAATACTATAAACATAATTGAGAAAGTAGAGAGATTGAGAAAGTTACCCTAAACAGTGAACTGAACTTTCAAAGAAATTAAATAACTTCCAAGAGAACTTTCTCTGCAGCAGAGAATAGTATATTTCATTACTAGGGCGTGACTCTTTTCGACCCGAGATCAACGAGGAGGTTGGAAAATGAGGAGGGTTGGAAAGACACATTTTGCCTGTGTGATCATTTAAGCATATATTACAAGTGCGCAAGCGGTTTAATTTTTTGAGTTAAGATTTTATTTTGCGATCACCAAAGGCACAGCAAAAACTGTAAGATTGGAAATCCATGATGTTTAGATACGGGAGACTTTAATGATTTTATCAGATCCTAGGAGAAGAAGCTGTTCCTGCGACCACGGAAGATGTTCCATATTTTGCTGAGATTGCAAAAGACATTCAAACCGACTGAAGTATAACAATTCCTAAAAAAAAATTGTACTCTCAAAAACAACCAGAATTTGACCCGAGACCTGGGTACCGGTACATAATTTGAATCTGACCCGATCCGCCCCAAAATAATTGTCTATAAATATTGAAAAATATCTACTGTATTTACAACATTTCTTCACTGGTCATAGTGTAAGTTAGTTCTTCCAAAATGATAGTACAGGTAAATTGGTTCTGGATCAGCAATGATCAATTTTATCTTTGCTTGAGAGTAATCCAGCTTTGCCAATACAAGTATTCTAATTTACCTCGTGTTGCAGGCAACTCAAAGATCTGCTGCATCGAGGAGACAGAGCCATGATCTACGTGTTCATCGCAGCCTCGTACTTCCCCTGGGTGATGCTGCGACCTCTACCTCAGGACAGTATTGCGGCAGAGCTCTGGTGGTTAGTCTGGGTGAGTCGACACTTCTAGGAGTGTTGTTTTTATTATCTGCCTTGCTTTTGATCAGGCTTGACATGTAAAACAAATTAAGGAATTCTACGCAGGAAAAATTACTTAAAAAACAGAAAAAAGTAAAGTTCTTACAGCTTTTTGTTGCTGCATGGTTCAAATTTGCTATTGTCGTAAATGCAAAAAGAATTAATAGTGCTGCATCCTGTTGGTAGATCATCTTGAAAATTAAGAAGTTAAACGGGGCAAAGCCCACGGGTTACAGCTAGTACCTTTTAAAAATGAATACTCATGAGGTTAACATGGGAAACTCTAGAGCCACTGGGGCGGAGCCCGAAAGGATTTTTGGGATAAGAATATGTCTTTATGTTAGTGGGGAATGTGAGCTTCATCATACAAAATTTCAACCCAATCTGACCAGTAGTTAATGTGTGATTGCACTTCAAACAAACAAACACAAAACTTTCACATTTATAATATTAATAATATGAACCTTTCAGAACCAAACCATCCTATCTTTTTATGTCTCTCACAGATAATCAGTCAGTACGACTCGGTTTGTTTCAGTATTATTAATCAGGAAATTCTAAAATTCTATATTTAAAGTTGTACTTGTTATTAATTTGCAATAACAATTCCAATATAAACACAGTTTACCAAAAAATGTTTTTTTCTCACATCTCTATTTTTTAAATGAGAAAATTTTATGAAATGAGCCTTTTGTTCAAAAGTGTCTGACATTGAAGTAAAGATAAAGGAAAGAAGGTAGTTTAGTATTAAAAAACATTTAAATGCGTTATAATCTTTTTAAAGATACTCGTTAATACCACTATAATGCCGATCTCTGATTACGGTAATAAAAAAATAACACTTAACGCATAACTATGAAAAAGACATGCAGATTAACACCTTTAGTTATAGATAGTCAACTGCAATATGGACACCCTCTTTCAATTTTGTATCAAAAATCATCATAGAGCCGCGCCGACTTAAAATACGTGAGCTTGCCTAATACAAAAGTTTACTTTATTGAAATTATTTCATTCTTTTTAGAGCGTTTGAAGTCGGTTGTATTTTTTTACAAAAATAAATTATTTTAATACGTTAGTCTACTTAACCTTAACTAACTGCCATTTTTTTATCTTTAGATCTTTATTTCCCTAATAACAAAACTACACCCATGATACTGTACACCATAATACTTCTTTGCATCATATTATGTTGTACAGTATCTATTATGATGGGTTGTGACTGTTGTGAGTACACCCCCATTATTAGAACTCAGCTATTTTATTGACCTTGATTCCCCCAGTAACTTGCCCCCTAATCCTCATCACTTATTATATCAGTCAGCCAGTTTATATATTTACCATACTGTCTTCTGATTAGAACATTCCTGTTACAAAATGTATGTGTATTACTTACTTTTATTTATTTTATCCTAATAATTGTAATTTACTGCAAAAAACGCATTTGCCACAGATTTCCTATTATCTCTCTATTATTTTTTCTATTGTAGTCACAATCTCGTTTGAAACAATTTAGAGAGGTTTCAAAGTTCTATATTTTGTTCAATACTCACCGTTCTAACTTATCCTAACAGATTCAAAGTTTTAATTTTTGAAGAAGAGCTTTTATAACTAGTTATAATGCTCTCATCCAAATCTCAAAATGTCAGTTTGATCCCAGATGATATCAATTTTGTACACGGGTACCAATTTCCTTGGAACAACAATTAATTACGCTATTTAACAAAAGGTCAATATTAGATAGTTTGAAGACCAAGATTTGAATCGTTACCTTAAAAAAAAAACTTTAAAAATGCCAATGCCATAATTAAAGACGTTTGCATCGACGTCTTTAACATGAAAAATCTACAAAATTAAATGCTTATTCAATTTTTATCCAGGTGTTGGCGGCTTTTGGCATTCTCTACCAACAGATGTTCCACGAGCGCTACAAGACATTGGAGACTTGTTTCTACATTTTCCTGGGCTCGGCTCCTTCCTTGGCAGTCTTGGCACATATTGAACATGTGAGTGAGAATAAAAATTCGATGTTTACCATAAAAATTATGTTTTGTATCGGCAATAGTAAAAAATCTGTAATCTAACAATCACCAACAGCCCGAAGGTCCGATCAGAATATAAACTACTTAGTTTTCCTTTTTAATACCTTAAGAACCAGTGTGCCAAATTTCAGCCTTCTAAGTAAATAGGAAGCAGGAGAATTAGTGATGAGTGAGCCAGTCAGTCAGTCAGTCAGTGAGGGCTTTGCAATTTATAGATATAGCTGATGTTACTTGACAGTTGTCGGAACAGAAACAGCCAGGGAGGGCTATTATTAAAAGATTGGTGAAATGTTGCAAGAAAAAACAAACAAGTTGGAGTATAAAGAAACAGTAGCCCTGCAGTAGTTAAAAATATTATGATTAATCTACATGTATATATAAGCGTTATAAACTACAACCCTCCCCCCCTCCACAGTTATTTCAGTTAGGAAAGGTAACACTTTCCTATACTATATATTGCATAGGCCTATGTATGTAGCAAATCTAATAAATAAACCTTATATTCTCGCAGGCCGAGTTCTCAGGTATTCAGGAGCTGATGTTGGGAGGAGTCCTCTACGCTGTTGGTGTTTGCTTCTTCAAGTCGGATGGCCTGGTGCCCTGCGCCCACGCCATCTGGCACATGTTCGTCGGCGCGGCAGCCACCGTACACTTCTACGCCATCTTGCACCACCTCTACTCGGCACCGCTGCCTGCGCTCGGAGACTAGTCTGTGATACCACGATGGTTGGGCTTCGGCTCGTGTTCCCAGGCAATGTTTACGTTCACCTTGTTGTTCGGCTGCTGGTAAGCTTTACGGTTATTTTTTCAGTTCCTTAAGATGCGAAACGGAACGTAACCCTGAGGTTTTGTGTGACTGTTTAGCGTGAGCAAAAATTAGATCTTCATGTAAAAGGTTGGAAATTAGGTTAATGGTTGGTATTTGAACTGTGCATTTCAAGAATATAAATATTAAAACCTCAGAGTTTTGTTCTTGTTGATAAAAAATGTAGGGCTTTTCTCTACAGATTATGTCAGAAAAAGCTAGATGTTAAGAAAAGAACTAAAGAGTTGTAAAAAGGGTTGTTGAGGGCAACCCCTGTTGAGGGGAAAAACTGCCCCGGGGCTTTTACCAAACGTTGTTGAGCGCACAGGCGTGCTGCGATTGGGTTTTAATATATATGGACTTATTCAAAAGTAAAATAGTTTTCTGTGCTGCACTCTGTGGAAACATTGTGGCACTATTTCAAATCATGACTAATACAGCATGTTGTGATTATTCAAACCTAAAAAACAGTTGCCGGGTAACAGCTAGTTATATTTATTTGTAAACATTGTAGTTCAAAAAGTCTTGACATTGACCCACTTAAAGCCCTCTGGGGCGGAGCCCTTTTGACGGATCTGCACCAAACTTCACACAAACCATCCTTGAATGCTTAATAATGCCTGAAAGTTTCATTACGATCTGTCAAGCAGTTTTAAAGCGTGTAAAATTATGTGAGGCAAGTGATGAGTCTTTGAGTGCATATAAACCAGGAAAAGAGATTGAAGATGTCAAAGGTTTTTATATACAGTTGTTAAACTGAATATTTTGTAAAAATACTTATCCTTTGAAAATAGAACATTTAGAATGTTAAGTTCAATATATGTCTAGTGATTCTGTAATCAAACATATAAAACAAAGAGCGTGTTCTGGGAACACTAACCGGTGCAGAAAATGCGTTGTTCTGGGAGAACGGTGAGTTTACTGGGGAAGTATTCAGCTGTTTCCTCTTTTTTCCCCCACCGGTGCAAGATTTATGCACCGGAGAAATTGTACAGTGCATAATACACTGGCGGCTTCTAGTTGGCCGGTTCTTGGACTCCAGTCTGCCTGCAGAGTGCAGAGTGCAGCTATGGCAAGTTGGCGGTTCCATCATAGACTAACCAAACACAAGTATTGGAATATGTTTTATCTATTCTTCCATCGAATAAATGATAATGTTTTATCAGTTTTATGGATTATATTATGTTAATAAGTGAATAATCAATAATATATCAGTAATTTATTCTGTGAGAGCAAGTTGGCTTGATTTTAATATTATAAGTAGGTTGATGAGTAAATTACAATCTGTTGTGCACCGTAAACCGGCGACTAACCGTTCTGGGATCTCAAGACTCTTGCCCCGGGGCGCTACCGGTGAGTAAGTCACCGGATCATCTGCACCGGTGCACCAATACATGTTCCCAAAACATGCCCGTAGTCTTAAATAACAGAGTTGCCTGGATTGAAAAAGTTACCTCTATAAAGCAATAAGTTATAACAGATCTTTTGTTGATCAAGATGTACAGTCCCTCTCTTTTGTTAGTTAAATCAACAGTTAAGTAATTAATGGATTATACAAATTAAAGCTGTGAAGCGTTCAGTTTTTTGTTAGTTTACAAAATTGTAACAACAATGTGCAAATTACCTGGCATTTTTTGTGAAATTAGCCCACAAAATATTGGGTAATAACAGCATCACAGGGTTTTACTGTAAACAAATTTGAAAGATTTGAGAGGAACCTAAAATGTTATAACTACAGAAAAAGGTAGATATAAATGATCAAGTAGCCATTATTTTTTATTTTAATTACCGAAGTAGACATTCCATAGATGGACCAACTACTGTCCACAGTTTTTTACTTGAGGAAAATTATGTTTAACCAGCCTCTCATAGGGTTGCTACTATTTGGAAGTTCTATTTTATCTTAGTTTTTCATAGTTTATGGGGACATGGTGATTCTATAGTTTACAAAAAGTCACCCTTTCAGATTGGCGTGATTAAAAAGGACAGTGTATAGAAGGAAAGGTGAATGATAGAGAAGTATTTTTTTTAGAAACTAACCATTTGCATTTTTACTTCACCGACACAAGTTAGGAGTTCCGAGTTAACTTGTATGTTTAACATTCCAAGAAGTAATTTTTTTTTGGACAAATTACTTACATAGATGTTTGATAAATTGAACATTCTAGCATCAGATTTTGTTAAGAATTTCAAATTTAAATGAGTTTTTTTAGAACATTTGAATTAAATTTGTTAAACTTTAATCTCAAAAGTGTATTATATTAATGAAGTACAGAGGACTTTTTTTGGCATGGTTCCCCATTTCCAGAGGGTAATAAATATTTGTTGAACTTTAGGTTTAAAATGTTGGGCATATACTTGCCGAATCAATAGAATATATAAACAAAACGGACAAAATAAGAGGAAACAAAAACTGCTAGACAAAGAGGCTGTAAATTTTCTCTTTAGAAGGAATTGGTCTCTTTTTGTGGATAAAATGCCATAAAATTGAATCATATTTATTTAGTTGGGCGTTAGAATCATAAAAAAAGGCTGTGGACAAATTAGCATGAGATTGAATCATATTTAGTTGGGCGTTCAAAACATATCTCGAAAATTACTTATGATGTTTAACTTATGTTGAGTTCACCTGTCTATGGAAAATATATCCTCACTCGGGAAATATATCATGCAAATTAACGGGACGGATAGATTTTTTAGTTGCAAAACTAATTAAGTGTTTCGTTTATCTGATCCATCATTGTTGTGTGTTACCACAAAATGTTATTGATTCCCAAATTTGTATAGACAAATTTTACAAACTAAAACCATTCAATTGATTTATAAACCATGACACTAAGAGCATTAAATAGCATCATTTATGTTTTGAGGACTGGTGTGTGCCATAATTCCAAAGATAGATTAGTTTAATTTATGACAATTTCGCTTGTTTAAAGATATGCTATTTTTGGTTTAGGTGTTTGTGTGACAATAAAGAGATGTTTATTTATGAAGGTAGAGTATTTTAGGGTCCATTTTTCCCCTGCATTGGTACCACTGTCATTGCCACCTACTCAATCAATACAAGATCAAGAATAAAGTTAGCAGGGAACTTAGGGGTTGTGTCGCTTAATCTATTTTAATTTTGTTAAGTTTTACAAAATATAATAAAGCCTCGCCTGTCTGGAATAATAGGCTCAAAAACATTCCGTATAATCAATGGTTGGTATTTATAGGTTAATTTTGGGGAAAGTATTGTATATAAATTATTAAATTTTCATCCCTTGGCCCTTTGAAGTCCAGCGATGAATGTAGGTCAAATAACCCCAAACTGTGAGATTCCGTGGTAGTCTACTTGGTAGAAAATGAGTCTTTTCGTTTGTCACTATAACAAGTATTAATTTAATTTATCCTCAAGCATTCCAGTTAAGCGGGGTTCTACTGTATCCAAGGTATAATAAGTTTTCATTTCCCTACCAATTACACATTAAAGCCAAAGATAACTATACCTTAGTTTGAGAACGGTAGTGTAAGATTTAAAACCGTATCATTATTTACACGATTGTAATGTTGTTAATTTTGTACTCTTACAATTTATATAGTTGAATGAAGTCGAAATGTGTTTGTTTTTAGTTGTGTTAAGAGGTGTTTGACACCGATAGGCAGGTTCAGGGACGGGTAGAAAGTAACTGTACTATTTTCTGTATTTAATTTTAACATTCTTTTAATACTCTGCTATCACTTACATTCCACTTTCCAACATTCGTTTAGGTTCATGAATAGATAAGTGTATAATGTTTCACTCATGTTTGTTCAGGGATGGCAACTATCTTAGTTCATAGTTGTAATATTATGTTTACATTTATTTAGTCAAGACCATGAAAAGCCTTCAGTTATGATTGAATTATGTGTGTTTTTGCACTGAATCAAGGTCCTGAATCAGTTTAACAGTTTGTCAAATCTGACATAGAGGCATAACTAATAAACTGAAAATTTACAAGAGAAATATAACTGATTTAATAACCACACAATTGAAAAAAAAAAACAATTATGAATTTGGGGGGACCAAATGTTTACCTTTGTATGTAATGTATATCCATCTTGACAAATTATTTGGAATATTTCTCAACAATTGTGTTACCCCAAATATTCGAGCATAGATTTATTTACTCTTCGATTGCTCAATGTTAAAGTGCCATGCTTTAACTTTTGTTTTGTGTCAATTTGTTAAAATTAATAATTGTATTTCATTGTTTTAATGTTCACAGCAAAGAAAAATAGTTCAATATTTGTCGTTACAATTTTGAGTCTTAAATAAAATGGACATTACAATAGAACCTCATTAATCCGACCGCCTCATTGCTGTACTCTATACACAGTCAGTAGTTATTTATTGTATACTGTATCTGTAATTGTTTCTATTGTAATTTACAGTACTGTTTATTCACTATGTTTACTGCTGTAAACGTTAAAAATTTAAATAAACACTGTCTTTTACTCTATAAAGCATTTTTCACTTTTCCCGTAACAATTACGATCCATTTGAGCTATTGTTATATTAAAGCAATAATATGTTCCTGTAATCCGAACTATTCAATAGTACGAACTATCCCCTGGTCCCAATTAGTTCGGATTAAAGAGGTTCTACTGAACATGGATGCAGCTTCTACTTAGTAACATTGACTAAGAATATTGCAAGTGAACTTATCATTCTATTGTACAGTAATATCTGTTTGTGTTGCTTGCTAGATACGCTGATGTCAATCCAATATTATTCTCATTATATAACTAGGGGACGAGCTATTGTTTATGATTTGATCGTTTTATTTGGTTGAACAAAGTTTTAAATGGCTGAAATAACAAGAAACAAATTGTAAACAAAACACAACCTCTACAGTGCACCGGACAGAACTAACAATAAAATTGGCTTCAGCTGTTCCATAAGGATGAGAAATCTACTAAGGGAGTTTGTTTTAAGACACGGGTATGATGATATCAGACAGAAATCATACGTCATAAAATGGTCTTCAGCTTATCTACAAAGATAAATCTGTAATGTCATTGGATATGTTTTGTGTTATTATGAACCGTAAATTAGGATTACGATTACAACATATAATATGGAAATTTGATATGTTTGTCTTTGTTGTGAACATAAACATGGAAAAGTTTCTGTGATTACAGTTTAGGAAACGATTGTTGTGGGTATGAAATGTGAGAAACGTTTTTTATGGACTATTTCCAATTAGGTAGTCACATTGTAGTACACTGTTTTCTCTTGATATATTATAATGCATGTATTGAAATAGTACAACAAAACATGTTTGTAGATTTAGAGAACAGTTTCATAAACACTAAGAGATGTTGTATTGTAATAGTTAAATTTTCTCTAGTTTTAACGCCATTGAAGTGTATATTTTCGTAAACTGCTCAGTCAGCTCTCTATTTTTACTAGGTTAGTTTTCATTAACGACTCTGCAACATATCTCGTTCACTTTTGTCAATTCTATCGGATCTATAATATAAGAACATCAGTAAAGCTTTACTGTAGTTTTAGTTTTCAGATGTAATAAGTGAGAACTTTTGTTTGTATTGTTATTATTTTTGTTAGTCTATTGTTGATGTGTTTGAAATAAAGATGATCAATTGAATTTTTTTTTAATTTGTTTCCCTCTTTTTTCATTATGATTGTAAGTTGAAACTAGTGACAACGCTGAAGGGGTTTGTAGTATAATTTTAAACATCATGATGTTAAAGAGTCCTTGGGGCCTAGATGTTCTAACTACAGTAGTAAAACAATTAAAAAACTATAAAGAAAAGGCTAATCCATAAGCCTAATCATTTTTGTAAATATTCCCTCCGGTTCTGACCAGGATCGTTAGTTTTGTTGTGGAGCTTTCCAACGAAAAATGGATTTTCCTCCAGGACAAGAAAAATAGGAATTACATGGTTTACATTTGCTCTATATAAATTTGTTTCTATATTTTGATAGTTATTACCCTGTCACACAGATATCAATGAACTATATAAAAGATTTTTTCAATTTGATCAAACCATAACTACACATTTAGGTAGTTTAGTTTCTATAATCAGCAGTCAGTATGTGGCTGTTTTCTACCATGGATTAAAAGAGCCACATTACCTCTTCTACATTCTCACCCTGTTACGAATCACGGGTAAAGTAAGTGGACAAGGAGAAATGAATAATTCAATATAGGCCTATACAATTTGATTGAAAATAGTCTTTATTTTACATAAAAAAACTTCACAAAAGAATTTATAAACCATATTGACCAGTTGACCTCCAATAAAAGCACGTGGAACCGGATAACAATCCGCAGACTGTGATCCAAAGGAAAGTCCAGAACCACTTGAGTATATTACAATACATGGCCTTACCTAACATCTGAACTTATGTACAACACTCGTGGAACAAAAACTGTGTTCCCTTCTATTCCATAAATTACTAACAGCAAAATATACAAACAAAAGTAAGAATAATTTAATAGATAACAAAACGTAGTGTTAGTATATATACCGGTCTAGCTGAGTAAAAAATTGAACCTAGTATCTAGAAACTTTTAGGCTTTAAAAGTTAGTACCAAAATTAAGCTATTAACTGTACAGGTTTTGAAACATCTGTCTGGAAGACAGAAATTAGAACGTTTTACGTTTTTAATGTAGGCCAGTGCATTATTTGGATTTCATTTGAACATAAGACATATTATACTGTATTTATACCAGTGTAACCATAACCCAGAAAATTGCCTAACGTAATTTCTAGGTGAAAAATGGTCCTCTTAAATCTTGATGTTGATTGTAAAACTTGATAACATAAACAACATACTTTCAAACACCAGATTAATTTTTATAAGGAACACAGAGATTTCTAATAAATAAAATCAAATTCTGTATTCACTCTACAAAAGTGGATTCAAAGTTAAAATTTAAATGGTAGTTGAACATAATTGCTTTGTTTCAACCATTTATAATTTTTTACTTTGGTCTATTTATAAAGTTTTACACGACTGAGGATTATAGTAAACTTCTCATCACTAGGGCGTAAAGTAACTCTTTTTGATCCGTGCGATTAACTATATTTTATTTTTTACATATTGCACCATTATTTAAGAAAAACTAAGTTTCAACACAAAAATACTTATTATGTATAGATAACCTTTCAAAACAACTACTAACTGTTTTCAATTTTGCTATTGCTAAACAAGCAGCTGTCTAGTAAGTGATTAATCCCTCGGGAGAAAAAGAGCTACTTTATACCAACCCGGAACACATGTATTAAAAACAACTGTTTTAGCTGCAATATGACAAAGAGCATTATTAAGTAGTGTATGGTTTAAGTCTTCCTTTAAAAAAATAAGAGTTTGAAGAAATAAATAACATTGAGCTGTACACTGTACATCTTTATTTTTTTTAACTGCAGACTTGAAACAATATTTAGAGGTCGATACCAAAAACAAGTACTTAATTAATATTTCTGTCCAATGATAGATACAAAGTAGTTAGTTATTTAAGAAATTTTACAAACTTTCTATTTCATTTTGTTACACCATAATAGTATTTGACCTACATTAAAGAACAAGTTTGGTTAAAACACATGAAAATGATAATTTTAAAATACAAAACTATAAGGACCTTAAACCTTAGGCACATGAATATTTACGGTTCGATGATATCAATCCGAACTGCAAAATTAACGTAATGTGCGCTAGAACAAATGAATTCCTCACAACCTCATCAAAATAACCGTCCAATCCTGAATTAAGCAGATTATGTACAAAACTTAAACATGAACAATGCAAAAAAACTGTTTTAATGGAAGTTTTCCACCCATTGTAACAAATTCATAGTATAAATCTCTTATATATTAGGTTTCACATAACTGACGTCCAATTTTTCACCTATCTTTTCATCTGATCACTTTTAACACTTGTATGTGAGTCGAGAATACATTTTCTCTAGAGATTTTTCTTCAGGATATCATTTACACACTATGGTGAAGTTAGTAGGGTATGATAATTTATAGCAACACCAATCTAACTTAACAACAGTGGCTTGTTTGAAAAATCCAATATGAATCTTCAAATTGTAGACGTATGTGAAAAAATTTATCTGCTAGAGCTTAAGACGAATTTAAAGAAATTTGAATCAAACTGTTACAGTATTAACAAATCTCCTTAGTTCAACAAATAAAAAATCAACAATGAAAATAAGATAAAAGTATCAAGTGAGTTATTTGACTACCTATCGTGTTATTTTGGAAATAATAGGTTTTGAAGCAAATGTTAAATGCAACACAAACCAAGCCGAGAGCCCAAAATGTGTGATCCCGCATTTTTTACTCGTATCAAAAGGGTTCATCCCAATATGAGCACAGTATTTTAAAACTCCAATGTACAAAAAGAATGATAATTGACAAATAGTAAAACGGGTTTAAAAAATTTGCGAAAACTAGTTGGCAAGTCCACTACAACATAAAAAAATTCTAATCAAGCATACAAGAACAAGAGAAAACTATTAAAAAATATATCATATATATATTTGAATTACACCCAAATAACTAAACTGTGAAATATTATAACACAACATTAATCCTAGATATAAAAAAAAGACAACAAAACAACCGTAACAACTCAGAAGGAAAGAAACCGAGGAGAAAAATTGACAGTTTTGCTAATTTATACAAGATTGCCACCGCGATCGGATGAAAAGATAGAAATGTTGACGTTCTTTGCGATAACATAATTCTTCTATTCCACGACCTTCAAAACTTTTCCTATTGCGATAGTTTTTCCTGAAACAAAATAAACAATATTATTTAGCGTACATTTCTGCACAGAAACCAAACTCCTAACTTTGTACAATAAAAAAATTAGGCTCACAAAATTTCACACTATCAAATGGGCAAATTTAATGCTAATCTACAGCAAGCCAAAATTTTACTAAATATTTGACACTTGGTACTTAAGCCTACATATTTCTGGGATGTTGGAAGGGGATTACAGCCACTACTAAAATAGTTATCACAGAAGTATTGTAGGGTTGGATGAAACACAAAGAGAAGAAGAAAAAACTCGAAGATAAAAAATCACAAAACTATCAAGCTCAACAGACTACAAGGTGTTGTCCTGTAAAATATACATTTTTGTTTATACATAAATATTCCTTTTTTGTCAAATAAACTGTATTACTTATTTACTCTCTGAAGAAATCTTACTGTAGAAAGTAATATCTGTGTAAGTATTTTTGAATGTTTCATCTACGCACTCCTGAGCTAATTTTTTTAAGGTAATCTATCTTAGGCGTAGTGGAAACTGGAAGTGGGTACTTTATAGCCCTATGACGGCAGAGTCCTAAAATAACCGATGAGACAAATCTACAACACATGACTTAACTTTATGTCCAGGATTTTTTTACAAGGTTTAAGCCATTGATGTATTTGAAAAATCAAAGTTATGTTAAATTTACTTTATATCTCAAAGCCACTAAACCCAATTCTTTAAGTAATATAGCTAAAGTATACCTATTTCAAAACAAATCTTACAGATGCAACATAGAGAAAAAGGTCATTTTTTATTTTTTTATTTTTATGAGGATAGTAAGTAAACTGAATGGCAAAGAGCCCAAGCTGACACAAGAAACATGGATATTTAAACACTACAAACAAACAGAATATTTCACTGTCACTTGCAGCATTTTCAATTATAGTCCAGTCGGCAGGTAGAAAAAAGAGGCGTTAGATGGAAAAAGGTCGGAAGTTAATGAAACTTGGGAATGTTGTTCAGGGATGATAAATCAACATTTTCCCAAGTTTTGGACCTCGAGGACCATGTGGAAAAAAGAGGGTGGGGGAGAAACTTTTTTTCGACAATTTTTTTCTTTTATCTCAATAACATTTTTCTCTTACTTCCTACCAAAAAAGCATACCTTACACTTTTGTAGAGTGTTAAATTTCCTACAATTCTATATTTCAAACAGGTTTGTACGATAATTTTTTACCGAGCGATAGTATTTTTATTTTAATGTGTTTTTAAAAAATCCACCAAAATATGCAAAAAAGCAGAATCCCAACCAATTTTTTCTGTTAACACAAATTATCACGAAATTTTAAAGTAATTATGGTTCCGAGTTATAAGCACTCTCTCTGGATACACCCTCCCCCCACTCACCCAACCACACCAGCCACCCTTTCCAAACCCAACCAGAATTATCAAAAGCTAATTGTATTCTCCGATGAAAACCAACCATATTCAGATCTAGTTGGTATTGATATTAGTTACTCTTTGAAGCTGAGGTGTTATCATGACCACCGCGTGGAGGAAAGGAGCAGCAACCTGGAGAGTAGAGGACAATGGGATATCTGCCTCTTCCACTTTTATGAAGATAGACTATATTTGTGTTAGTTCATAATGCTGTCGACATAATAAGTATGTATACATCTTGAGAAGTAATAACGACGCTGTCGAATTTGCTAGCATTGGATATGGCAGTGATGACGATCATCACGTAGGCGTCCTCATATGCTTGCTTCAATTCTATGCTAGCATCCGCCATTGGTGTCATCAATATAGAAATAAATGCACTCTAGTTGATATCGTTTGTTATGAACTTTTCTTGTGGTATAGTCACCACAGTAGATGAGGAGAACACGACTTTGGTTGCTGACTGTTAATGCAGTACGGTGAAATCGTTCTGCGGCTTTGGTGCTTTTATAGCCAGCAATATAGGGGTATCCATAAAATACAACAATCACTTGGCCCCGAAAGTGCTTCTACACGTAGTTGATGTACGTAGAACACAGCATCTCAAACGTGGTTGTAGGAGTTTTGTTCCACACAACTTTATGTAACCTCCATTAATTACGTTACATTTCCTGTTGACAAGGTTTACTTTCTCTATAGGAATGAAGAGTGAGTACATTACAGACTTTGTTCCCTTGCGCATTCCTTCCTCGGTAAAGATTGATACAGGGATGGGGTCGAGTTCAAACTTAAATAGCTTATTTATATATTACTCAGATCTTTTTGCGATACAGACACACTGGAAAAGAGTGAGAGAATCGACAGTAAGTTTTTTACCAGTAATTTCAACGAGCATGAAACGGAAGTGAGATTCACGACCTTATCCTTCAGTTTAAGTTTAAATTTCATAAAATTTTCACTCACCATTTTCTGAGCACCAACATTTTCTTCTTGCATAATATCCCTATCTCCCGTGCTAAGTGACAGTTAACTCCGTCATGACCAATGATTAATGTGCTCAAATCAATCTCGTGGATGTGGGGGAATTTGGGATGTTGTTAACTATGCGAGCAGTTTATCAAAGTCCATGTTGTCTCCACATGGGTTTATCTCATGTCTAAATGCTGCTCAGATGTCTCTGAGGGAACATCAGCGAACAATTCTACTTGGTCACAAATGCGTTGAAGACGATGCGTGCCCAATGTACATATGGAAAGCACAGAACGCTTACTCCGCGTCCACGAATAAGTCCTCCATAGCTCTTCATAGCTCGCGTGAAGAGCATTTCTGGTAGGCTACCAACCAAACGAGACTAAAACTAATATATAACTGTAAGCTACACAGCGCGATGCATATTTTGGTGGATTAAATAAAATACATTAAAATAAAAATACTATTGCTCGGTAACAAATTATCGTACAAACATGTTTGAAATGTAGAATTGTAGGAAATTTAACGCTCTACAAAAGTGTAAGGCATGCTTTTTCGGTAGGAAGTAAGAGAAAAAAGTTATTGAGATAAAAGAAAAAAATTGAAAAATTGAGAAATTTTTTAAGTTTTTCCCCCACCCTCTTTTTCCCACAGGGTCCTCGAGGTCCAAAACTTGGGAAAATGTTGATTTATCATCCCTGAACAACATCCCCAAGTTTCATTAACTTCCGACCTTTTTCCATCTAAAACTACCTGCTGACTGGACTATTAAGGAAACAAACTATTGTCGGGACCACGTAAGTTTGCAGTTGGTGGCAGCCAATCACAAGACAAGGCTAGTGCGATGTTGCCACATCGCCCGTTGACAACACTAATTAAAATATACTAAGCAATATTTTCAAATCAGCTGGTATTATTAAATTTGGCATCACCACACGGTTCTCATTGGGTCATTCAAAACCATTTGGTAATTAGGCCCCTCCCTCAACCGCAAACTTACGTGGACCCGACAATAAGTCAACTCATACTTTCCTTAAAAATAAGTGAGAATAGCAGCTACAATGGCTACTGTCATCTTTTTGGAAACTCTCTATTACTTTCTCTACACTTAAGACAAGAGTGCCGTGTCCCAGGGGACGAAATATTGTGTTCAGTGTATCTCCTGTACATTCTATGGCCTACCTGCACTTCTTCAATGTAGCATCTTTAACCTACAATTCAAAATTCTTGAAAAAACTCATACTTTACTTAGTCAAAAATGCTGTCAGCGACAGAATAATATCTTATTTTGTGTTAAGTGCAAAGTTTTGTGTTTCTTGTAGCACATTGGAATCTTTCCCACTAAGGTAAGATTATAACTCCTAAATTTAGGGTAAATAAAACTAAAATAAACATTGAAACTCCTTTACTTTTACTCTGATATCCTTAATTCTGTATTATGTTTTGTTGTCTATTGAGTACTCTAATTGTGTTTTATTATACTTTTACTTATTTTAAGTAAGACTCACTTACTTACTTTAAGACTCATATTAATTTTAGAAGGCAAAAGTTGTGTTAACCAAACAGATGGTTATTATCAACCATTGTTTTAAAGAGTTATAATTTTAGGATGTAGATATTTTGTTGAATAAAGCACTTTTTCATTACATTTCCATTCAGTTAAGCCTCCTCCCACACACAAAAATCCTCACATAAAAAACTAAAAATGAACTCCTTACTTAGTTACATGGTTCTGACATAAACGTATGCACTAGAGCTACAAGTTTACCTTCGTCTCTAAGCGTGAACCTGCCCATCTGAGGGAATAGTTTGAACTGCTCTAGACAGATGACTCCCGCACATTCTATCCTCATGATGGCGACCTGGTCCTGCTTCACGAAGCGTGGCCGCGTTTTTGATTTCTCCCCAGTCTTTTTGTCGATCAAACATATTAAGGCCTGAAAAAGTTGTATTTATAAATTACAGGATAACCTCTAAGGTCGGTTAGAACATGTGTTTAGTTATTTTTAAATTATTTTTGTAATTTGTAATATCTGTTATTTAAAGAAAGAAACAACCCCTTCTCCCCTCTTCCCTTCTACCTCTACTCATGTGTTCAGTGGTCTGTCCAGGGGACTCCACTGTAACAACATACAGTGCTGCAAGAGCCAGTGTCATGCTTGATCTCTCAACCTCATGTGCGAACTAACTTAAACTCTACAACTAAATCTATGCTTCTAACACTTCCATTTTATTTTTCTCGAGCTTCTCTCTGTATAAATGTTGTGTCATTACATAATAAATTTGTGAGTAACAGCTTCATTCAGAATAAAGTAAATCAGAGAACTGAATGTCTAGTTCTATCTGTACTGTTTATAGTCCAAGCTGCTAGTGAACAACATTTGATATGACCAATCACAGATAACACTCACTTTAACTGTGACCTCCTCGGCCACACAGTGTATGTGCATGACAGCCGAGTAACCGGCGCAAATGATGCTCTTGTGTTCCAAGATGACCACTTGAGCGTCAAAGATTCGGCCAGTGCGCGCCGGCGCCGTCGGGTCACACAGGACAAAGCCCGGCGACACGTCCTCCTCCTCAATACCTTTCAGCTTCACCTAAACCAGCGGTTAGGTTAGTCAAGTGGGAAACGTAAGGTGTAATTTTTTTTTGTGTAATCTTGAAATAGATACAGCAAATAAATAACTTGACCTCAGCTAATTAAATAACTATCACACAAACTTCCCTTCACAAAATATTTTATTTAATGTGAATGGTTTCTGTGAATAAAAATGTTCTGTGTATGTTTACTAAGCCTAAGAGTTTTTTAATGCTAGAGAGTTGTTTTTTATGATGTAACTGACTCAAGCTTTACGGTAAGTTTTAGAAAATTCTACTGGTTTTAATGGCCTAAATTTCAAAAACCTTAATTTTAAGTTGAATGAATGTTCAAGCAAATGCACACAGAAGTAGATACCAACATACTATCATAAAATGACATAAGATCAAATTAAATGTTACCTTAATGTTTTCACCAGGTCCTACTTGTGTAACTTCTTCATCATCCGACCATAATTGATCTACCACCACAGGTGTCTGGAAAATGAGATAATCGATCAATCATACAAGTTTGACTACACGCACATAAATTTAACTGACCAACAATGTTTGGACGCGCTAGTCCAGTCTTGCTATCGACTGCTTTGGACAGGTCTGAAACTACTGCTGGTGTTTTCTGTGACCTGTCTAAAGCCTTTGACTGTGTGGATCATTCAATTTTGCTTTCTAAATTAAAAGACTATGGTATAAAGGGTAAAAGTTTTTCTTTATTAGACTCTTATTTACAGAACAGAAAGTATAGAACAATAGTGACCAAAAACGGCGTGAAACATATGTCAAACTGGAATTTATCTAATTATGGTGTATCTCAAGGGTCAATATTGGGCCCTCTGTTTTTCCTGATCTTTATTAATGACCTTCCAAAAGCTATTGGCAGAGATTTAATCTTATTTGCTGATGATACAACAGCAATCATAAGAGAGGATTCAGTAAATAACTTAATTGTATCAATAGAAAACACTTTGGATTGTATGAAAAATTGGTTTACAGATAATGGTTTAAAGCTGAATATTGACAAAACTCATATAATTAGATTTTCTTTAAAAAACAATGTAATTCTTGATAAAATTCCAAATTTAGTAGAATCTCATAGATTTTTGGGTGTATTGCTTGATATTCATATTAATTGGAAGATTCACATAGATAAGATGAAAGGCAAACTAAGATCTATTTCTTTTGCTTTCTTTCACCTGATAAACTGTGTACCTCAGGATACATGTATCACAGTTTACTATGGATACGTTGAATCCATCTTGAGGTATGGAATCATACTGTGGGGAGTGTCAACAGAAGTCAAATCCCTACTAATTTTACAGAAAAAAATTATTAGAATCTTAACCAAATCAAGAAGGAGAAAATCGTGTAAAAACCTGTTTAAAAATCTTAGAATTCACACCATTTTTGGATTATACATAAATGAAATTCTAAATTGGATACATAACACTAAGGAAAATTTGTCAGATGCAGTCAAATTTACACATAATTATAATACAAGGAATAAATATAATTTCAGATTACCACATCACAAATTGACGACTTTTAGGAACAGCCCTCAATATATGGGACTTAGATTGTACAATGAATTACCCCTGTATCTTAAAAATTTAAATGCTACTCAATTCAAAGATAAAATAAAAGATAAAATAATTGAGAAAGCCTACTATTCACTTGACGAATTTTTGGAGAACCCTATAATGTAGATAAAAATTCTCTGATATCCTACATGAGTTTATTTTAATTATTTTAACTATTAATTTTACTATATAATACATCACTATGACGAAACACCTGTTCTTATGTATGAAATGTACTTTATAAAGAACGTATTGTGTAAATAAAATATGTCTTATGTCTTATATGTCTGCCGCCAACTGCAGACTCTCGTGGTCCCTAGTATAGTTTAGTATCAATAGCCATTCTTTAGGATGACTGAAGAGGATATCTAATCTATATGTGCTATTTGAGCCAATATAAAATTCAATTAGAACATCAGTGACATATAAAGGTATGCTACATTTTATAGGTTGTACTTTCAATTCTGTTAAAAAGTTTGCAAATTCTCCAACACCAATAATTGACATAAGCACATGCTATGACTCAATTCAACCAGGTAAACTTGTATTAAAAACTGGCTACAACTTGGGAATTTTACATCTACTTCATAGTCGTTCTTACCCTGTTGGGCATCAGGATCAGCGACTGTCCCTTCTTCATTTCACCACTCTCTACTTTGCCCATGACCACAGTGCCCATGTCTTTGTATTTCTCTAACACAGGCATGAGGAACGCACCGTCCGTCTTGCGGTTCAGGGACGGCAGATTGTCAATGAACGTGATGAATGGCTCGCCTCTGCAACAGGTTAAGAACACCAACTGTTTACAAGTTCTACAAACACTTAACTGAGGCAAAATATTTAAATTAGTAAAAAAACCGAGCAAACAGTCAAGAGTTCTACAGTGTCGGTGAAAGAAAAGCTGCGACAGTAATGTTGTTTATGTGTTAATTTCTACTCCTACATTCTCGCAATCAAATTTTCTCGTCGACTTATCCATAATATAGATTACAGTGTTGAACTTAAATTTTATTTCAAAGAATGTTTTTTTTTTTCAAAAGCGATAGTGAACTTTTAAGAATTTAACAATCAGCATTAATAAGTTACCACTTTCAATGCTCATTTTGTTTTCTCCTCATGGTTTGAAACTACTTGAGTTCATCAGAGACGAAAAATATAGTAATCATTGCATTGAAATGTAGAGAAGGTATTAAGTTAATTACCAAGGACCAAACTTAGCGAAGCACAGGATAACAGATGTATCCAAAATTATCAAACTATTTTAGACCTAGTACAACTGACCATAAAGTCGACTTGGATACTTAAAGCACTGACCCATCTCACCATGACAGGACCTTGCTTGGGTTGAAGCCCAGTTAAATAAGTACAGCATATCATCATTAACGAAATAACCGATAACCGTCAATTTCAATGCTCATATTGTTTTCTCCTCATGGTTTGAAACTACTTGAGTACATCAGAGACAAAAAATATTGTAATCATTGCATTGAAATATGCTTAAGACATTTAATGATTTGACAAGAACCGAACTGGGTAAAACAAAGCATAACAGATGTATACAACCATCAAAATATTTTTAGACCTAGTACAGCTGAGCTTAAAGTTAACCTCCGGGTACTTAAATTCAGAGACGAAAAATATTGTAATCATTGCATTAAGGTGTGATGAAGAGGTGTAATAATAACTGACCACGGAACTGGTTAAGCATAGCATGTGAGAAATATCCAAATATCTGTAAGATGCTTACTTCCACCTGTTGCAAAGAGCCTGGTCTACTTGGTCCTTCTTTAGGTCACCAACCCATCATACCATGACAGATTCGTGCCTGGGTTGAATACCAGTTCACATAGGTAATGCAAATGCAGACAACTAACACCGCGAACATTAACATCAATGCTCATATTGTATCCTCCTCACAAAAATTTAGTTTCTTCAGAGACGAAAAATATTGTAATCATTGCATTGAAGTATGATGAATGGGTGTATTCAATAACTGACCAAATATCCAATTATCTGAAAGATATTTACTACCACTCGTTGCAAAGAGCCTGGTCTACTGGGTCCTTCTGTAAGTCTCTTGTCATGACCAATTCGTGCTTTGGTTGAAGCCCAGTTCACATAAGTAAGGCAAAGGCAGACAATAATAATCAACGCAAAAAACATTAACTTCAATGCTCATATTGTTTTATCCTCACAAAACTTTCTTCAGAGACGAAAAATATTGTAATCATTGCATTGAGGTATGATTAAGAACTAACCGAGGACCTGGTTAAGCATAACAAGTGAGAAATCTCCAATTATCGGAAAGATATTTACTTCCATTTATTGCAAAGAGCCTGGTCTACTGGGTCCTTCGTTAAGTCTTTAACCTATCTTGCCATAACAGATTCATGTCTGGGTTGAAGATTAGTTCATATAAGTAAGAGTAAGGCAGACGAAAATAATTAACCCAATAAACATTAACTTCAATGCTCATATTGTTTCCTCCTCACGAAACTTAGTTTCTTCAGAGACGAAAAATATTGTAATCATTGCATTGAAGTGTGATGAAGAGGTGTATAATAACTGTCAAATTATACAAAAAAAAAAGAAAGAAATTTTACCACCCAGACAGACAAAAATTTGTAAAATGAAAAAAACTTATTAGTCTATGAATTTTGTCACTATTTAATACATCTTCCCTTGAAATATTCTTTAAAAAAGATATTCTTCAAAATATATCCATAAACAAGCCAAATACAACATTTTTACAATATTCTCCATAAGAATGACATGGGAATTTTAAAATTAAATTTTCTTCGTGGCTAATATTTGTACAAAAAAACTTTGATATTCTGAATTGTTTGTTTTTTAAGCTCTTTAAAAAGTCTTCGGAGGATTTGGTAAATCTTGTGTTTTGAGGGTCAAAAATGAGAAAAACCAATTTTTACCCCGTTCTTATTGTCCGATCGTGCTGGTTAGTGAACTCATTCATGTTTATTCCACCTTACACCTTCAAACCAAATTTCATTAAAATTGGAAAAAAATTACTCAAGTTATCGCGTTCATGGACACATATATAACTCTCTCTCTCTCTCTCTCTCTCTATATATATATATATATATTTGAACGAATGGTGTTTTTGGTCTCTAGGGACATAAAAATGAAAAATTAAATCAGTCCCGGACCTAGGTCTTACTGTGCCACCCACGTAGCTACTACTTCCCTACAGGGAAATTCGCTAATAAAAAAGACTTAAATTAATTGGGTATTTTATTTCAAACAGAACATTATAAAGTCAATGTTATAGTTATAGACGTTCATACAGTTGTTTAGTGAGGGGAAGTTTGGTATTCTAAGTTCAAGGTCACATAGTTTTTGTGGAGCGCAGGAAATTACAATAGTGTGAACTAGCTAGCAAACACCAAACGTACAACAGAATCAGCGGAAATATCCGCTTCTTGTCTGCAACATCTACAACCATTGTAAGCTGCCACACCTGTCCGGGAAGGGTCAACCACCGAGTAAAGCACAGAAAGACATTAATATCCAAACTACGTGTCAGATACTTACTTCCACCAGTTACACAGAGCCGGGTCTACTGTGTCCTTGAGTCCCTGACCCGTCTGGCCAGAGACAGGCATGAATGACAGGTCCTTGCCTGGGTTGAAGCCCAGTTTACGAAGGTACGGCAAGATCTTGTCTTTACACTCGTTGTACCTGGACTCTGCCCACTCCACCTGTAGTAATGTGACATTAGATAGTAACAAGAGTAGGGCTAAGATCTAACTCTTATTGTAGTCCAAACCTGGCATCAAGACACCACACAGTATTGAAAAAAATCATAATAATGCACACTGCCTTTTCTTATACTCTGTACTAGCTACTAGTCTAACATTAGTGACACCAATTCAAGATTGGCCAGGTGCATTCCAGCCTGCTCTCTACCTGCTAACCCCTGATTCTTCTAATACTATCCATCCTCACACTTTCTCAGTTTCAATGAATGAAAGTTTGGACATTGTTTACACAAAGAAAACTCAAGCAATGGTGCCGTCATAAAAGAAACCAACCTACTATCATTTGCTTTTTACTAAACTCTTGCTGAAAAGTTACAGCAGACACAATAAAATAAAAGTAAAAATTTAAATTTACCAAATAAGCGAGTAACCACTACTGATGTCCAATTAAAATTGTGACTTACCGTAATCATTTTAAAACCTTTATTACCAAACTTTTCTGGCTCAAATTTTTAGACATTCCAAAGTTTTTATAGTTGCCTCAATATTCAAATAATTCAAACTCTACATTTGCATGTTACCAATTATTAGTATTAGGAAGCAACTGGGCACAAATTAGCCAAAATATGAATGTACACTAAAATGTTATATCTTGTCTAACTTTTGAATATTTAAATTTATTAAATTATATTTTTATATTATTTTTATATTTATTATTAAATATAGGTGGTTTTAAAACCCCTTCAAATTTTAAAACAAAAAAAAAATTAAACAATTCAACAGCTTAACATATGATGACTTGAGAATATTCTGTGGTTTACCGTAGGATCGTCCATCTTGTTTATCAGCACCACCATGTGCTTCACTCCGGCTGTTTTGGCCAACATAGCGTGTTCTCGGGTCTGACCACCTCGGTCGAAACCCGTCTCAAACTCTCCTTTCCGCGCAGAGATCACCTGCAGAAAGAACCAGTTGGTTAGTCAATCACTAACAATAACATATACTATATTTTTTTTTATGAGCATTATCCCAGTAGAAATATCTGATAATAAACCACACATTACAATTTTTCAACCTGATAAAATGAGCTTAGAGTCTGATAAACCAAACAGTAAGGAATACAATTCAAAACGTCTTATTACTCTGGGACATATTAAGGTTATAACTTACCAGAACAGCAAGGTCTGCCTGCGCCGCGCCACCGATCATGTTAGGCACAAAACTCTTGTGTCCAGGCGCGTCTAGGATGGTAAAGTGTTTCTTGTCCGTCTCAAAGTACGCTCGTCCTACCTCTACTGTCTTACCCTTCTCTCTCTCTGTGGCAAAATAATATAATCAGTCTTTAATAAGATAAAATTTCCTTTGTGCACAATTTCACCTATATAGTATAAGTTTTGGTCACAAAATTGATAAGGCTAACAAAAAGACAAATTGTTAAGAAAAGTTTATGGCTGCCAGCTTCATGTAGCATCTTTGAATTTGATTTTATGATTAATTTTAAATGTATTCTTTATGATTACGCTACAACAATAAGGTCCCTAGTCTCAAAAATGTTTATTAAAAATGACAAATTGGATTTTAGATAAGCCTACTGCAAAAACAATATAGGTATAGTAAAATTTAAGGCCTGTTTTGATGTGAATTTTTACTTGCAATTACGCTCGAGCGCTCTGATGCAGCCATTAAATGTTTCTTCCTCATTTCTGGGTAAACCTTACCAGTGTGGCCTGTTTCAAAATTTTGAAACGTTTGGATTTTTGCAATTATCCTTGAAATGCTGTTTAGGCTTCTTTTCATGCATATGGTCTATAGGAAAGCTTAAAAGCAACAACTGAAAACTTAAGACAAGACCCATTTGAAAAACTGGCAACATTTTTTGTGCTTTAGCTTTGTGACTTGATTCTTTTCATACAAAAACGGACATTAGTATTTTCTACCATATATTGAATTTGGCCGTAATAGTTTTAAAATCGGTGGAAGACAAACAAGAGATAGGCCTGAATATTAAACGAGAAATCACACTCTATATTTACTGGCATAATCATCTATCAGGGTGTCTAGTTTATTTCCATTATAAAATTCAAGACTAATTCCAGACTTTTCAAGACTAATTCCAGATTTTTCAAGACTAGTTTTTTCCACAATTAGTGGGTGTTGATACCAAAATGTATCGATTCTCGATTCTTGATACCGATACCAATTGTTATAGCTATTTCTAACAAAATTTTCTAAATAATACTACACCAACTTCTTTGTCTTTGTCATAAAGTAGTATTATGATAGTGTGGTGTTTTCAAGTAAAAAAATAATGCAGCAATAAAACAATCTAACTAGCAAATTTGGTTTTTTTTATCATGAAATCTTCTGCGTACCGTACATTTAGACATCATCATTGACTGCAGCGGTTACAGAAACGTGATCGTCGTCGTCCGCGATCACGGCAAAATCATAAACATTTCCCGCGGCCGTGTATACATCATCGTCGTCTCCCGCGGTCTCGGAAACTCCATCGTCACGTCCCGCGGCCACAGAAACGTAATCGTTGTCGTCCACGATCGCGACAAAATCATGAATATTTCCCGCGGCCGAGCAGATATCATCGTCGACTCCCGCGGTCACGGAAACGTCATCGTCATCTCCCGCGGTCACGGAAACATCATAGTCATCTCCCGCGGTCACGAAAACGTCATCGCCTTCATCCTCGATCGCGGCCAAATCATGAACACTTCCCGATGCCGTGTAGACATCATCGTCATCTCCCGCGGACACGGAAACGTCATCGCCGTCGTCCTCGATCGCGGCAAAATCATAAAAATTTCCCGCTGCCGTGTAGACATCATCGTCGTCACCCGCGGTCACGGAAACGTCATCGTCGTTGTCCGGGATCGCGGCAAAATCATGAACGTTTCCCGCGGCTGTTTAGACATCATCGTCATCTCCCGCGGTCACGGAAACGTCATCGTCATCTCCCGCGGTCACGGAAACGTCATCGCCGTCGTCCTCGATCACGGCAAAATCATGAACATTTCCAGCGGCCGTGTAGACATCATCGTCGTCTCCCGCGGTCACGGAAACGTTATCGTAGACGTCCGCGATCACGGCAAAATTATGAACATTTCCCGCGGCCGAGCAGATATCATCGTCATCTTCCCCAGTCACGGAAACATCATCGTCATCTCCTGTGGTCACGGAAACGTCACCGTCATCTCCCGCGGTCACGGAAACTTCATCGACATCTCTCGCGGTCACGGAAACGTCATCGTCGTCGTCGGCGATCGCGACAAAATTATGAACATTTCCCGCGGCCGAGCAGATATCATCGTCATCTTCCGCGGTCACGGAAACATCATCGTCATCTCCTATGGTCACGGAAACGTCATCGTCGTCTCCCGCGGTCACGGTAACGTTATCGTCGTCCCCAGCGGTCACGGAAAGGTCATCGTCGTCTCCCGTGGTTTCGGAAACGTCATCGTCGTCGTCCACTATCACGGCAAAATCATGAACATTTCCCGCGGCCCTGTAGACAACATCGTCGTCTCCCGTGGTCACGGAAACGTTTTCGTCGACGTCCGCGATCACGGCAAAATCGTGAACATTTCCAGCGGCCGTGTAGACATCATCGTCGTCTCCCGCGGTCACGGAAACTTCATCGTCATCTCCCGCGGTCACGGAAACGTCATCGTCGTCGTCCGCGATCGCGACAAAATCATGAACATTTCCCGAGGCCGTGAGGACTATCATCATTGGCTATCGCGGTTACGTAAACGGAAGACGGCGATCGCGGCAAAATCATAAAAATTCCCGACTTTGAAATCAAATTTAAGACTAAATCCCGACTTTAGGGATAAACCCCGACTAACAGGGTAGGTGGTAGGGGGTGACTTATTTTTTTTAAATAGCAACCCCTATTGAGTGACCCCTCATTTTGAAGAGTTTGTCAAAAGAAACACAATGACGCAAATCCGAGGTGAATATCTCACTCCTAGCCCAAATGGCGGATATTCCAAAATTTGATTTATTGTACGTGAAAAGCACCAATTTCACAAATAATGGAAAGAAATCTGTATTTTTAAAACCGAAATAGATAGAAATATTCTGTTTGTGGAATTGATTGTTGACATAGGTTCCGCAATTTTTTTAATCAACAATATTTTTTCAACCCCTTTAACAGGGTAGGGGGTGGGAGTGACTTATTTTTTTCAACAACAACCCCTATTGAGTGACCCCTCATTTTGAAGGGTTTGTTAAAAGAAAAAGAATGACGCAAACCCGAGGTAGATATTTCACCCCTAGCCTAAATGGTGGGTAATGAAAAATTTAATTTTTGTAAAAAAAAGCCCATTTTGGAATATCCGCCATGTTAGCTAGGAGTGAGATATTCACCTCAGATCTGCGTCATTGTGTTTCTTTTGACAAACCCTTCAAAATGAGGGGTCACTCCATAGGGGTTGCTATTTGAAAAAAATAAGTCACCCCCTACCACCTACCCTGTTAGGGGGGTAAAAAAATATTTTTCATGTGAAAAATTGCGGAATCTTTGTTAACTATTATTGCCACAAATAGAATATTTCTATCTATTTTGGTTTTAAAAATACAGATTTGTTTCCATATTTAATTTACACACTGTATAATACACTAAGCCAATTTTTGTAAACAGAATTCCTCCCTCATTTTTGGACCGATGATTAACGTGTCAAGAATGGCCCTGATCTGTAGTTTTGCAAAGTGTCTTTATTTTTTTGAAATCTTTATCAGTTCGGGCTGGATCTTCCATCAAAGTTGGGTTTTCTCCCATAAGAATAACATGGGGGAGTCTAAATATTTAATTGGAAACTTTGTCTCCACTAATCTAAGAGAACGACTGGGCGTAGAAACCTGGTAAGTAGAGGTGTCCAAAGAATGGTCTTGGTCTGTAGATGAGTTAACAAAATAAAAACGAAGTAAATTCCCTTAGGGCTCTGCCCCAGAAGCCTTTAAAAGATCCCTCCACAGATTTGTTTACATTTTGGCCATGTGGATAATACTTTTTAATGAAACAGCTGTTAATTTTTAAATTGTATTTTAAACAACACACATTTATTGAGAGTTACTGAACTGTCCAAAGGAAGTATTTGCAATGTTATTTTCTTGAACTCTTTAGAGAGCCTTTGAATGTTATTAGACTAACAAAAAAAGGGTTGTGCATGTTCAAAAACAATTTATTTATCCCTAAAAAATATAGGCCAATTCTTAAAGTGCACTGAGCAGCAGCCTAAAAAATACTATGTAACTTCCTCATATAGTTACAAAATGCTCAAACTCGCATTGTGATATTTATAATTCGGCTTGTATTTCTCCAACAGTTATTCATCTGCAGAAGAAGTTCAGTGTGCTCTTATCGTGTCTAATAACATCCAAACACAAAAACCTTGCCTAAAATGGTACCTTTCTTATCTTGACAAATTATTTGCAGTGGCCTATATTACGGACCATGGCCCACTGGGTTGGTAACATTATTGAAAGTAACACGATATTTTGGCTGTAAGAGTAAATACTATTTAAGCTGCTACTGTCATGACAGAAAGGTCATATTCCTTTTAAACTAGATCACATTATCTTTTATAAGATACGTTGATTAACAATGCATGTAAAGGTCAATATTTACGTAACAGCCAATTCACAGTATGTTTTTCTCTTTGGAAATGCCATATTGCTATTTAATTTACATTATTTGTTGCCAATGAAGCCACACGACCATATAAACGAGGAGGCCCCTAACCGTCAATTTTGACGGGTTTCACCTAGTAACCTATCTTTAAAGCTGATCCATATGAAAGGTTTAACTTACCCTCCTGATTGGTATCCAGTGCCCAAGACAGGTACCAGGACTCTCTGCTTCTCTCCTTGGCTTCTCTCTCGTACTTCTCCAACGTCCGTTTGTCCACCATTCCTGTCAGTGCCATGATCTGTCCTCCGATAGTGGACTTGCCGGCGTCTGCACAAACAAATTCAATTCATCCGCTAAACAAGTAAACAGGATTATACAGTGTCTTGCAACCATGTGAACAATCTTTGTCACGTTATTTAGCATGTCAAAAAAAAAGAAAAGAAAAAAAATTGTAATATAACACGTGTCCTAGCTCATTTAGTTTTCGGTCTATTCTTTGCCCAAACTAAGCTTATAAGATAGGTATTGTTGTAATCTGCATCAAATTTATGTTGTTATCTGCATAGCTTTTAGCCTACATGTCCGGTTCAAGAAATTTTAATCATATTTTGCACAAGAATAGTGGCTGATAAGATCAATATTATTACAGAATTTCAACGCTGTGCTCAAATAGTTAAGAAGTTGTGAATGTTATTGTAAAAATCACATATAGACAGTTAGATTGAAAACGAAATGAGATAGGACACATGTTATATTAAATTTTTTGTTTCTTTTGACATGCTGAATAACGTGACAAAGTTTGTTCACATGGTGGCAAGACACCCTGTATAATATGACAGTGTAGGGTACACCAGGGCCCTTAGTAAGTAGAATCAGATCCTATTCAGATTACCCTAAAATGCAGTAAAATTGTTTTAAAATTAAATATAATGTAATTTAATTAGGTTACACTGTAAATAGTCAATACATTGCTCTTGCAATCATGACAACACTGATTATCTTCTGCAATCACGGCAAAATTGAATTCATAGAAAAAATATCTGTGATATCTACTGCACAAAGATAATAAAAGGGAACCAACAGATCAGAGTTAATGAATGGACTCTCAGTTGTAGGCTATCAGTCCTCCAAATTTTTCGGTTTGAAACCAAAATTCACTCACAATTAACAGACATTTTCCCAGTCTTTCAAAGTTACGTACAATTCCGGTTTGGTTGGACATCCTGGTTGGTGAGTCAGAACACACAGGTTTCTTTAATTTAAATACAGTTACATTTTCCCTCATTAAATTTATCAGATTAACAGGTATATCCGACGGTGCATCCACTATATTGCTTTTGATATCTAGCTTCAAGAAATATAGGCCTAATATGATTTAAACCTGTTTAGAAACAGCAAATAGCAAAACACGTTGAAAGGCGAGGAAGTATGTGCTGCTATTGTTGGGTAAGTAGCAGGGGTGTAAACGCACTTTGTTTTAATTTAATAACATTTAGTATAGTGCAACATTTAATAGGGGTCTAGAAAGTTAAACGATAAAAAATTGGTTAAAACACTCTTCTTAAATCAACATGATAAAGTAAATGTACAGTAAAAGCCCATAAAACATTTAATTAAATTGCAACCCCTTAAAAAGTTGATAAATTGACAACTGTGTAGGCTATTAAATATTAAATATATAGGTTTAACCAGTTTAATATAATCTCAACATCTTGACCTTTTAATTAAAACTTTGAACCGCTGTAATATTTTTCAAAACGGACAACAGCCATTGAGATAATCAGGTGGTCTGATGAGTTACACAACTAAATCACTGATAACAGACTTGAGACTTACGGATAATAATCTAACTCATAGATAAGTTTGACCTCAATGCCAACGTTTAGACCACTTGTCTATGCACAATAGGCTAAATAGATTCTATAACGTATGTACAACCCAGTACGGTGACAATTATAAATAAAAGCAAATCAAGTTAATGGTTTTAAAAATGTATTCTATTTTCTGAAATTATCACTTATCAGTAGATTGTAAAATAATAATGACCTTACCCCATTTTTCATGGCAATTCATTGATAAAGTCTCATCAAGACATTTATCATTCACAGAGGTTTTAAAAGTTTAACAGGAATAAAAAGTTGACTAACAGATATTTACTTTGTCAAAAATGTTAAATATTCTGCAAAAACTAGTTACAAGTTACAATTTAAATCATATTCAAATTTTGTCATCAACATTTTAGAAGAAACTCCATATTGAGTAGGCCTAGTTATTAGTAAATATTTAATTACAAATTTAATAAAGCAATGCTTCATGTTTAAGTTGTTGAGTTTGGGAATGTGTTTTTACTAGACCTATTCATAAAATTGTACAAGTTAAAATTTTTTAAGAATAATACTGTTTCAACAAGACTTCTTTTAAAAGTTTACTTAATTACATTTTTTTTAAACCCAGCAATAGCTGATATATATATATATATATCAGATTTTGATTATTAACAACCATACTAACAGTACCAAAGTAGGTATATTTCAACAACAAAAAACAGGATTAAACACTTACCGACATGGCCGATGATAACTACGTTCACATGCTCCTTCTTGCTTCGCTGCTCTTCAGCACTAGATTTAGGTTTTTTCTTAGGTTTGATAACAATCTCTTCCTCTAGTTCGTCCAATTCCTCGTCCTCGTCTGGCGTGAGCAGTGACGCAGGGATGGGGTCACTGTCGTCTGCCGCTTCCCAGCTGTCTACGGCCGGACCGTCCGCAGGGGGTGGGGGACTGCCTTCCCCTGGCGGGTCACCCTCTGTCTCCATAGGGGTTGGCACACCTGAAAATATAAAATGAAATGAAACACAAAGTTTACATGATTGTTATACGGTAGAACCTCGGTACCTAGTTTAACACCATTGATAGTAGTGGTGGGAATCACCAAATGAAAATAACCGAATCAATCGGTTATTGGATGCTGAATAGACTAATTCGGTTATTTTATCCTGGTTCGGTTAAATTAGTCTCACCGTGCGATTCGGTGATTTAGTTTGTCACATTATCAAGTAACTAAAATTTATTCGGCGATTCGTTCGACTAAAAATCACCGATTGACGCTAAAAGACTAAATGCCATTCAGTTTCCCATAGGATAAAAATTAGTTGTGGTTTGTGATAGGTAGTGAATAATGACCAAAATTGATTCGGTGATTCATTCACAAAAAATAACCGATTGACGCAAAAAATAACTGATTGATTATTCGGTCATGGAAACCATTCGGTTATCCCATCACTAATTGCTAGACTAAAAGACATCTTTGGATTCAATCTTAACTTTAAATACAATGTTTAGTAAAAGTTGTAAGAAGATAAAATGAGAAAAGGTTTTGAAACAGTTTGAAGGACTAGAAGGGTAGGCTATGTAGAGAAAAATGGAAATGTTAAATTTTAAAGTACCGGTATATGTAAGAGAGAAAAAATTAACACACCTTTAATGGATACAAGATAACAAAACTGTTTGGTTACCTCTTTGATTACAACATTATCATATGTTTTGATGATATAATAATAAGGAATAATTTGATATGAGTACAAACACATGTTGCTGAGGAAAGGAATGTACTATAAGAATGTACTGAAAGAAAGTACTGTAAAACAAAAACATTAAAATAAAATGTTCAAGTTAACTTACTTACTCCATCTTCATCTTTTACCAAAAAATATGGATGGATTGCATCTCTACTGAACGAAAGGTTAATTTTACCAATAGAGTACAAATTTAAGTAGGCCTAAGAAAATAACCACTTAATTGAAGTAAAATTAAAACTTCTTTACTATTGTGGAAAACATCTAGAACATCTAGATAACATCTAGATTAAAATGTATTAAAGTACCTATAAAACCTGTTTTTTCTATTATATATTTAAAATGAAAGGACTTATGAATGAGGAAATTGTATTGAATTTTTCAGCTTAGGAAGAAAGAGATTTTAAAGTTTTTTTTACCTACAATATAAGGAGTTGAAACACAAAACTGCCACTTTATGATAATATTCTGAATAGGCAGTAAAAGATAGTTGCTATAAATAAGGCTAGATAACACAGCCTGGAGCTATGCCATATGACCCAATTAGCAAACAGGTAGACAAGCTACATACAGACAAACACAAAGTATACTGGTAGTAAGCTACATAGTGAAAATTAACATTTTTCTTTAAGCTTGGTAAACTAAGTTTAATGATTGTTCACTGTATTGAAAAGCTCAACCTCTAAAATAAAGTTAAAATGAAGATAAAAACACTCTAATACTGAAGTGATTGTAGGCTACATTTATTTTGAACTTCAATAGATTTATATTCCTAGGGCAAAAAGTCCCAAGCAATATGAAAAAAATTTAGGCTACAACATTTATAGTCTGACAACTACTACCTACTTCGTTCACAATATTTAGGCGGTTTGAGGGGAAGTTCTCCCACCGTTTTTTTTATTTAATGTACAGTAGACTCCCTCTTATCCGGACACCTTTTAACCGGACATCTGTTTAACCGGACTACACTCGGCGGAAATGACATCTCTTTAACCGGACAACTTTTATCAGCACATTGGTTTAACCGGACTAGATTGGCAGGAAGTGTAACAACTGTTCTCATGAGAAAGATTTGAGACCAGTTATCACGTGACTAAATACAATGCTCTCCTAAATTGAAGTTGAATATCACAGTAAACTGTCTGTTTTAACAAGTTTTTGGGGACGTCGGTTTAACCGGAAAACCCGTTATCCGGACTGGCCTCGGGCCCGAGGAGTCCGGATAAGAGGGAGTCTACTGTACTTATACTTAGGCCTATACTTTTTGATGATGTTGCTTAGCTGTTCAGATATGGTTATTTTAAAGGTAAGGGTCATGTGAAGGGGATGGATTTCTTTAATACCTTTCTTAAATTGTAAAATTTAATAAATTGCAAAATTTAATAAATTGTAAAATTTAATAAATCTCTTAATATCATTAATTCTTGCAAACTTAATTTCAAGCGTACACTTAATAAGTGCCTAATAAAAGCACGCTGTTTTGTGTTGTTGGTTGGAATATTGGAGTGCGGAAAAAAACTGTACGGCAAAAGTAAGTAGATGCAGCAATCAGCAACTTTCTGTGCTTTAATCAGTGTAAGAAAGGCCTCTTTGTCAGGTGACTGTAGGAAAATATTATATGAATAAAGGCTAAGTATATAATAATCACATTGGTGTTTGAAAAAATATTTTTGGATGATTTTAACTCTTCAGCAGCTGTTTGAAATTATTATCCAAGATGGTCACAGGCCTCCAAGGACTCTAAAAGATTTGCTTAGTTTTAATGAAAGCTCAACCCCAATATTTTCTTCCATGTGGCATAGGACTACCTAAGTTAGTAGGCTTTGCTTGAAAGATCATCCCTAGAATAACCGCGCTGGGTAAACTTTCTGCAGCTACATTTTTAATTAAGTTATAGGGAAAAGTATAAGAAAATGCACCCCAGTGCTTTCTGCCCCAAAGTACCTTCCCGTCGACTTGTTTCTGGATGAACTTGACGTCTAGGTTGATACAGCACCATTTATGTAAATGGTAGGTCTTAGTTTAAATCTTAAAAGTCAGCGCTGTATAATCTAAGGAAACTTTTTAGCCTACCCCATGTGAACAATAATAGTTAGGCTAGTTAATATTTTAAGTAGTCTATCACCGTGCCATAGTGGGCAATATTAATTTATTATTGAGATTTTATATGTTACGTTCTTATTTAGTCTTTCTACTTCCATGCTTAATAGCTACCGCTATTCCCAGAAGGAAATCAATATTCTTTTGAAAAACAAATAGACCTCTTCATTAAAAAGACAGAAAAGGATTTTGATACCTAAAACACTGATGATAAGCTGGCTTTAGAACAATTGCAACAAGAACCAACACCAGATAATATTTCACAATAATGCTAGATGTGATTCTTGTCCAAGATATTTTGAACAAAAAACTTAAGTTAGGTACCAAGCACTGTGATAATTACTGTTTTAAGCAATTAGACCATCTGCATGGTCCGTGAGTTTGAAACTTGTATCATTGACTATATTGGATTTGTATTAACTGTTTAAGGGCCTTTGCACACTAGGCCACCATGGTGGCGACACTTGCAGCGCTACTTTGGAAGCATGTTTGGTGGCAAATACCTTGTCTAGTAGGCCACTTTATCAGCCACCACACTTGCTCAGATTATTTATTTATGTTGTTTTCTATTGATCGATATGGATATGGAAGTAAGAGCTTGTGGGTTAAGCTTTTACGCCTATGATTTTTTTTATTTGCAAAAAAAGGAGGAAATAATGGATACACCCGTTTTTACGTGATATAGGACTAAGGGTTTTTTTACTCATTATGTGAACCTCAGAAACAACACAGATGAGTTTTACTCATTGCAAGAATGACTGTTGGTACCTTTGACGGGGTAAGTTATTTAGAAAATTTAAAGGAAGGATTACAGGAACCACAACCGGATTTAGAGATTGTATACCGCCAGTGCCAGAAAAACGTCAAGCCTCGCCATGATTATAAGTTAAATTTACTGGTATCGCTATGTTACGCGTATGGTCACGCTAACTTAGTGTGTAGTGGTCCATATGTCAATGCTTTTCGGCTGGCGGTGCGTCTTCTGGTGGCGAGCATAGTGTGCTAATCTTCAATGTCTTTACGTAGTGGTGGTGCTGCCATGGTGGCCTAGTGTGCAAAGGCCCACTTAAAACTTAATAACTTAATTTTGCATTGAGATATTTTACTTAGGCTACTGTAAGTTAGGGCCTATAGCCTAACTTAATAGAGTGAATAACTTAAAAGTTTGAAAAAGTTGACCCTAAGGTTTTTAATGACCGCTGAATGAATTTCTTGTTCTTTTATTGATCAAAGCAAATAAATAACTTTGAACTTACTGTACCCCGCACATGCTCTCACATTATATGGCGATAGGGGGTACAGTTTCTTAACTGGGCTATGCTAATACCGATTGAAACTATCGAATTCAAAATATTGATTAATAATCGATATTTTTAATTAGGCCTACATCAATTATAAAATTAAACTATCATAACCTAACCTAACCAACCAAACTTACTGATAGTGAAAAAATCGCATTAAGGTTTACTAATCGAATCGATAGTTTCAATCGATATTCACTATAGGGTTAAGCACTCAGGCGGCTAATTTGGGAGGTAGGCCTAGCTGGATGCTGAGTAGCTATTAAGCACGCATACATTTAAAAGGTTTACCACTTCCCATAAAGTGTTAATTTCAGTAGACTTTGGACTGTAAGTTTTATTTTCTCTCGTCTAAAAATTCCACTTGCATCAGAACTACCTTAAGGGGGAGAAATATGGAGATAAAAAAGGTTGCCAGATTGATCCTGAAAGAGGCAGTGAAACTTAGCTTTTTGAGTTGAAAAACTGGACAAAGCTGTCCCTGGTCATTAGGCATTGAAAAGATGATGCTGACAAAAAAACAGCTGATCTTAGCAAAACACAGAATCTCACTCCAAGTTATTCTACAATCACCTGATGCCTAACTTTAAACATTGACACACCCCGTCCAGATCATCTGGTCATTGGTGATGTAGCAGTAAGTTAAGTTAAGAAGGTATAGCCCAGGCAAATTAGACATATGCTCCCCAAAAAATCGTCTAAAGCTGGAAAGTGTTTTAATACCTTTTGGGGGTCCCAAATAAGACTCCTGTGAGTTTGCGACGGATTCTGACGTCTGCTTAAGTTTTGGGAGTCGAAAAACTATGAAAATTTTGCACTTTTTTCAGTTTTTCGCTTGTAACTCCTAAATAACGAATCCTAAGGAAAATGTTGTTCGAAGGTGTCTTTCAGTGCATTAAATTCCGCGTCGATTGATGTTAAATACGTCAAAATCGGCCGAGCCGTTTAGCCGCTGTAGCTTTTCAAAGTTGGGATATTTTCATCAACATGGCCAAAAGGTTGATTATTTGACCAGTTTTCGACTTACAACTCCTAAACGACGCATGCTATACAAAAATGCGCCTGTAGTTAGTTTGGAAAACACAAAATTCGGCGTAGAATTAAAATTATTAATGACTAGATAGTGGTTTATTTCATGGTTATCATCCAGAGGTTTATCCAAGAATGTGTGAAGGGAAGGGTAGCAAGACCCCCTATGCAATTTTAAATCTAATATTGTTGAGGGGGTTACAAAAATTCTAGGATTCGTCCTAAGCTCCCATTTATACGATCCCATCTCTGGACACTCCCGAATGATGTTAAGCGATTCTAATATATAATAAAATATAGCAAAAATGTTATTTTTTTAGCTTAATAAACGAAAGATGATAATGGGACGGATGTACATAGTTTCACTATGTATTTAGCCTATTAAAAAAATATTGGGATTTTTTGTAGATTTTACCATATAACTTTTCTACTTCTCATCATTGGAATTTTAAAAATAAGGATTCATTCTTTGCTCTTATTGGTCTTGCCACAAATGGTGACATTCGGTACCATCTTTTTCGTCAGATATCGAATTGAGATAGTCGTGCCCCTTGCAAGTCTTTCAGACAGTAGTGCATTATATCATATCTCTGCATTTCATATGGAGCGAGAAAACGTAAACCTTTTTAACATGTACACGATGGTCGTGATAGGTAGACGGAGTTGAGAAGTTCTTGTCAAACCGGTGGATTAGCCGTAGTGATGGGAGTTAATCCATTGACGTTAATTTTCCATACCTATCTCTCTGAATTGAGTACAATTTTAAATGAGCTCTAAAGGATTGGTAGATGAGCAGCCCCTTTTGTTAGAATCAAAGTCAAAATTAGTTGAAAGTGTCCTCTAGAAGAGACCAACCCTCACTTGATTTGGATATGTTCTGCTCCCAACCATGTATAGGGCCAACCTGTTTCTGCAACTTCGCCAAGCGTTGGAACCCGTCAGAACACAGTGAGATCCACATTGATTGGAGTAAACAGCATGAGTAGTTTTAGGCTACATGAATAGTTAGATTTTCGACTCTTCTACATCACGCTTTCTTCATCAAACTGCGCTAGTGGGGTTTTTTCAATCCAAAGTATGATTCAAATTGTGGCTTGGATTTAATGTGGAATATCACGTGTTGACTGAGGGGGCAGATTCTTCTTTAACCTTTGCTGTTGCCATCACAGCTCGCAATTAATGTCACCACTTCCTTTTATTCTGCACAGTTTATGGTCATTATAGGCTTGCCTATTTACGATTTTCTTGCAAGCTGTGCCTTTTCATTATGCTTTATACATATCTCGCGTTGATGCTATCATATGGGATAACCGCTGAGCTGATTGTCATGAGCGAACTATTTTCAGTAAATGGGTCGTGACACTGGAACCATTTGATGAATTTATTTTTGATCCCACCGTATCCGTGGAGTTTATATTGTCAACTTGCTGATAATATGTTGAAGAGGTGATCCCACAATATACTTTAACTTGATGGGTAGCATTCACTGCGATGGGCCTGCCAGCGAACCATCGGGCTAGGTCCACATCATTGATTCCCCTATCTCGGAAAAAGCTCTCCACAGTAAGATGTTGCTCTCATGAGCACTTACTTGTTCATAGGCCATGCTGCACGATCCATGACGTCACCCTAGTGGATAGATTCACTGCCATATCCCCTATGTTTTTGGTAATTAGGCTGGTTGTTTGCCAGATTTCATTGGTAAGATTTTAAACTTGACAAGCATCTGATCTAGTGTTAACAATCAATAGCGGTTAAATGGTGAAGCCGATCTTAATGAATTGGAAAACATTCTACGCAGACGTTTATGCTCTTCAAACTAACTAAATGAACATTTTTTCTATAGCATGCGTTAGAAGATGTAAGCCAAAAACTGAAAGATGAATACAGGGATAGATCGTATATAATGGGTGATTGGGATGAATCCTAGAATTTTCGGGACCTCAGACAACAATATTAGACTTAAAATTACATAGGGGGCCTTACTCTCATCACACCTTAATTAGATAAACCTCTAGATGACCATCATGGAATAAACCACTATCTAATAATTCATAATCCATTTTAAGGACAGGATCCATGTTGTTACCAATTTTATTAAAATTTCCCAACTTTAACATTGATACTTTTTTCGATGAAATGGCGTCCATACAAAGTAGGTAACAATCAATTGCCGTTATTAATTAGTAAAAAAAAAAACATTATACGCACAATTTTGTGTTTTCCAAACTAACAACAGGTGCATTTTTGTATAGCATGCGTCGTTTAGGAGTGTTAAGCCCAAAACTGGTCAAATAATCAACCTTTTGGCCATGTTGATGAAAATATCCCAACTTTGAAAAGCTACAGCGGCTAAACGGCTCGGCCGATTTTGACGTATTTAACATCAATCGACGCGGAATTTAATGCACTAAAAGACATCTTCGAACAACATTTTCATTAGGAAAATGTTATTTCTCATATAATTAAATTTTCTTTAAAAAACAATGTAATTCTCGATAAAATTCCAAATTTAGTAGAATCTCATAGATTTTTGGGTGTATTGCTTGATACGCATATTAATTGGAAGATTCACATAGATAAGATGAAAGGCAAACTAAGATCTATTTCTTTTGCTTTCTTTCACCTGATAAACTGTGTACCTCAGGATACATGTATCACAGTTTACTATGGATACGTTGAATCCATCTTGAGGTATGGAATCATACTGTGGGGAGTGTCAACAGAAGTGAAATCCCTACTAATTTTACAGAAAAAAATTATTAGAATCTTAACCAAATCAAGAAGGAGAAAATCATGTAAAAACCTGTTTAAAAATCTTAGAATTCACACCATTTTTGGATTATACATAAATGAAATTCTAAATTGGATACATAACACTAAGGAAAATTTGTCAGATGCAGTCAAATTTACACATAATTATAATACAAGGAATAAATATAATTTCAGATTACCACATCACAAATTGACGACTTTTAGGAACAGCCCTCAATATATGGGACTTAGATTGTACAATGAATTACCCCTGTATCTTAAAAATTTAAATGCTACTCAATTCAAAGATAAAATAAAAGATAAAATAATTGAGAAAGCCTACTATTCACTTGACGAATTTTTGGAGAACCCTATAATGTAGATAAAAATTCTCTGATATCCTACATGAGTTTATTTTAATTATTTTAACTATTAATTTTACTACATCACTATGACGAAACACCTGTTCTTATGTATGAAATGTACTTTATAAAGAACGTATTGTGTAAATAAAATATGTCTTATGTCTTATGTAGGATTCGTTATTTAGGAGTTATAAGCGAAAAACTGAAAAAAGTGCAAAATTTTCATAGTTTTTCGACTCCCAAAACTTAAGCAGACGTCAGAATCCGTCGCAAACTCCCAGGAGCCTTATTTGGGACCCCCAAAAGGTATTAAAACACTTTCCAGCTTTAGACGATTTTTTGGGGAGCACACCCTATATTTGATCTAATTTGCCTGGACTAGTAGGCCTAAGGGGTAAGAATAAATTAAGTTTAGCTAACAATTTTATAGCTTAAAAAAGACTTGACTTAGAACTGAACGAATTTTGGTGTGTTAACTTACACACTGTGTTATAAAATACATTTCTCAGTTTAATAAAAATGATTTTAGCCTATATAGGCTATCTTAAGTAACTTAGGCCTAAAGAAAAACTCAGCACAATCATAATTTCACATTAATGTAGGCCTATTTTTTTTCTTAGGCTATATTTTTGCTAGCTTTTGTTAGTTTGAACTGAGGCCATATTGTAAGTTTTAACCTAGTTTTATATTAAATAGGAAGTTTCAATAAAACATGAGCCACACCTCAATTACTTTCTAGGATGCTACTCTACTGGAATCTACTCATTAGGACACTATATAACTTAAGACTACCAACTTCCTTGCACAAGATTGGTTGTAGAACAATATGTTCATTAAGATAACTAAATGTGCCTTGTGGCTTTTGGCCAACTAGACACTAACATAACCTCCCATACATAGCCTAACATTCAATGGGTAATTTAAAAGGATGCAGTAGAATCGGACGTTATGTATGATCTTTATACTTACCGTTGCTAACAGGAGGGTCTACGTCAACTTCTACTGGCTCAGCACTTTCTTCTTGAGTACTGCTGGCCTCCGTCTGTGAGGGCATAAACGAGAAAGAAGGCACAAATTCGGCTGCATTAACGTTCAACGTGGAAAACTTGGCTGACACATCAGAGGATTCAGGGACATCGCCTGGGGCAGCATCTGCCTGTGTTTCCCAAGAGTCAGGGGCTCCGTTATTTGCCATAATTGATACCTAATGTTATCACTTAAACTAAATAATTCGTACACTAAAATATTATCACTTCACACAAACTCCTCGTGTACGACTACTCTATAATGAACTCAGCTTAACTACCGGAAGAAATGTTTCAGATTTAATAAAAAACTTCACTGAAACTTTATTTTTAGGATTACACGATTAGCTTATAATTAATTCTTAAGAAAATTATTTTTGTCAAAATAACAGACTAATAAGATATTTCGATCAGTAATATGATAATATTCTAATATTGAGTGAAAGTTAATGAACAGCGTAGTGACACAGTGATTCCATTTTGATGAGTAGACAAGGTCAATTGAGAACCTAAACAGAAAATAGCTACATTAAAATACTTAATTGATCACCGTAATAAAAACAAGTCTTGATATTGTAAATTAATGTGGAAAACCAAACTAAAATAATCGGATATTTGTTTTAAAATTTTAGGTAAGTAAAGCTTTAGTTTCTAGTTTGTCACATCCGTTTTTGTATCAAACATATGATTCTGCCGTGTTGCGGTTGCGGCATAGTTTTCTGCATTCCAAATAAAAAGTGTACGAACAAAGCTACATTCTTCTAAACACTATATGAAACTTTTAAATGTAAAATTGTGTATGCAGTTGGTGAATATAATAAAGAATAGATTAAATAAAATAAACATTAATTAGGCGTGTATATTTTTTAGGAAGTTTGTTTAATCTTTGATGAAACCATAGATTAAAAATACGGTGTTTCATGTTAGCATTGACTAAGAGTATAGTAACAATCTATCTATGCAATTTTTCGATGGATTGAATTGCAAAATAAGAGTAAAAATTTGATTTATACATAGGAAAAAGTTTACAACATAAAATTTAATCTTCTGCCATGTTTTGAAGCAAAAATCTTTACAATTTCGTCTGTTGAGATCGTACTCCTGTGAACTGACATCAAAGCCAGGCCACATAGCCATGATGTTTATTGTTTATACTTGTGTACATTGTAGTATTAATATTGTAGTTCAATCAAACTAATCTAAATGGCATGCAATGCACAATGATGTTATGTTGTTGGGTCCTTTGTTGTGGTTTCTATTTTATAGTTTAACTTGCACTTATTAACCTAGTATTAATTTTGTACTACCACATTTTCGAGATTCCGGGGGAGTTTTAACCCCATAATCCCCCCCCCCCAGGTGGTGACCGCTTGCACTGCAGTATAGTACTGTATTGAGGACATTCAGTGGTGTCCCCAGCCAGGTGTGTTGCATGAAACAAAATTTTGGGGGGAGACTCTTTGAATTTCTCAATTATTTTACGCAGATTTCCCAACTATATTACTCGAATTTCCCAACTATTTTACACGGATTTCCCAACTATGTATATTACTCGAATTTCACTTCAATTCTTTTTCATATTACTCCAGATTTCACAACTAATTAATATTATGTTTTAACAGTAAGAAGGAAATTTTACGTTTAAATCCTCTTTATAGCTGACATACACAAATAACAAGAAATCAAGGGTTCTCTCACATTAAAGGTTAGACTGTCAATCTTCATTTACGGTCCAATACCTCAAATTGGAGATAAATCTCAAGAGATAAGCATCCGCACCAACCTTTGCAGATTTGGCCTACTCGTCAACTAATGGAGAAAGAGTAAATTTTGGACTAATGCGGCGTGACTAACATGTCATAAAACCTTTGTTGGAAGAAATACTTTTTAACCTCGATCCTAAAAGTGCAGCTTCACCGCAATGAGTGTGCGAAGATTTTACTAAGCCGGTCTGTGGTAATAAATAGTAGGTGTTATTGGATATAGATGGCACCAGAGAAATTTTGTGATTTAGTAGGGATAAGGCTAAGACAAATATGACTCACGTAGTAATGAATTATCATAAGTTCCTTAAACTGTCTTTCATTTGCCATTCCGATTAGCTCCTCATCAAAACTCAGAGGTGAAATAACACCACCTCCTTGGATTTTAAAACTTAATAAAATGTTTATTATGATAGACAATTTTTCATGTCCCTAAAAACCTAAGTTAAATTAAAAACAATGTTTGAGTTTTCAGATTTTTCATTTTACTATGGATAGAAATTTTATTCTGGTGAAATATAACATTAAAGTGTTTGGTAATTAACATACGCTTAAAATCCTTCCAAAAAACAAAAGACGGTGCGGTTGTAAAAGTGTACTAAACAAGAGGTTTACCATTTGATCATCAAAATTTAAGAAACTTTTCAATCCACCTGTACCTACCTAAAGAACGCTACCAACAACGCTTAGGTTTCAAAACATAGTATTTCATCACACATGAGTCAATACTATTTCAAGACAAATTTGACATTCGCTTACAGAACCTTGTTAATTTAAAATATGTTTTTGAACATATTTTTTTTATTTGAGCTACACACTATAATTAAAACAATGCACTTAACTTGGTCTTGGTCAACATACACATAAATCTCACTGTCGTAATCTAATTGACTGGATTTCTGACCATACCTTACAAAGGACATGTAAGTTAAAAATCGATGATAGGTGTATCTCACCATTCTATATCTTCACCTTAATTAGACATTTAATGAACGATTTTATCACTTTATTCAAGATAGTTAATGAACGAATAATTAAATATTAATCGTCACCTCTAATGATGTTTTGCAAAATTTCTGACACAAGGTCAATCAAATGCAAGATGATTAATAATTCAACATAATACAACCAGTGTATCAGCGTGTACATTATACAGAATCAATAAACTACCATGGAACGGATACAACCGTCTACTACACGCTATCACTATAGTAAATACCGAACAAGATTGTGACTACTATCGATATAAAAAAAAATCGAAACAATACGATCATTTTGAAGCGATAAGTTATCGGATGAGTGTCATTATAAGCCAAGGTAGTAGTTAGCATCCTTGGTTAGATCTTTTTATATTTTTCATACTAGAAACAATAACACTGTACAGTACTTTGAAGTCCTTATTTGAACCTTTTCACTCTTAAATTAGTAATTTCATGATATATCTTATGAAGAAAGAGTTATTAGATTTTATGAATAGTTTAACCTTTTAATTTATGAATTTACTTAGGAAATGAAATGTATAAAACTAATGTTTTTAAACCTTAGCACTCAGGTTCAGTCTAATAATTCGATCGAACTGTAAAGAACTCAAGTTATATTATTGAAATAATCTATCTAAATCGAACAATACATCCATTTTTAAATATAGTATATCAATAAAACTGTATTTTTGTGCATACATAATTTTGCATTGGGACAGATTCATCTTTGGAGACGACGTCTGAAATAATATCATTTTCAATATACAAACAAATAAAGTGCTCTTTTTCATCTTAAACCCCACAATACTCTTATCGAAGGGAACAATCGAAACGGCCATTACAGTAGTCTGATCTCGAAATCAATATCGATAGGCCGCGCCCGCGCTAAAGAACCCTTTCTGCGCTCTTCGACTCAGTTTGCCGCCCTCTGTCCTTCAAACATGTCGCCGTCAGTTCGGAATCCACATCGTTAGTTTTCCCATTCTATCAAGCATGTTGTGATGGCACCTTTCTTCGGCAATTACTTTTGGTCTCGGAAACCATCCGAGACTTTGTCCATCCACGACGGTCTCTTCCAGATAGGATGCCAGGCGTACCACATCCTAGTGCGGGACGATGCAGGTCTTCCAGGAGTAGAGGATAAACTGCTCAAAACCCCCGTGAGAGACCCTGTGGTAGTGCTGATACCAACTCCAAAACCGACTGTCAGGGGAAGACTTTCGGTGAGTAAAGATGTGAGAATAGTTACATACATACAACAGAGATAGTTTTTATACGTCAGTGGATTTAGAAAAAAGGCAATGCAAACTCTTTTAAGGGGAAATAGTCAAATTCAATTAAACGTTTAGTGTATATGCCAGTAGTCGAATCCGCCCCGCTAGAACCGAACGAAACGCTAGGTCAACACACACCCCATATTTTTATCATAAGATCGTCTTTTAAACAGGTAATTTAAATAAGACTGTCCATAGTTGTAAGCACACTCGAAAATTGAAAATTGAGTTATCTGAATATATGATTTAACTGGTTTAGGTAACTTAAATTTGTGTTTCAAACGAAATAATGATGAGTCTCGTTAAAATTTCAGCCAGAATTCCCAAATATAAGTCATAGAGATGAATGTATAATTATGTGAGTTGCAGTATTGACTATACACAGTCAATGGTTGCAGTGTGTAGCTTTGATTATAGAAAAGACCAGCTAATTCTTTAGACACCAAAGCCATTATTTTATCTTTCAGTGGCATTATATTACTAACGACAATTTTTTAATGGTTCACAGAACTTTAGAACCCCTAAATTGCTTTGTTGTACTACACTTAATACATGTATTTGGTAATACTGTTCATGTACAACAAAATGCTACTAAGCTTTTCGATCTGCTGACATTTTGGTTAATAATTCCCCAGGTAACATTGAAGTGGATGATAAAGGTAATGACTGTGAAAGGAAGAGAAGGGGTAGTTTAAGAGGTGGGTTAAGGTCAGCCGTCTTTACTGTCATATTTTACTTCAAGTAATTGTTGCTGCATTATTTACGACATTATTTGTTTACTAAAACATATATCAGCTAACATATATATGTAGGTATGCGGTAATATATTCGTTCTACCAACAATAATTACTTCATTACTGACGATTCAAAAACTTGCGTCTAAAAACATTAATTTCAATTTAAAAAATGCTTTAAAACTTTCAATATTTTATGTAAAATGTTTATTCAACAAATGTAGTTAAGAAAAGGAAACATCGGGATTGTCAACCCCACCCCCCTCCCATTATTTACTCAATCATTTCAGCCTTTGGACGCACGATAAGTGTTTATACCACGCAATAATATCACGCAAACAAAATGGAACTTTGATTACAAGCATGAGAAGCTTTGAGAAGTAGTGTTCTGACCTACTATTTAAGAACTATTCACAGTTATCGTTTTATCTAAATTGAAATTCGATTTTCACATAGAAGCATAACCTGAGTTAGGTGGAATAATTTGTAGACTTTAAGACAAGTTATTCGATTATGACTAAAAATAAGTAGCTATTTATAAGTGGTTATTACATAGTGCTCACCTAATGATACTGTATGAACATTTCTGATAAAAAGTATACGTTTTGGTGGTTCGAAACGGGCTCCAGCCATTATCTGATGATAATTCAATTTTCAATAGCCTTTACTAAAGAAAAAGCTGGTCTTTGTGGCATACATTGGGAGGAAACTTATTTACTTTTCATTCACATTTGGGCTCAGTTACGTCTTATATGCATTCTTAAAATATCTTACAATATAGTGATAGTTATTTGATACATAAGCCCCATGATATAGTTAGGTTGTGTTGCTTGACTGTAACCACACACAAGTTTTTCATCATAAAGATTTTAAAAATTTATTTCTCTTTTAACGGGTTAGTACAGACGTTCTTAACAACAGAGACTTTAAGATTTATCGAGACATTTATTAATTAATGGATACATTGATGAAATTCATAATGTTCAACACAATCAAACTCAGGCAACCTGTCTTTCTGCGTATTTAGTTCTACTAGTGGTCGTCCAGTGGTCAAAAACTCGACCAAAAATATGTAATTGTACAGGCTTCTCTATTTTCACCCCATGCTGTAGATAAAACATGTGATTGTATGTTAATTTCTTCCATTCGTATTGATTTTCTGTTTATATTTTGTTGTCATTTCGTCACCATCATGGCAACCTATAAGGTTCTTGTTAATTTTTTACATTTTAAATAATTTTTTTTCTTATTTTTGAACCTATTTTAATTTATAAAGGGATTGTGCACATCTACATGAAAATGTCTTTCTAACAATAGTAGGATTTTCCCTGCGATGTACACAAGCTGGGGAAAAAGTGCTAAAGAAACATGCTTGCTTATATATAGATTTGATATAATCTTTGCAAGTACATGTTTTCTAAGGAGACATTTTATTTGTTTCCAAGAACCACCGAATTATCGACGAAAGGCTGTCGAGTAAAACGACAAAACGTTTTAGTTCCCCTACGAGGCAATAACAACTTCTCTGTAGCAATCACATTGCCCTCGACAATCAATAAGCCAACCTTCTGATGTATGACCTAGCCTCAGTCCATCCTACTAATATTATAAATGAGAAAGTTTGGATGTATGGATGTAAGTTATAGCCTAACTTAATAGAGTGAATAACTTAAAAGTTTGAAAGAGTTGACACTAAGGTTTTTAATGACTGCTGAATGAATTTCTTGTTCTTTTATTGATCAAAGCAAATAACTAACTTACTGTGCCCCGCACATGCTCTCACATTATATGGCGATAGGGGGTACAGTTTCTTAACTGGGCTATGCTAATACCGATTGAAACTATTGAATTCAAAATATTGATTAATAATCGATATTTTTAATTACATCTATACTTATTATAAAAAAGAGGTGGTTGCTGTATGTGTGTATGTGTGTATGGGAAAAGTAAACTCGAAAAATACTGGTCAGATTGGGCTGAAATTTGGCATGATGATAGCTCACATTCCCGATTAACATATAGGCATATTCTTATTTCAAAAATCCTTTCGGGCTCCGCCCCAGTGGCTCTGGAGTTTCCCATGTTAACCTTATGAGAAATGGAATTACTGAATCTTTACAGCTGTTTCAATTAAATAAGATGGTTCTGTTCTATGATGTTCAATAGCATTAAAGTTACAAGGATTACCAACAGGGTGCACCACTATTATTTCTTTTACATTTATGACAACAGCTAATTTGCAACCAAAAGGTGAGTGAGCGTAGCGAACAAACTTCAACCTGGAGGCGAGTTAGCGTAGCGAACGAGCTAACCTGAAGGCAAGTGAGCGCAGCGAACGAGCTCCAACCTAAGGTGAGTGAGCGTAGCGAACGAGCTCCAACCTAAAGGTGAGTGAGCGTAGCGAACAAACTTCAACCAGGACGTGATTGAGCCATGCGAACGAGATAATCTTGAAAATTTAGAAAAATTAAACGGGGCAAAGCCCGCGGGTTACAGCTGGTTTATAATAAAAGCTGGATGGACAGGCCCGTAATAATATTTTCTTAAGACTATTTCAGCCCGTCAGTAGGCCTAAGTTCATCAGTTAAGTGTCAGTCTCTAAATAGTACTAGTATTTTTAGGTGTTGATTTTTCTCTACCCACAGTATTGATTCGTTTAAGGTTGATCTGCGGTCTGACCGTCTGACCCATGCTAAATAGAAGAATAAAAATATGGCAAGGGCAAAATACCCCCGCCGTAGCAAACCTGCAGACTAAGCAAATTTTAATAATACCTGTTGTGTTGTGAGCCTCCTACCATAGATAAAACATACTCCTTGAGGATGCTCTTACCTTACCTCTGAGCTACCTGCGCTTGTTAATACTGAGAGTTTTCAAGGGGTCAAAGAGTAGCCGACAGTCGCAATAGACGCAATACTTAAAATATTTTTGATACTACAGTTAATCTGTTAATCTGTTTAGGCATCAAGTAGTTGAATTGTTTTTCTGGGAGTTGGATAGGATACTGGTATTTGAATATATTAATTATTTAATTACCATTAGAATAGTAATGGTATTATAATTGATTCTTATAAGATTAATTAATCTTTCCCCTTAAGTTGTTCAACTATTAAAAATTAGCTCAAGTAAGTCAAAGAATATTAATTTTAAAAAATGCATTATTATAATTGTAATATTTTAAGCAGGCGTTCCTCACTGTATCTAGTATCACAACATCATCTGACGACATTTATTATAGATCCAATTTACTATGGATCCCAACCGTGCCGACCATTTCCCAACGTTGGGCCAACAATAACAATGTGTGCTACTTGGGCGGACATCCGGTATGTTAAAAGTTTACTCTTATGAGATAGTCTAAACATTTTGTTTAACTGTTTGGGAAAAAAAGGAATTATTATTGGAGTGATTTTAAGATATCTTTAATAGACGGTACATGCGATATGCTACTTGAATTATTTTTAAACGTTTTTTTGTCATGGCCCTAAAACAATGCTTTAAGGAAAAAGAGATTTGTTGTCAAAATATATTTTTTAAATGTGTGGGAAATTTATTTTACCCAGCTCGGTTGAAACAAATTACCAAAATATATTTTAAAACCTTAAACGAGCTATTTATACAATATTTCTATAATATTCATTAAAAATATTCTTAAAAGCTATATTTTTTTGGCAAATAAAATATTTTAAAAATATCTTTTACTAAATTATTTTGTCTTAATATATTAAAAATATTTTTTAAATATATTCAACTGGAAAATAAAAAAATATTTACAAATTATCTTTTATAAACCATTAAACATAATTTTAAAATAGTTTAAAACTATTATGTTAACATATTATTCAAAAATTAAAAAAAATATATTTTAAAAATATAAATAATTGAAAACATTATAAAAACCCCCCCCCCCCCCCCCCCCCCACCCCCCTTAAATACCCCTTAAGTACCCTTTTAAATTCATTTTTAATTAATAAACGACATGTTTCGACACTTAGGTCATAGTCATGTTTACATTTACAAATACAATAACAAAAATAATATTATTTTTTTATTGTATTTGTAAATGTAAACATAACTATGACCTAAGTGTCGAAACATGTCGTTTATTAATTAAAAATGAATTTAAAAGGGTACTAATGTTCTTATAATGTTTTCAATTATTTATATAGTAGTAGCCCTAATCACAATCATAATTATTTTAAAAATAATATTAAA